AATAACTTTTTAATATTCTAATAAATTATAAAAACCTCTAAACCTTTACAACGAATAAGTAATTTACCCAATAGTATATACACTAGTCTTAATTCCTATTTCGATTTAATTTTTTAATAAAGTATACCCTAACCTCTAAGAATCTACGCCCCGATACTTTAAACCGCAAAATTAACAACCGCCCCAACGGCGAAGAAAACGGTCGCTTTATTACCTATAAAAGACTATTATTCAACCCCTTATAATTTAAAAATAATTATTTTAAAGACCCCGCCGCTAGCTTTGTGCTATACCTACTCGGCCCCAAGGACTTTAATACTAAATTAATTAATAACCTTATTTATACGAACTCTAAAACTTTAATTTTCCTCTCAAAGTTAGTATTTTATTTAATAAACGTATTATAACGGTAGTAGCCTTTAATTATTAGGAAGGTATTCTATAGAATTTTTTCGGAATACTATATTATTAACGGTATTATAAAGTAAAAAGATAGAATTATTATTAACCCCTACAATAAGGGCCTTTAATTCTAATTAATTAATTACTAATATAATACTCCTAGCGCGGATTACCCTAGTTATAATACTATATACAAATTTTCACAATATAATTTCTATTAGGAAGGGATATATAATAATATAAGGCTTTTTTATAGAAGCTACTTCCCTTATACTAAAACTAAATTACTTAAGCGCAATTCCGCCGGCTATTTTAAACCTATAGTTATTTCCCTAGTATTTTAGATAGCAATTTTAGTTAATTATATTACCGTACTACCGGATAGTACCTACTTCGGCCAAACCTTTAAGTATATTACTATTATTATTGACTAATATACAAAAATATAATACTATATCCCAATATTAATCCTAGAGGCCAAAGAATTAATTAATTGTTTTATTAATTGTATCTATTATATTTATAGTTTACTAAATAATATTCTATCTAATAGAAGTACCTAATTTATATTCCGCTTCTAATTTATTCTTTATAAAAAACTATTTATTATTAGGAAGTTAACCTCCGCCTTCTACCCTTAAACTAATATATAAATCGAATGTATTAATATAAAAATAGAGTAATTTTTAAGGATATATATCATTTAGGCTTAAATAAATTGGGCTAAATAGTTGCCTCTTGTAGAATTTGCTAGTAATAATACTATTTCTTTATTAATAGGGATTTTACCGTTCTTCGCTAATTATAGTTATTACCCTTATATAGGTATAAAACCCCGAATTCCGCTGCCTCTAAATCTTTTACTAGTTTAATTTAAAGAGTATTATAAAGTTAATAAATTAATAGATTGCTTTTAAAAAATATAGAACTTCGCTGTTTAATAGATTTATTGTATATAAGAATATTATAAAGATACTACTAATAAAAAATGTATTGACTCCTTTAAATATTATATTAATAATATAATTCTTTCAAATACTATAAATTTCGCTAATAGTCGGCTATATACGAAGCTTTCCCCTTATTAGGAAGGCCCTTTTAGAATTGTCTGCGCTAATTTGTATATAGTCCACCTCTCCCTATCCGTTAATATAAAGTACTTACTAATCTTTTATATTTTTATAGTATAGTTTTAGTCGGGTACGGAATTGCCCGGTTAGAATATTATAATGAATATAAAGGTAAATAAAGGCCGGGTAATAATATATACGGATAATTAGGAGGAGTACGAGGAATAGGCTTTTAAAAAGTTTATTAATTATATTTAATTAGGTAGTAATATATATTAGTACTACTATATTAAATAGAAGATTGGGGACCCTATTTAGGAATTTGTTACTAATATTATTAATTACGAATATTATCCTTAATAGTTTTATTACGAAAATCCGGATAAATTAATACCGCCGGGGGTTTAAAGATTTCTCTAATACTTTACCTTTAGCTCCCTAGCCGTCTCTAATTCCTTAGAACCCCCGGCCGCTCCTATATTGGAACTTCCGCATTACTGCTCCGCACACTTCTAGTAAAAAATAACCTCCGTAACCGATACAAAGCTATTTTTAAGTACGGTAATAACGGAGCCAATCGATATAATAGTTAGTAAGGACGTAAAGGATAAATTGTATTTGGTATTTAGGAAAATTATACGACGGTTAATAGATATATAATTTAAAAAGTTACTTCCAATATAGTTGGTGGATTATAATTGTTTTTGAATAGGGATTTATTATTATATATATATATAGATTTTTTAGCTCTGCGAGCTTCTTTTAAAGGGGGATAGTATTATAGGGCTAGCCTGTAATATAGTTATACTATACGCCTTCATTTTAGAGCTATTAATAGCTCTAGTTACGTACAGTCCCACGTGTGTGTACGCGCACGGACTGGCCCAGTCTAGGCTCTCGCTTATATAGCCAGTCCTCTACGCACACTTTCCCTTCTCCTCCTTCGTATAATAATGTATATCCTACCTTACCTCCAACGGTGCCCTCTTGCCCCGTGATAATTATATTGCTAAATAAGAGCCCTAACTAAAAATATTGTTAAAATAGGGAAGTTGGATATAATTTTATTAATCTAAAGATTAATATTCTTTTTATTAGTAATACCCAATTCGCTAAGTATATAAGCAACCTCCGATTTAACGGCGGTATAGAACTAAAATTTAATTAAAGACTAATTAATATAATTAATATTACTATCGATTAGGCGAAAATACTATATATTATACTAGAAATAGTACGCCTCCACTGGTATATTATAATTAGAATAATAAAGAGTTAGCTATTAAACTATAATTCGATAGACGTTAATAATCTTATTAATGGCAGTACACTACGGGAATATTAATAGAATATTAAAGGAATAATATAAGGCCTATATTATAATTATAGATTTAAATATTTTTAGTACCCTTCTTAGGCCTAACTAAGGACTTATCTGCCTTTTAGCCCTTAGATATAATATTAAAACAAATTATTAAATCCCTCAACTCGATAGTAATATAATAGTAAACCTCCTCGGACTATATAAATTTATTACCGTCCTTCTTTTAAAAGGACGTAGCCTAACGAATTATAGTTACTATATTAGTACTATTACTATTTATAAGAATAATAACTTAGGAACGTTAGAATAACGTTATATAAAATTTTTTTTATTTAATTATAATTATTCTTACTGTTATAATAAATAAAGCACTTCCGGCGCCGACTAAGGGGGAGATAGTAATATAATATAATAAGCTTACTACTATTTAAAATAGTATCTTCATAGTTATATAAAAGCAAATTATATATCTAAGATTATTAATAAAGGTATTATCAATAAAATTAACCCTACTAATATATTAATTTACTACGAGGGCTTTAATATTAATATTAAGGCAAAGTAGTATAATAATAGTACTAAAAATTTAGGAGAAAGAATAGGGAATAGAAACTAATATTATAAAAGTATTTTTTAAACGAAGAAGGAGTTTTATACTTATATTATATAATAGTAACGCTATAATAAAAGAAGAGTAAAATATACGCTAAAGGAAGGGGAGAAGGAGAAGGAGGGAAAGGAGGAGAAGAAGAAGAAGAATAAATCCTAATTATAGAGGCGAAAATGCGCCGGGATATACGTATTTATTTAGGGAGGCCTGGGCGCTACAACCTAAATTACTTTAGACTTAGCGCGTAAAGCGACTATTACTCGGGGCAACTACGGCTTAGCGCTATACGTATAGACTACGTTCCTTAGCGCTATAGCGATAGCTGCGTACTAGTATAGTAGGCTTACCTATAATTAAAGTTAATTGCATTTTGGAACCCGGGGTACTATTATAGTATTAGAAACTATAATACTGAAGCCTCGGTATTCCCCTACCGTAGTACTACAAATCCGAGTCATATCCTTAACCCCTATCTCCACCCTATAATATATATAGTTTGAAAGCAGAGTTTTCGCTACTCTCTTCTAATCTTTCCCCCTTCGTGCAATAATACGTCTTTTCTAAAGTCCTTGTTAGTCGGCATCGTAATAGTAGGGGTTTAGACGGTTACAATAATAACAATCTAAAAGAGGAGGAAAACTCGGACTAAGTAAAGTCTTATTAGAAACGACCCTAATAAAACTATAGTAAAGGGAACACTAACCGAGAATTCCAAAAAAGGAATCTCTAATAATTAAAAGAAGCGAAGCTACAATACTAGGAATACTAATTCATTCTTTTTTATATTAGTAATATAATAAATCCTTAGATTATACCCCTCTACGTATAGCCAATTGAACTAGTATTTACTACAATGTACAACTATTAAAGGGTAATAAATTTAACATTTCGTATATATAAGGATTATTAAACTATCTTTATAGTAGTAAGGATAAAGTTCCTACTAGTAGGAGAAATAGAACGCTACAAAGTACTAGGTAATAACCTTAATTTTAATTATCTCTATTACGGATTGCTAAAGTATTACAACAATTAATCCCCGGATAGACAAAATCTAGAAATATCTCCTAATTCAATCTTAATACTTCGGTCGGGGTACAGCTCTATAAGGGTAATAATACTAACTCGGGTAGGGAGTAGGTAATTGTACAACGTTTATTTAGGGACTCTAATAGGGAAATCTTTCTTTTCTAATATTATTATTCGTACCTATTTAGCTAAGTATTTGACAAGGAATAGTTATAGGAGATTTTAGTTATTTTTCGTATATTTAACAGAGTACTTTTTAGTACAATAGGCCCGGCTCCTCAAGGGGGGAGCCGGGGGGAGCAGGGGGGGTAATATCATAGGGCTAGCGCCTAGGATTAAAGACTCGGCTTTACTAAGTCTACTAAAACGGGATGGGGCGTATCGATAAGGATGCGAGCTTCCTAATTGGTCGGATCCACATGTTTGCCTGGCTCGTGCGCCCGACCATAAAACCTTCTTTCAACTGCACCCTTCTGGTGCAGTCTTCTCTTGTTCTCTTTATCAAATATAGCATTTCAACCATTACACGACTGCTCGCTTTGCAATACTCTGGCAGACCCGTTACAATATATACTTAAGAGCAGCCGCCACGTATATGTTCTATAGTCTTCTTCTCTATAAATTGTACCCGTCCTAGTCTACTATACACGTTCGGTAGCGTCTTGGCCCGGGGCAGGCCCAAGGTTCCCGCTACTAGTCCTATAGCTATTTCTTCATGACGAGATACATTGTACAGTATCACTATATCCTTTTCCGCCAGCAGCTCTCTGAAACCCTATACACAGATCCAAATTATCTCAAGCTGCCTCTTCAGTGATATCAACAACTGGATCCCTTACCTTCTTTTCCTCCCGGATCTCCCGGAAAGTGATAGTCGGCACCCAACCAATACTCTTCCTGGCATCCGACACCTCTTCATATAGCTCGTCAACCTGCTCCAGTGTGAGACCTTTTGTCTCATAGATCATGAAGTAAACGAATGCGATGCAGATGAAGCAGCATCCGCCCCAGACGAAGAAGATCTTGGACTGAAGGTTCGCATTGCCAGGGCCGTAGTTGACAAGGTAAGGTGTGCTGTAAGCAATGGCCCAGTTGAGCAGCCAATTCGACGCTGTAGTTATGGAGAGCGACTTGGCGCGGACTTTAAGGGGGAAGATCTCGCCTGTAACGACCCTGGAACCTAACAGTTAGCTGCTGGTAGAACTTGGCGTGATGAGGAGAGTGGGATCACTTACCAGGCAACTGGACCCCAAGAAGCAGCGAAGAAAAAGATGTAGAAGCAAATAAATGCAATAGCTGCTTTCTGTGCGGCGAGATTATGCACAATGATCATTCCGCTTGCATCTTGACTTGTCGTTGTTGTCCCAAGAATAGCAACGATGAACTGGCAGACACACATCCCAACAGCTCCCCAGAGCAAAACAGGCCTCCGACCCCATTTGTCGATGGCGTAGAGTCCGGGAAGGGTCGACACGACATTGACAAGATTAGTGATCAAGGATATCAGAAACGAGTCTGAGAATCCGGAGTTCTTGAAAAATTGTGTGCCGTAGTAGAAGATAAAGTTGATGCCAGTCAACTGCTGCAGACTCTGGAGAAAACAGCCAGTAAGCAGCCGCTTGAGTAGATTTCCCTTGAGGCAGTCTAAGTAGGTCGCCTTCCCGAGGCTCTTCTCAAATTCATGATTTGCTTGGATCTCGGAAAGCTCTTCGATGATCGCTGGATGGTTCTGCTCCAGACGGCGGAGGATAGCTAGAGACTTAGTGGCGGCTGGGAGATTGTCTCTCTTGATATGAAAGCGTGGAGTTTCGGGAAGAATGATCATGCCAACGATCAGGATAATCGCCCATGCAAATTGAACAGCTATGGGGATGCGATAGCAGCCGGTGTTCTGCAGGTTATGCGTGGCATTGTTGACAATGGAGGCAAGAAGAAGACCGATGGTAATGGCTAGCTGATAGGACCCGACGATGACACCACGAATCCATTTTGGGGCAGTCTCGGATTGATAGAGGGGGACTTTAAATATGTGTTAGTCAATGCCACATGGATGAACCACTCTTCCAAGATCGCAGTTGGGGGCGAGATAGCCTCTAGCAATACCGTTGAACAATGTTATCGAGTTGACTTACTGGTTGCCGATATGAGACCAACTCCCAATCCAGCAAAGAATCGGCCAGCCAGAAAAAGAGGAATGCTGACGGCCGCGGTCTGTAGGATAACACCGAAAATAAACACAAACGACGACAGAATAAGGCCCAAGCGCCGTCCAGCCCAGTCGGCAAGGGGAGCGGCACCAAGAGCGCCAAAGAAGGTTCCAGCGGACAGAATGGAGACGATAGTGGCAGATTGCGACGCGGTAACGTCCAAGTGATGCTCTGGGTTTCTGTAACCTGTCGAAAACAAATCTTGCCAATAGGGCATAGCAAGGATACCGCCAATAGTGCCAGTGTCATACCTACATGGATGTTAGTTACGGCAACACGAGTAATCGTTGTTTGAGGGTCTTGAGTGTGGGAACACACCCAAAGAGTACACCACCAAAGGCGACAAACAAGCCAATGACAATGGCGGGCCATGACTTGCCCGGCACACCTTCAGGCTTCTTGAGTGACAAGCCCATCTTGTCCGGAGGTATATCGGTCCTGAGTAGTGAAAGACAGGTGGTTGAGGAAGGCAAGACTCAAAGAGGCAGCGACTTGAACATGAGAGAGCTCATACCGCGTAGTACAGAAGGCTCTGCCCTCGCCTTATATAAAGATGAAGCTCGAGGTGACATTTAGATACTTAGATGGCCAGGCCATGATGGTCTGATCTGTCTTCACGGGTAACTCCATGAAGATACTTGGAAAACAGTAGAATGAAGCATCAACATACCCGATAAGGGAAGCGACAAGGTCTCATTGATGCAACGCACATGCAAGCCACTATGGGGAGGAATGGCCGAGACTCTGCTGCAGTCAGCTGTCAGGGGTATCATTGGCTGATGACATATCTGCAACTGGCTGATTTACAGGGGTCAATTCCCCCCATCTGGGGTTGTTTTATGGGGGAGCGGGGAGATTCCTGGGGTCGGGCAGGGCTACCTAGGTTGTGTGCGGGGAGAAGTTGGAGAAGGCTTTAGGGGACCACCCCTACTCTTCTGTTCCTACAGTAATGTGCCCTGTTAATGCAAGGCCCCCCTTTTGCAAACACATACAAACTGGCCCATTAGATGCAAACGATTTCTGGGCCCGGATTCCCAGTTTTGTATGTGAGTGAGGTACCCCTTAATGCAAAAGCCCCCTTAATGCAAAAGCCCTCTTAATGCAAAAGATTTGAGCTGTCCCCCATACTGCCGGAATTAGTTGCATTAACAGGGCACATTACTGTACCTGGTGGGTGGTATCCACCCTCGAGCCACCCTCTGAAGGGCCTCGCTTACAGACAACCCAAACTAACCTAGAACCGACCATTCCCATCGTCAGCTGAGAACGTAAGCCGGCCCCAAAAGGAGGCCCTATGCCCTGATGCGATGCACTACTTACGAGTAACGCCGAGTCTGTGGCCGAGATGCACCAAAGTGGACACACTTCCTTCCATGACTGTACAATACCTTCGGGCTTCGTTAGCGCTTGTTGCGTTCTAGACCAATGGACCACCATCTCAACACCCTCCGTAGCCTCCAACATGGCAGCAGTTACCGAACCACTGGTATTGGGTACCAGTGCTAGATCCAATAGCCCCCGGATTTGCTGTCTCCTCCACAAAAACCCTTCTTGTCCTCCTCCCAGGGTGTGACGAATGAGGAATATTGGCCGAGATGCAGGTAGGTTTTGGTCCGTATGCTGGTACGTGAACAACTAGCCTCCTCACTGACTCCACAATGTACAGAGGCAAACAAACCGAAGCTATACCAACATGCCAGGTCCAGGTCACGAGGTGCTGGAAGTAGACGTCTCGAGGTAGGTAGCTTTACGAGAGAAGCGGGATGCTCGCGGTCTTCGGACGAACGGAGAGGTAGGCAGCGGCAACCACAAAGCAATCCGGCTGCCCATATTATCGAGGCGAAGACACGTCCACGACCTCACCGTACACCTTCCCAGCCCCACTCAAGCTGTCTGTACGATCTGCTGGCTATTGGCGATAATGAACCTCGGCAGAGTCTGGGAGATTCACGTCCCTCCAAGCCCACCGTGATTGTGGCCGTGATTGTCGTCGTGGGCGTGGTGTGGATGGCGTAGAAGCCGCCTATTTTGGTATGGAAAACTGGGATAGAAGAATTAGGACGAAGACCCCAGGTGTTGTCTAGGGCTTCTATGGTCCATGAGCTTGCACTCTTCGTCTTCTTTCTCATCCCCGTCTCTGCGGACTGCAAGTTCGTGTAATGACGAACTGTCAGGGCGCACAACACCGGCCGATTCCACATCGTTTCACCGAGTAGCCTTATCAGAGCCCAAGTTATCGTCATTAGTAGATACCTTACCGTGGGTCCTGTAGCGGATATTGAGAACTCGGCCACGTGGATAATAATTCCTTTAGCAACCACTTCAGCCCCAAACGGCGGCTCGTAGTCCTCATTTTTATCTTTCGGAGTTGCTTCGTCACCTGCTTGAGCTCCAGTCTAGCCTTTAGCGGGACTCTTGACTTGACGGTCTTGAGAGTGGCTGTTGGAGAAGACAAGGTGACTGGCAGGAACTGAAACTTCCCACGGTAGAAGTTGAAGTTCGAAAAGTTGCGGCTGGACATGGCGACGAGAGTTCAGTACCCCCGCCCTTGTCAAACCTCATATGAAAGGCGCTGCTAATGTCAACCTCGGCGTCAAGTTCGATGATCATATCAGTGACAACCGCAAGGCCCGCTGTGATATCATCTCCGTTGCAGAAACCAGGACTCGGATCCTTGGAAGAAACGAGGTTCAACACATGTCAACGCTGTGTTCGTCTTTATGTTGAGCTTCAGATACAGCTCGAAGTCGTCCTCGAACGCAATCCCGATTTTGACCTCTGGTAGAGGAATCAGATCGACATCAAGGTCCAGGTCCAGGGCTGGCCAATCTGTATCAGTACAGTCAGTATCTCTCTCGTATATCAGCTCTTTGACTTCGTTGTTGATGATCCGCTACTTTCGTCACCTCTTCGATTTCTCTCCCGCTCTCGGTCGAGGGTGTGATTCCGGAAGACGTCGGTGACGTTGTGGTTGAGAGCGAATCAGCATGTGGCAGCCCCCTGGTGTAGCACTCCTCACAGGTTTCCTCGATATCGAGGCTGGCACTCAGGCTCTGGTCCATGGAATCGAGGAAAGAGCAGATGCTTAGCAATATGACAACTGAAGTTTCATAGTACCTTAGTGTGGCTCCCTCCAGCGCCTGTTAAATTCCATTCTCCTGGTCGCTCGGTACTTGGCTCTTCCCTCGTACTTGACAGCATCTTCTTACAAGACGCTTTAATGTGTCTTGGATGTCAATCCCGGCACATTTCGAATTTGGTAAGCTAATTGGACTGGCGGAAACGGTACTTAAGCCCACAAGTGCCCAGACAAGGACCGTTGCGAAGCCTCCGAGTACCATGGCCATGGAAAGACAAGTGTGCTGCTCGTTGAGTGGTGATAGGAGATAGGAACAATGGATGCGTACAAGGGATGAGCAGGTTGGATAGGTTTGCACTAGGCGGGGAATGGGCTTCATATGTAGGTAGGTACATAGAGGTATGCCTGGACCATGGAAATTTATCGTTACGTACTAGCGCTAGCAAGCCTCTTGGTCTCCTCCTTGAAAAGGCGCCAAGGCAAAGTTTCCATTTTGTCGCTGGTGCCGAAACGATAGTAATCCAGTTAGAACCCGGATGTGGTCAAGCTCCTTAGCTCTGTCAGACGCTACGGCAAGGTACATTAGTTTCATGCAATTAGTACCTCTACATACAGACCGGAATCGAGAAGGAACAGCACCTAGCATTTTGTGGCTTGGAAAGAGCTACATGCAGCTTGCCTTGGCAATGGCGATCCGTCAAATCTCCTATCTCGAATAATGCATGCGGAGATAACCAGCTTTGGCACTCCTGTCTCATGACACGGCAAGCTGTATCATAGCCCTGCAGGTCTGTTTGTCTGTCGTTGAAGCAGGAAGGCGGAAGACAGTGCAAGGACGACGGGTGACATAACGCTGGAGACCGGGCAGGTCGAAGTCAATCTCTCTCATGCATCTCGGGTACCCTTCCCTTCCTACCTCTACCTATCTCTCTTTCCGTTCACATGTTTTCTTTTCATCAGACCTCTTACCTAATTCCGTGTACTGTCTGCGTACAGTACCTTTCTTTTCGACCATCGAATGTCTTCACCAACCTTTCCCGACAGATCATCCATCTGCCAATACTGTCTTTCGCATGGGAATTTTTACCTATCTTGAGAGCGACAACACTCTGAGCTCTTGGTGTTAACCTGATAGGAAGCCTCGCAATGGTTCAATGCGAGTAAGAGTTAGTTTTACTTCGACGTGAAATGGTGATTCTAGGAGCCAGTGTCTAACAAGCATCTTTGGCAGCTTCCCCGGCTCATACCCACTTCTATCAATGGTCCAGTGCCTATTTTGAGGCTACGGGTTGTCTCAAGCGACAGCACAACATCAACACCACAAGATCGAGATCACAGCAGCTTGAGCACTGTGATTGTGAAGGACAGGTACCCTACCATTGGGTAATTACCTAATCTTCAGATCTGGTGTAACACAGAATATCACCATGCTGTCTAACGTTGCAAACCAGAACAGTAGCATCTGGCCACGTCAACAGCAAGGCCGCACTCCAGTAACCGGGTAGCTAATGTTGTATCTTCAGCCACTGACGTCTTTGAAGAGCAGTCTGGATGTTCCTTCGCTCGACAGACGCCATGCCCGAGGATCTGGCCTTATCCAGAACTCACGCTCCTCTCGCGACCAGTTGCCGATTCCCGTGATTGGGCTATGAGACAGTTGTGGTACCATCTACCCAGTGACAGCAGCACCGCATGGCAATACTGCACTGTACACCTCCCACAGGAAAGCCCCTCTAATGTTGCCGCCTTTTGGGGGGTACGTAGCTCGGACGCTGTCTGCCCTGCACTGCTAGATCATAGGATGGCTTGTGCATTACGGGCTCTTCGAGTCGTTAGTGACAGCAAGGCATATCCAGAATAAAAGATTGGGGCGGTCATTCCGGTTTCCTGATATGAAGCCGACCGTTCGAGCTCGGAGAGGTACCAGGACGTGGTATGTAGAGAGAGAAACTGTCGTCATAATACCACCTTGGACACGCTCAATCTCGACAAGATCCCGCCGGTAAAGGAGAGGATTACTGCAAATGGTTTTACACGCCGATAAATTGGAATCTTGGCTACCCGCTAGTGGCACGCCGACGCCGAGGTAGATAAACCCTTCGATATCTCATTGCCCAAGGGATTCCTTGCCTTGATGGGCGGCCAGTGAAGCATAAAGTTAAAAAAAAAAAACGCCCCTTTTTTTATCTTGTTTTTTTTTCCACATAAGCCTTTTCCGCGCATGAGGATGTGGTAGCGTACACTCGTGCCATTAGATGGCAAACCTATGTTTACCGAAAAAGAAAGAGAAAAAAAAAGATCTTTTGGTCAGCTTCGAGCGATAGGCGTTGCACAAGGGGGCAATTGTCAACACGCCGGTTACATTAGGTACATTTGGGGGTTGACGGGAAGATGGACCCCTTCCTGCCTCGTGGCCCACTGAGGCCTTATTCAAGTATGACTATTTCTGGGCGCGCCTTCTCGCAGCTTCATTAAGGACTTATTGCGAGCCATCAAGGATGTGGATATCTCTTTGCATCAATTTCCAGTCGTTAAGTTCATCGAGGATATCTCAAGCCCAAATCAAGCCCAGTTCCAAGACGTATGGCCAGAGCGCACTATGCCTGGCTTACAACACAGGATGTGGTACTGGAGTTATAGTCGGGCATCGACGCAGAGTATATTAGAAAGGCGGGAGGACACGTCTAGTCCTCACTTGTTCATCACTCTTCTAGGGTGGTGGTGAACCTTTACTGCAACTCACGAGACCAGGATGATCGGCAGATGTGAAGAACAACGGAGCTACTTGGTATCCAATGGCACTTCCGACTTTCCCATTCACAAGCAATGACCGTCGCACCCATCATGCCACAGGAGGGAACATTGATGGTGCTGCTGTGGTACCCGTACATACAAGTCATCAACCACTGACCTATCGGGGCTATCGGCTTGACATCTCGTTGATGTTCATGAATTTCTGGGACCAATGATGCTGCCGATAGTCCGGGGACAGGAATATTGGACGTACTCACTACTACCGGATCAGTCTTCCCTACGTGCCGGCCTGCCACCATCGCAAATTCAGGCTTTACATATCGGGTTTCCAGTGTACCATCTACTTCTTTCGCGGATAACCGCAATATCTGGGCAAGGCGAAACTGGATCTTTGTCGGTTATCTGTATGCCTTGATCACTATGAGCCCAATTGTCACGAAACCGATATAAAATGCCTCCCTCTGGCACGAAGTTACTAACAACAAGAGATATTCTTTTTTTCTTGACTTCAATGCATTTTCCAATCGCTGCAGAGAAAAGATCTCGCCACCTTTGAATTCTATTACTCCGGTCCAGAACAGGAGCCGAAGGCCAGACCTTACCTAGCTGAGCAGGTCCATACCCGTCAACATTTTCACCCGTCTTTGAAACAAACCCCCGAGCTTTCTCACGGAGAGAGTTATTTACTTTTTTCCTCTCACCAAAACTCATGTCGGTGAGTGAGAGTGCACAAGGGTATTCCACAGGACAGCACAAAGTGTGGGAAAGTGATCAACTGATGACCATGTTTTTCCAGTATCAGATTGGCGATGTTGTCTGCATCCGGGGCGCAAGTCTCCGCTACAAGGTCATTGCCGTTACTGGCTCAACGATTACGATCATTGTCGTGAATCCACAGCCAGACGGCCAATATTTGCCATTCAATCCCATGTCCCTCCAAAGTGTCGACGAATCAAGGCTAGAAAAGGTTGAGACCTAGCTAAGCCATGCTCGAGGCTGATTGTGATCAGGGAGTTACGGGGTCGTTTAGACATAAGGGATGGATAGGTTTATGTTGGGAGTCGGATTTCACCATATGTAGCGTTCCAGGTCCAGCGGGGAAAAGTGCTGAGTCTAGTAGAGGTATGAGCGACAGACAGAGGAGGCAAACAATGCGTATACCGTCTGACTTTTGTCGGTTGATCACCGGTCGCCAGGCCAACCATACTCTGCAGTGACTTCAGAGTGAAGGGGACTGAGACGGGAAGCCCCTTCACCCCCATCGTAAGGCTGCCAGGCAACAATACCTTCCGCCCTGTCGCGAACCGACAAAACCACCCCCTCTCCTCCTGTTGCCGTCTTCATCTCTTGGTATACCTTTTCCACGGGTTGCCATCCCATTCTCTATCAACCTCAACAAATTCGCATATAAACAGCATCTTGCCGACATAGCCCTCTCTCTTCTCCCACTCTTCAGGTGGCTTGTGCTACATCCACCTCGATTTGATATTTGGCCATCTTCCGTCGCGCTCCTACGATTGGGATACCAGTCGCAGCAACACTTGAGAACAATTTCGGCATTATGGAGCAGCCTCAGGTCAAAATCATTGGTGGCCGCGAGTACGCTGCCACGGGCTCCAAGTTTGGACCCTCTTACCTGCCCGTCGACGTTATGGCCCGCATGAATAATTCGGCGCATCAGGGTCTCGCCATGTCCGCCGTCGTCCACGTACTGATCTCTTCGCCGCGCGTCTTTGACAACATGGGAATAACTAACATGGCGCTCAAAAGGACAAACGATCTTTGAATTCCGAGGCACCAGCCAGAGAGCCCCTCTCCGGCGTTGATACTCGCAAGCACTTGACCATGCCTAGCCCGGAGCGTGGCCCCGTCGCATCAACATTCCGCCCGCTGCCCAAGATTCCCAAGGCCAACGGTAAGCTACCTGTTCGCGCGCTTTTTGTCCCACGTCCGTACCCAATGGCGCGCGCCGAGACTCCCCCCATTATCCTTCCTTCTCCACGTCTGTCGAAAGCATACGTGGCCTCGGATACCCTGAAGTTTGACAGACCCGAGTCCACCGGAAACCTGAGCGCAAGCTACTACAGCTCGGCATCGTGGAAAGAAGAACTCGCAAAGGTTACCAGCAAGTAATGCCGGCGTGGGTCAGTCTCCAGACGGGAGATAATGCATGCGGAAGACCAAAGAAAAGGAAAAAAAGACACAGCACAAGAAAAACAAAAAGCCTAGTACAGTAATAGGCAGATTCTCATTTTTTTCTCCCGATTATACCTCTCTTTGCTTTCTCCCCATCCCTTGGTAGTTCCGCTCTTTCTTGGAGTTGTCGCACGAAACGATCTGTCAGCGCAGTGATATTTGCCGCGTCTTTGTGGATGATCAGGATAGGAAGCTAACTATCTGACCGCATCATGTATGAATTATCACAGATCAAGGATCTGTCAACTCTTTTGTTTTGCCCATCCGTATGGCCAACAACCCCATGGAGGCGGCCCTGGTCTGCTTCTTCAACTCCATTGCCGATAGCGGCAGAACCAGATTTGAGGATCTGCTTGCCAACATGGTCGGCCAAATTTCTTTCACGGTCAACGCGGGCTCCGACTCTGGTACTGTTGACAACGACAACGGCGACGGCAGCGGTGACGGCGCAGCCTCTTCATCCGCCACCACCACCACCACCACCACCACCACCACCGTAGCCGACACCACCTCCACCATTAGTTCTAACATCGGAACTCCTCGCCGTCGTCGCGCTGCCGGTGGCGGCTCGGGTGGTTCAGGCCGTAAGCCCGGCGGTACTCCCCGCAAGAAGCCCGCCTCCCGTGCCGACGTCATTGAGAAGCGCGGCTCTTGCGAGCGCTGCAAGAAGTCCAAGGCCAAGTGCGAGCCCATCCCCGAGTGCATCCGTTGCGCCAAAGACGGAGTCGAATGCTCACTCAAGGAGACAATTTTGCAGGAGACTGGTCGTCGTCTGGGTGCCTGCCAGCGCTGCAAGAAGAACAAGGTCGGCTGCAAGAAGATTGAGAGCTGCGGTCGTTGCCACAAGGCCGAGCAGCCTTGCTCTTGGGCCGTCAAGGCTTAGGTTGACACCGGTAGGACCGTTGAAGATACATGGGGAGTTCTGGAAAAACGAGTCTGCGGGTCGAAGGAGTATCCGACGGTTGACCTGGAGATAACCGACTTTATGAGCTTGGATCTTGGTGCAGCTTACCTGGCTGAAAGGTTCTTTGCATTGTTCCGGAATGGCGGCTGTTATATGGCTCGGGATTGAGGAGTGTCGTTTGCGTGCACGGGCTGATCAGCAAAGAGGTATTGGAGAAGGGGTATCTTGGACTGCTCATTGTCCGTTGCTTGAGCAAAAGATACCATGTCTCACAAAGTACTGCAAAGAGAGCCGAATTCCAGAGTCCAATGCTTTCAGTGGCTAATTGTCAACTGTCCCAACGTGGAAATAATGGGAGTGAATGATGTGTGCTCTCTACATGCAATCGGGATGATGTGTGCAGAGAAGGGAAATCCACTTGTTGATGATGCATTGTGCATGCATGCATATCTCATTATTTATGCGGGACGTACCTGCATGTCACTCCTTTAAGTTCCCTGTTCACACTTTCTCCACGCCCCCGACTTCTGCTCAACTTCACGAAAGCGTAATCGCCAAATAATCAAGTGTGTTAAGCATCTGTAACTGGCTTCGTCTACTCGATCCCCGTCATTCAGATACTACCTCCTATTTCATGTACTGAAGACAGCCACATATCTCACTTCCATCGCCGACCCCTCCCCTCCAACCGTCGCATTATTTGGCGTCCTCTCCAAGCTCGGATTCGCCAAGACATCTGGAAACGAGCCTCCCACAGCAACGTTGAGCAAAATGTACTTGGGAGTTCGCGTAAGCGCCGTCCAAGCCTTCTCATCATCCACCCGGCTCCCCTTTACAGTGAACACGACCTTCCCATCAATCCTCCACACGATCTGCTCCTCCCTCCAACTCCCGCCGGGGTTCGTTCGATCAATGTCCACCGAGAACCTATGAAACCCACTCCAGCGGTGCGCCGCCTTATTGGTGATCCCCGTATACTCATTGCACGGGCCCGGCGCAGTTTTCCCGCAGTGTATTGTCTGCCACGCTGCCGACGCGCCGTTGACGTTCTCTAGAATGTCAATTTCGCCAACCATCGGCCAGTTCCAGTAGTTGCCTCGGTACGCTGAACTCATCATCCAGAATGCAGGCCAGATACCAAGCTGCTTGCTGACAGGGAGGTCGCCGAGCTTGATCCAGGCCTCGATTCGGATCGCCTGGCCAGGAGGACAGACAATATCTCTAGCTGCGACAGTCTCGATCCGGGAGGATGTCCAATTACCCGTTACTGGGTCCTTGACCGGTGTGATTTGGAGTGTTCCGGAAGTAGTGATGACGATGTTGTCGGTGGAGGCGGTGTAGGTCTGGACTTCGCCGGTGCCCCAGCCCTCCGGACCACCGGGATAGGATGTGCCCAAGTCAAAGGCCCATTTGGAGGTAGAAGGAAGGGAACCGGGCAGGTACAGGGCAAAGTTCTCAACAAAGAGTGCCTTCTTGAATCCCTTGGGAAGGTGGACGTGATACCCGGGTCCGTAACCCCATTCTTGGACCGGTGTTTCTGCAGCATGCGCTCCGCTGAGGAGAGCAAGACCAGTGGCCAAGACCAGAGAGAAAGCACCCATTTTGAAAGAATGGACGCTCGGCAGGGAGGACGAGCTAGCTCACGGAGAATGTAACGAGAGAATGTTCGGTCGAAGCCGGAAAGCGTAACAGCACTCACTACAGCGAGCCGCCTGGTATTAGCCGAATCGAGAAAGGGAGAAAGCTAACATCCTGGAGCTAGCTTCCTTCTGGTCCATCTTATATGCCAGTCATCCAGGTACTTCTCATATCCTCGGCGGAGGCTGGTCTATTACAGCCACTATCGTCGCCGCGCCGGCATGCTTCACGTTCGGGAACGCTAGCATTCCTGTTTATCCCTGGCTTTACCAACAAGGCTGGTCGAAACATGGAGGCTGAGAAGGAGTAATTCTCCGCACACCCACCTGAAGTCAAAAACTCAGGTACGTACACTCAAGATAGTGGGTCCGTGCACCTACTAATGTCTGACTGCAAATTTAGTTTTTACCTGCTATATTCTGTCTTTTTCAATACATGCTAACATTACCGCTACTGTTTACCCTTTTTCTCTCACGATTCAATGCATATTACTGCTTAGCTCGGTGATCAATTAATCAGAAAGATGACCAGGGTGCTCAACAATTGAATCGTGTAAAATAAAATTAAAACACAGTTATTTACATCATGTCTGGCTTGGTTGCCGCGCACAGGCCATCCCGAATTTGATGATCCAGAACTCTACCCCCATTACACTGAGAAAATTTGTTCTATTTTGGAGGCTCTGCAAAGTGTTGGAATTGATGGTCTTAATATTGCATCTTCATCAACAAAGGGAACCAAAAGTGGTGGATGTTTTGCCAAGGACGTATCAACAGGGGTAAGACCTGACTTGACGGTAACCATGATTTTGTCATGAACGAGCGTGGGCATACGGAGGATTACTCCTGAGAAGCACGTGTAATGTGTCTTAGATCCCGCTAGCCACGCTGCCGCCCCTTTTCTTGGAGATAGGCAGCCCCGAGAACGATCCACTCCGGGACATTCCACGGTGGTTCTAGATCCAAGACAGGACATACCTGTCCATGGTCTAGATCGACTGGAGGCAAAGATTGCAATCCCACGGCCTCATCCAGCTGAATACCATGGGAGAAAGATAGCGAGCATATCGGAAAGCGAAGACTCATACATCATGTTTGTTGAACCATACAGAGGAGGTGACGACCAATGCGAAAGAGGGACTACGGGGAAGAAGGAGGACACAGTCCTTATATACACTTCAAAATAGCCAAGCATGTGTACTATGTACATCGTATCCACTTGTGCCAAGAATGCCAAGACATGGTGATGGCTTCAAGACCGTTCACCGGAAGATATAGCTGGGCTACGTCGTGCAGTTGTTCACCAGACCTGTTTCTCTGGACACGATATAAGAAGTGAATGGCCCCAGAGTGCCGCTGGCCAGATATTTTTGCGCAAATTGCCAAGGCGTTGTGAAGCATCGCGAGTTTGTTTGGGCTGTGGGTGCAACCTGAGTTTCATGCCTCTCGGATCACAAAAGGCATAAATATCGGGACGCAATAGCTTTCAGCGTATTTGGAAAGTAGCCAAAACGTCACCCTTGCGCAGAACATCACAGTCAGAAGTACTACATAGCTCCATCAGCAAGCAGGTCTTAAGCAGTCAATAACCAGCTCCGCATACAGCCGTCCAGCCAGTTCAGGACTCACGGCCATGTGTATCCGCCGATTTGCCGAAAAGAAATGCTGGGAATGCAAGAACGTCATTTGGAGCGACGTCAAGGAGGAAAAGTGCTGGCCGATGGTTCTGGAAACAGAGGAGGAGGCTAAGAAAAAGGGTCGAACCCGAGGACAGTTCGGAGGATGCACACAAGGGGTGACCAAAAAGACTGATACGGACTGGAGCACTTGCTCCGACTGTGCCAGAAAGTCATACCTATAGGAGCGTTGATGGCAATCTGAAGTTTCGAATCAGGCCGATATTCCGTGGTTACCTACAATGGAAGTTTGATGAACGAATGGGGCTTACAGCTCACGCTCTGAGTAATGGCAACTTCAAATTACCGCAACCATGATACTCGCGTCCACTCACAAGAAGAATGCGGCCTCGATAACCCCGAGGATGGCAGTTTCCAATACGTTAGTAAACTCAGAGATGGTATTGATCTATGGAGCACAGGGTGAATCATCTGTGCATGCCGCTCGAGAAGTAACAGCAGCATCCAATTAGGTAGCATAATAACCCTTTTTGTCCCTCGCCTTGATTCTAGACAACAAGTATCGGAGGAGAGTGCACCACCAACCTCGATAGCGGCCATTCAGGCTTGTTTCCAGCTATATAATGACACATTCATAGTGTTACAGTCTAAGAATAGCATGGGAAGGATCTCGTCAGTGTGTAAGACCATCCCAACTCTGCTCTCTGGGCGCTAAATCCTATAAACGGCTGGCGGTGGGGAGGCAGATTTCTCCCATCTCGGACCCCATAACCAGGTCCAACGAAGTTCCAAACAAAACTGCTTCAACCTTTATGCCCCCCTTTGACAGTCAAAGGCAACCAAGAAAAACCCATCAAGTATCATCGATCAAGATGTGCAGAACCACCGTGTACAGAATCTACTGCGCCGACTGCAACAAATTCATGCGCGAGCACAGGGGCAGAGAGTACTGTGAAGAGGTTGAAAAATACTATAGAAAAGGCTACCAACCAGGATTGGACGCTTCTTGGCCTGACGAGTATGGCAGGTGCGAGGTTGGAGAGATAACTAGTATATTCACAGACATGAACACGCAGCGATGCTTTGCTTGCAAGAGAAAGAAAGATGAGAGAGGGGAGTCACTTAAGAGGAAGAGAGACGAAAGAGGGGAGTTACTGGGTAGTAGGAACAAAATGAAGCGCCAGAGGTTATGAGGTATCATGAATCATATCAGCGGCCGAGAGGGAGATGCGTCCAATCCTGAAGAACACTAGGCAAAGGGGAGAAGAACATGGGTCAGAAAGAACTCTCGGTCGCTATTCGAGGCCTCTCCGCCTTGGCAGGCAGGTGCCATCAGTTGGAAGGGAAGGAAGAACAGAGAAGGCACGAGAATAGATGGCCGCGCATGCGTGCATGTGTTTGCAGATAAAGGAAGGTACAGTCGTGAGCGTTTATCTACCGGTATTCTGTTTTCGACATCCAGTTTCTTTCTTCCTTCACATCATCTTCATTGAAGTCCCGGAGTCGATCGTTTCTTGCACGTGAATTAACCTCCAATTTGGACAACCAACATATCCGCTCTGCGCCGTTCCCCATCTTCGCCAACGCCCTAGCCGGCCTTTGTAAAGAGATCCACAAATATCTCGCACATCACTACATACCCAACCACCCTGTAGATATCCTCTCTGACGAACCCCATGTATCATCCCCAACAGGTCTAATCTAACAGCTCACTTTCCCATTTCTGCAACAATTTGAAGCTTCTGACGCATTAAAATTGTAGAATCGGAGTAATGACTGTGGCGTTGGATACCTACTCGCTCGAGATGATCGACGATGGGTGTGTTCAAGGCCTGAAGACTGCTTTCTGATTCGATTTGATCTGACTCTGGAACCGTCATGGCACTGGTGAATTGGCACAATGAAGCAGTGCAGTGCCCATCCCATGTGTGCCGTTTGCTTGTGAAGTAGAGCCCAGATATAGAGGTATGTCTTCGCAAAATGCGGCTTTCACACAACCTTCTAGGTTACAAGCTAACGAACGAGGTCGTCCCAAGTAAACAGAGACCACCGCGTTCGTACTTCTCATATGGCTCTGACGCAGATCGCTCTCGAACGTATACCTCTAGTAACGTACAAACGAGTCGTAATATACGACAATTAGCAATCCACAAGATAAATACCTCCTCTATCCCCCCCGTCTATCGTTCTGTCCTCCCTTCTACCTTACCATCCTCAAAAACAAAGCAGGTCAAGCCTACCTCTACAGTGCAAACCAACCACCGTCGTTAACCAATACTACCACCACCAACAATTGCTCGCTGCCTCACTATCTACAGCCCAAAAAGATGTGTCTCCACGCCATTACCCGCACCAAGTGTCCCGGTTGCGCTAGAGAACTGAAAACCGAGACCAAGGAGACCAAATGCAGCGATGCCATAACCAACAACAAGAGCTGGGGCAAGTGCAGGAGCGGAGGTAGAACCACGGAATCGAGCATATGGGGGCGGTATTGCTATAGTTGCAAGGGTAAGAGCAACTACAAGGAATACGACTGCTAGACTATAGTGGTACGTTGGCTGCTGGAGTTGCTTGTGATGGAACAGTTGGGACAGTTGGGACAGTTGGCAGACAGTTGGGTGATGGAAGATGGTGAAAAGTAGGCCTGGGTACCTTACAGATCACCTCGAGGTCAGGAATAGGGAAATAACAATAACTCTTCGTTCGTCTTCAATTTGCCTCTTGTCGATGATACTTCCGCGTTCCATTCACAACCCTCGCTACCTCCAATGTATAGACGTCCCCTTTCTCACTAATGTAAAATAGAAGGTAGCATTTGAAACGCACGACTTGGAAAATTTCCAGCAAACAACACCAAAAAGTCGCCCTCGTCACTCCTCGATTCAACCGCAACATCAACCAGAAAGAACAATGCATTTTGCATTCTAGAGGAAATCAAACTCGTATTGTGAAACCTACCTATCCATCTTACTCTGAATCTATCAAGGTTTTAGAGTGTTGGTGAAGTCGTTGTTTCCCGACCTCAAAAGTACGTGTTTTGAGTAAGAATGACCAGCTGTGCGTTTTGAAATGTTACCCACAGTAGCTCTTCATGGTGTCCACTTGTCAGGCTTGTCAAGTGGCGGTAGAAGTAAGCCAAACAGGTCACGATCAAATATATCACGCTTTCGATATACTCTTGCCAGCATCCACTCGTCCCTATCAACATCCCTTTTGATCGAGATTCAGAACGTCTTCCTGACTGAAACGGCACGATAGAGTTTTGGCCCACGTGCTAGCTGAGAAGTGCTCGCACAGTCAAGTGGAAGAGCGGTTCGAGGCACAAGTAGGATAAGGAAGGAAAATGAATAGAGAGCGTGAACAAGAGTTTCCTTGAATCATAATTTGATCAATGCCAAATGAAAGAGTGAATATTGTCAACAAAAGCAGTGAGTCGAAGCGGCAGTGAGGGATGAAGAAGGCAGTGTATCGTCATTGACTGAATGTATGTAGTAGGAGTAAGAATATCTGGTCGGCCTTCAACCATCCGTTCACCTGAATCAGATCCAGCCCTGCGGATGACAAAGTAGTACGTGATGTAGATGGATCCAGCGATGTGCAGACGACGAGAAAATAACCGAAGCATTCAAAATATCGCCTCGGGCGTGAACTGCCACGGACGGAGGGATTGGGAATAGATATCGGGTATAGATATCGAAGGTACCTCGGCCTCCAAAAGGTCAACGAGGTCAGTACCAACATCGACCACCCTCAAACACACAAGACACCCAAGATAGCCGTTACTATCCCGAATAGCCCACCCAATTCCAATGTGCACAAGACACGTTTGCATAACATATTGCCAGCATTGCGCCGTCGTGATGCGCAGAAGATCCTACCAGGTCAAATGCAACTACGTCATAAGTCGCCAGCGGGTATGGGGCGGTTGCGGGCACAGGTTTCATCAGGAGCATGTCAGCTTCAGAGAGTGCTCGAGGTGCGCACGCGAATGAAGGCGGTGAAGAGGAGGAGGAGGAGTGAGGGAAACAAAGGATTGAAGAGTGGACAGCAAGGAGAATGAAGGTTATCGGACCTGTTTGGATTGAGCTAATGATGGGCTGTCACGCAGCTGACTAGTGACGGGTAAGGGAAGGAAAAGAAGAAGCCGAAAGAAGTAAAGAGGGAAGTCTGGAAAAGAAGCAAGGAAAAGGGTATGTTGTTCTGGTATATCCACTGAACTCCCACCCAGTCCCAGGTATACTTTTCAACCAAACCATTGTACAAAACAATGGCTAGGTGATTTACCAAAACCCCCCCAAAAAAACCTAACAAACGCCCAAGCCCCAGACCTGAAGCCACCCTTTGACCGTGATCAATTCCGTCTTGGCGAGAAGCACAGGTCCCTTACTGTCCACCTCATCCCCATAATCCTTTTCTGCCATTACCCATATGATTCCGACATCCCCTGTCCCCATCTATACCTCATCGATCCCTGTATCGTTCACAGTCTTTACCATCTTCGTGGTCTTGGTGTTCCTTGCCCACCACCCCTGGAATATATATTGGGTTTCCCGCCTGTAGTGGCCTTCAAACAGTCCTCAGCCTCCTTCAGCAAAGCTTCGAGTTCCTCTTCCGTGGCATTTCTTGTCAGGAGAGGCTGCATGGAGGCAGTTAGGCGGTCCAGTCGTGCTTGGTCGAAGCCGTGGATGAGTCCTTCGGTTACTGTGGGTTTGGTAATCTTTTTGAGGGGCATCGAGTAGTACTTCTGGGGGGTTCGACAAATCTGCTCGTGGGTATGTCAGTTTATTTGTGGATATGATGATGCGACTGGTGATTCTTGTGGGTAATTGATAACGATTACAAAAGTAAGACAAAGGATATTACATGTGAATTCTTGTGACTGAAGTGCGTTATGGTTGCGAAATTCAACTCGACATTCGTGGTCGGAGGAACGGCATATTAAGGGGTCCGAGACGTCTTCTGGAAGTAGACTCTTCCTGTTGTCTCCGACACACAGTTGGCCTTGCCAACAAGGGGACTATTGTCGAGTCTTTGTCCAGTGGGAAACAACTCGGCAAGAGAACCATACAGGAAGCCAGGCATGCGCCAGGCTGGTTGAAAGGTTTTAAAGATGAGCGGGCTGGAACAAAGACCGACCGTGGGGAAAAACCACGTCCGCGCCTTCGGGAACTGTGGGTGACCAACCTCAAGGCCCTCTGAGGTAGCGATTTCCACGTTAGGATGTCCACCCCTCGGTGGCTTGATGCTGACCTAAAAGTCGGGTGGAAGGAGATGCGGAAAACTGTGAGGCGCCGGCAGTTGATGGATCTATTTGCCGGAACACAGAGCAACGGGACGGGACAAGAAAACAAGTAGCGAACCATCAAATGGTTTGTCATAGAAATGAACGATATGGTAAGAAAGCACTGGTTGCTAGATGTCCAATGGGACCGAGTTGACATCAATTTTGCACCACATGAATTGACAGAGCGAAACAGCAATACAGGAAAACGAATCATGAGCTCGGCCATGACTGTAAAACCAAGAACGCAAAGCACAATGTAAGCCCCTAGGCAATACTCGCCATCAATGGGGACATTCAGAAAGGAAGGTTCTCTGGTATCACTCGCTCAAACCAACCCGCTGGCCGACGTAAACAAAACAGAAACTGCTTGACCGGACCATATCCATCCAGGAGGCATGTTTTCCCATACCAAAAAAAAACAAAAAGCCGGAACGCCTTTATATCCCTCAGGCCCAAGAACGCCAACATGCAGAACCAACAGGATAGATAGAAGAAGGACTGAAACAGGCTAGAAGAGAACAGCCTATTCCTCAGACCACTGCTTGGGTGCTTGTGTCTGTGAGTGAGAAGCAACCACCGTGTTCACCTAGATACTCCTGTTGTGTGCTTCCCTCAGACGCTTAATCCAATGTTTGCGCACGTGGTTGGGCATCTTGCAAAACACCATGGCCTTGTTCTCGTCCGTGAGGGCCTTTTCGGCCACCTTGAGCTGAAAGTCCATATCCTCCTGGGCGAAGTCTCGGAAGAAGATCTCGACGGCTTGCTCTGCCCAACTCAACTTGGGCTTGGGAAAACGAAGAACCTCTGCCAAAGCTGTCACCGCATCGGGAGTAGATAGACTGCTGACTGCGGAAGAGCTGGCAATACCCGGGGGCTGAGAAGCGTGGTCAACAGAGTTTGAGGCAGTACGGCGGCGTTTTTCAGCGTTAGTAGAGCCGCTGGAGCCACTGCTGTCAGGCATGTGAGGCCTTCTTCGGTTCTGGACAGGATTCTCCTCGGGTGGCGTGAGGGCGGACGTGCTCGGGTTATTTCGGGGCTGATGTGCGCTCAGGTTGGGCCGGGAATGTGATGGTGGTTGCGACGACGGCAAGGTTGGTGGAGTGGGAATGGGGGCCAACACAGGGGCGGGGATGGGAGAGGGAAGAGGGGCGGAAGCCGAATGGACTGGCGGCGGCGGAGGAGGCATGTGAGCCTGTGGATGAGGGTTCGCGTAGGATTGATCGGCAAGGAGGTTCATGATGGTCGTATTAGGGGCATCCTGGTCGGCGTGGCCGGGGCCGTGACCGGGACCGTGACCGGGACCGTGACCGGGACCAGAGCCGGAGCTGGAGCCGGGACCGAGGCCGGGGCCGGAAGGGTTGAGGTTGTCGTTCGTCTTGCGGGGGCGTTGTTTGGTCAGTCGTTTGGGGGCACCGCCAGAGCCGATGACATCGGGGAACAAGATCTCGTAAAGTTCTTCATGTTCGAAAGGTCTTCCACGAAGGGAGCGAGAGAGTGGTTCCATCTGATACAACAGCAAACATGAGGTTAGCGGGAGTCGCTGAATCAAGATGCGACGAGGCAACGCGATGCCGACGTGACATGACATGACGACGCACCTGCAAATGTCTGGCCCATGCTTCCTCGGAGGCATTCACAGTCCTGGTCATGACATCGTAGTGGAAGTCGGGATCCTCGCGCAGACCACGCCACAGACGGAACTTTTTCCGAGCATTGTCGCTCTTGTTGATGAGGTGGCCCTTGTTGGCATAGGCGTTGTGGTGGGTGATGAGGGCCTGCAATGCGCGGTCCCAGGCCTCGGGCTTGAACGTGTTGCCCTCGCGTAGACCGAGATGGACCGACTCGCAGAGGGAGGTGAAGAAGGTGGTCTCATAGGCACTGTTCCAGCTGAAGCGGGGGCCGCGGTGCTTACCGGGAGCCAAGGCGGGAGGGCCGGCACCGGGAGCGGAGGCCGGGAAGGGGTCGTCGGACATTGGGGGCCGTCCGTGTGGTCCGTGGTCCGTGGTCCGTCCGCGGTTCCGTCCGGGATCCGTACGGGTCCGTTGACCACTGCAAGGTATAGCTAAGTACAGACCGCAGTAAGTACGGTACCGTTAAGGTGCCGCGTTGTCGGGATGAGTGGAGCCCCCTTTCTGGTCGGCTGTTGACGCCGTTTGTTGACGCCGTTCGAGTAGGTGTCCGACGGAGGCTACTCCTTGGACAGTGGCCCCGTCCGCCAGTTGAGTTGTTTGTTGTCCGTCTAGCAACGGGACTGACGGATGGTCAAAAAGAGGGAAAAGGGAATCGAAGACGGAAACCAAGCCGCCCGAGGGTTGGTCGGGAGGGTGCGAAAATACCCCAGAAACGGAGGCAGAGATGGGTCGATTGCACTGTAGTCAGTGGTGGGTCAAGGCGGCGGGGCAGGGACTGTAAAGTCAAGCAACTTGAAGCGTCAACACACGACGGCGCAGCACGCGCAGCTGCCAGGGCAGAGCGCGAGACGGTCAAGCCGACAAGGTGAAGAATTGTAATTGCGACGGCGACGGCGGGAACTGAGCGCACCTCGGCGTTTCAACGGGAGAAAGAAGAAGAAAGGTTTCGTTTCAATCGCGCTTCCGTTTCATGGCAATCATGGGAATCCCGTCATCAAGCGCGTGCGTAGATGAATGGATGTTCTCGATGCTCGGTCTAGACTGTGACTGGAGTGAGTGAGTGGCAATCGGGGGTTGGTGCAGGTCTTGCTTGCGAGGAGGAAACTGTTAAAGCCGTGCACTGCAGTCCAGACAGATCCCGTCACCGTTTCGCCGAATGATCGATTGAACTTCAAGTTGGAAAGAAGGCTGCAGTGACAGTGCACTACAGTATGTAGGAGACGAAGACGGAAGAGCGGGGCCTGTTGGACCGCAGATAAGAGAAGTGGACCAACGCTGCCAGCTGGCGTACTCGTCTCCACTGTCAGAGAGGTACAAGGCTACAACTGAAGCAGACTTTGCTTGCGGTCAAAGCGCAAAATTCAAAGTCGCGAAAAGTGAAACGGACCATGACTGCCACTGCACTGCACTGCAGAGTCGAGTCCAGACCTGTTTTTTGCTTCCTCTTCTGCCAAGCCAGATCACGGGATCTTGTGGACCCTGCTGCTCGCTCAAACCATTTGCATTCGACATGTCCCCTTCCAGCTCCAGTACTCGCTCATCCCAATCACCAATTCAATTGAATACCTCACTCCGTCTCAGCAGCCTTGTGATCAGCCACAACGGATGGCGTATAGTGTACGCGTTGTTGGATCATCGGCCCATGTGTGTCAGGACAGAGTTAGCTCCAGGTGCAAGTGCCAGTCCCCGGAATCTGGGAGTCGTCCTCTTCCGTGATCCGGGGATAGCTTCGCCCACAACTCCACGACCGGACAGCAACATCTGACGAATCGTTCAAGGCTGATCACAGTCCACAGGGTTTCATCGGCCGCGCTCAGCCAATCATACATGACCGAGAATTGGTGTGCTCCCAGACCACTTACACGCCCAGTTTCAGAATGCCAAGCCCTTTGTTTCAACTGTTTCGAAAATTACCGAGTTCATGAGTCGTCAACACCAACACCACAAGTGTCACAGCCATCCATAGCTACCCATGCCCACAATGCTGGCCCAAGAGAAGCATGTCGGCCCCTTGGAGTTTCGATGCTCGTCTCTTCCGAGTCTCCTGACGAGGCCTCCTCGTCGGCGTCAACAGTCTAGATGGCAAACCAGTCTAGTGATTCTGGTAGAATCACACCTCCTGAGGTCCAAGCGGTCCTGGGTTTGAATAGATATTGCCTCTTTCCTGTCTTTATAACAACATAAAAGATTGATGCAGCACTGAGCTTACTTTGTTTTCTTCTTGGCCACCTTTATCTGTATCTTCTATTCTTCCCACTCGCTTCTGCTAAACTCTACCACCTGGCGTGGTAGTTGTTGCCTTGTTGTTCTTCTGTCTTTTGAGTTCTCATCACTCCCTCACAATGCCTGTCTTATTCAAGCTCTTCATTTTTAGCGTCTTGCTTTCCCTGGTGGTGGCTGTGCCACTCACCAAACGCTCATTCAAAGTCGAACGGGTCAGGAATCCGAACTTCAAGGGACGCAATGGCCCCAGGGAGCTGTTGAAGGCGTATCGGAAATACCGAATGCCAGTTCCACAACCCCTACTTGATGCCATGAACAACCAGAACAATGGCACCACACCGACAATCACATCAATAACCCAGGCAGACACCTCCGAGAGCGAAAGCCTGCGGCTAGACGCTACTGGTGGCAGCAGTACAGCAGCGGCGACAGGAACGGCTACTGGTGCTGTCACGGCCACCCCTGAACAGGACGACGTCGAATATCTTGCTCCAGTCACCATTGGCGGTCAAACCATCAACCTCGACTTCGACTCGGGCTCATCCGATCTGTGGGTCTTCAACACGCAACTTAGCCCCCAGTTAACAGCTGGCCATCAAGTCTACAACCCTGCTGCATCCAAGACCTTCAAATTGCTACCGGGACATACCTTTGAAATCAGCTATGGAGATGGCTCTGCTGCTGCCGGTAATGTCGGTACCGACGTGGTGGAGATTGGCGGTGTTTCTGTCCAGAACCAGGCTGTCGAGCTTGCCACCAAAGTTACCCAGACATTCATCCAAGATACCCAGAACAATGGCTTGCTCGGCCTTGCCTTCTCCAAGCTCAACACTGTCCAGCCTCAGCAGCAAAAGACCTTCTTCGACAACGTTCTCCCCTCTCTCGCCGAGCCCGTCTTCACTGCCGATCTCCGCCATAATGCCGTCGGTGCTTATGAATTTGGCCGCATTGATAACACAAAGTTCACGGGACAGTTGGCATGGATTCCCGTCAACACAGCTATGGGCTTCTGGCAGTTCACGACATCTGCCTTCTCCGTTGGGAGCGGCCAGGCTGTGAAAGTGAAACCGACACAGGCTATTGCCGATACGGGCACCACGCTGATGCTCGTTTCCCAATCAGTGGCCAACGCCTATTATAGCCAGGTCCAAGGAGCTAAGAACGATCCAAACGCGGGAGGAATTACATTCCCCTGTAGCACCAACCTTCCCGACCTCCTTGTGGACGTGGGTGGGCGGTATATGGCCCGCATCAAGGGCGATGACATCAGATTCTCCCAAATCGATGCCACTAGTAAGTTTACACCATCTCCTTTTCATAACAAGTCAAACACTAGATGCTAACATCGATGCTCTTTTAGCTTGCTTTGGCGGTGTTCAGCCCACGACATCTGCGTTGGAAATCTGGGGAGACATCTTCTTCAAGTCTCAATTTGTCGTTTTCAACGGCGGTAACAACACGCTCGGCATGGCCCAACATGTGTAGTAGCACATGCTTTATGTCGACTAGTGACGACCGCCATGACTGTTCTGCGCCGGAATGATTGATATAGTATACCTAATAATATCATTTTGAACAACAGACCCTCAGGATCTATTGGCTTGCTTTAGCTTGGCCGGTCTAAGTTATGTGATCACTCAGTTTGACTTGTGACCTCCGATGTCAAGTGGACAACTGATTTTTCAGGGCCTGTCTCTCAGCTACATGAACCTCGGTGTTTTCTTTCACGGAAGCACAGTATATGGATGATTGGTGGGAAGATTTATATGCAGTGCACCAAGATCTCTGGTTGATCGTTTCCGCGAACCATTTCCCATCTCGTCACAAAGTTGCATTTGCCTTGCGGCTCTAACCCGGTCCCGCATTCAATCCGACACCACAACCAAAAAAAAACATCCCGGTCCTCAGAACATCACGCGAGCTTCAAAGGCACCATCCCCCGCATTCCAACTTCAGCACTGACGACTGTGGCTTCGGCATGAGCTTCTCTTGGTATCGTTTCTAGTCCCGAAAACACGATGGGAGCTCGGCCGTTCTCAGAGGGGGCGGGGTGTTGCACAGCGCGAGAAGAGGCTACATGTAGCCTAATTAATATATGGGAATGCGGCCCGGCTGTTGTCGGTGGTCACAACCGCTCGGGATGTTTCCTTGGCCAGTTGAAGAACATAGTATTCGCTCGCCTCGTGTCCTCCCGAACGCCACAACATCTCGTCCACTGCCGGAGCTGCACCCCGCCATTTATTTCGCACATGAAGCATGACCCCACTGCATCACGATGATCCTTCGGGGCCTCAGCGCCCGATGTTTTCCAGTCTAAATCCAGGTCTTACATGCCCGGAAGATGATACTGAAGATGGAATTAGGTAAAGTGGCGGTAGCTATCCGTTCAGGAAGCTCGCCGTGGTTCCGACTGGGCATTTCTTGGACTTCAGTATAAGAGAAGGACGTTTCTTGGTCTGGTGGGAAGGGAGGGAGAGGTTGACCTTATGAGAGGAATTCAACCCTGGCTGAAGGACCACCAAGAAGAACCGGGACCGTCACAACACTCAAGGAAGCGCCCGACATGCACCTTCGAATATTTGCGGTGTTGGCCGCGACTTCCCTCGCCTGGGCCGAGACTAGCGAGAAACAAGCTCGTCAAGCTGGCTCAGGTTTTGCGGCGTGGGACGCAGCCTATTCTCAGGCAAGCACTGCTCTCTCCAAGCTTTCACAACAAGACAAGGTCAACATCGTCACCGGAGTCGGTTGGAATAAGGGCCCATGTGTTGGCAACACCCCAGCTATTGCATCAATCGCTTATCCCCAGCTCTGTTTACAAGACGGCCCTCTCGGCATTCGGTTTGGAGGAAGTGTCACCGCGTTCACGCCTGGTATCCAGGCGGCTTCAACATGGGACGTCGAATTGATTCGACAGCGCGGCGTCTACCTCGGTGCGGAAGCCAGAGGGGTTGGCGTACATGTCCTTCTTGGACCCGTGGCCGGAGCGCTTGGCAAGATCCCCAATGGTGGACGTAACTGGGAGGGCTTTGGTCCGGATCCCTACCTCACAGGTATTGCCATGAGCGAAACAATTGAAGGGATCCAGAGCAATGGTGTACAAGCTTGCGCCAAGCACTTCATTCTCAACGAGCAGGAGACGAACCGCGAGACTATCAGCAGTGTCGTCGACGACCGCACCATGCATGAACTATACCTCTTCCCTTTTGCCGATGCTGTACACTCAAACGTTGCAAGTGTGATGTGCAGCTACAACAAGGTATGCTCATCCTTGCCTTCTTGTATGTAACCTGAAGGATCTGAGTGGCTGACAGGCGTCTAGGTCAATGGTACATGGGCATGTGAGAATGACAAAATCCAGAATGGCCTTCTCAAGAAAGAGCTAGGTTTCAAAGGATATGTCATGAGTGACTGGAACGCCCAGCACACCACGAACGGCGCTGCAAACAGTGGTATGGATATGACGATGCCCGGCAGCGACTTTGATGGCAAGACGATCCTGTGGGGACCACAGCTCAACACCGCCGTCAACAATGGTCAGGTCTCCAAAGCAAGACTGGACGACATGGCCAAGCGCATTCTCGCATCGTGGTATTTACTCGAGCAGAACTCAGGCTACCCTGCGACTAACCTCAAGACCAATGTTCAAGGAAACCACAAGGAGAACGTTCGCGCAGTGGCAAGAGACGGCATTGTTCTGCTCAAGAACGACGATGACATCCTCCCGCTCAAGAAGCCTAGCAAGCTGGCAGTCATTGGGTCATCGTCCGTTGTCAACCCTGCGGGAAGGAACGCCTGCACCGACCGAGGATGCAACACCGGTGCGCTCGGCATGGGTTGGGGCTCCGGCACGGCCGATTACCCCTACTTCGTAGCACCCTATGATGCTCTCAAGACGCGGGCTCAGTCCGACGGAACAACCATCAACCTACTCAGCTCTGACAGCACCAGCGGCGTAGCCAACGCTGCCTCCGGGGCCGACGCCGCACTAGTCTTCATCACAGCCGATTCCGGCGAAGGCTACATCACGGTCGAGGGCGTGACCGGCGACCGTCCCAACCTCGATCCCTGGCACAACGGCAACCAGCTAGTCCAAGCCGTGGCTCAAGCCAACAAGAACACCATTGTCGTCGTCCACAGTACCGGCCCCATCATCCTGGAGACTATCCTCGCGCAGCCGGGCGTCAAGGCGGTCGTGTGGGCCGGTCTCCCCAGCCAAGAGAACGGCAACGCCCTCGTCGATGTCCTATACGGCTTGGTCTCTCCCTCGGGTAAGCTGCCGTATACTATCGCCAAGAGCGAAAGCGACTACGGCACTGCCGTGCAAAGGGGAGGGACGGATCTGTTCACTGAGGGTCTGTTCATCGATTACCGCCACTTTGACAAGAACGGTATCGCTCCCCGGTATGAGTTCGGTTTCGGTCTTTGTAAGTTTTTCCCTTCCCCCTTCCATAGTAGGTAGGCAACAGTTCACTCACCTCTTCTGTACCTCAAAACATGCAGCCTACACGAACTTCACCTACTCCTCCCTCTCCATCACCTCCACCGCCTCCTCCGGTCCCGCCTCGGGTGACACCATCCCCGGCGGCCGCTCCGACCTCTGGGAAACCGTGGCGACCGTCACCGCCGTCGTCGAAAACACGGGTGGTGTGCAGGGCGCCGTGGTACCCCAGCTGTACATCAGTTTACCCTCTTCCGCGCCATCGAGCCCCCCGAAACAGCTCAGGGGGTTTGCGAAGCTGAAACTGGCGCCCGGAGAGAGCAATACAGCTACGTTCATTTTGCGGAGGAGGGATTTGAGTTATTGGGATACGGGCAGGCAGAATTGGGTGGTGCCTAGTGGCAGCTTTGGGGTGGTGGTGGGTGCTAGTTCGAGGGATTTGAGGTTGAATGGGAAGTTTGATGTTTATTGAGTCAGCTGTGGGGGGTAAGGGCTGTTAGCTGACCTGCCTGAGAATTAGCTGCCTCTTTCTTTTTCCTTCCTTCTTTCTTTCTTTCTTTCTTTCTTTCTTTGTGTGGCTTTTGTTTTCTTGGACAAGACCTCTTCCTTGGATCAAAGTTTGGAATGTCCAGCACGTGTGTTCATTTGAGCGTGGGCTCGGATATTGAAGACCAAGCCGCTAGCCAGACTATGTGGTCTCATATCGATGAGTAGCGCTACAGCGAAAAAGCTTCAGGGAGCATCTCGAGTAGCAACAGATTAGGTCGAAGTGCCCCCCATGCTCTTTTGCGTTCTCTTTCCATGGGTATCATGCTTATGTGCAGCTACCTGTGCAGGTTGTCGGACTTGGGACCAGTACTGTCTCCCACTCTTTGATCCCAGCCCTCTATGTCATAACTGACTCCCATCCAACGCCACTGGGTGTCTGGCAGTAAGATCATCACCCTTCCAACTCTCGGTAGCCGGGCATTAGAGGCAGCCAGCAACGACAAAAACCGAAATAATCGACCGCCATCCATTCCACGGATTCCATCCCGCTTGTTGTTAACTTGAGAACCATGGATCATGCTCAACAATCCCCATTTTCCCATGGTGCCGGGATCAAGGGGCGATGGTAACTTATCATGTCACACAATGACACGCTTGTCTCCGGACTTCGGTTGTGGTACCATGCATGCTCCGAATATGGGATGTTAAAAGTCACGCACGGCAACTGTCCTCCTTTAGTGCCCAGAAGCCAGATACCGTGCTTGCCGCGCGAACCCCTTTCCCCTCCTGCCCTTCGTCGTTCTCCCCGCCAAACCAGGGGCCGAAGCTTCAAGGTTAGTTTCGACAAGTCGCTCACTGTCCCTGCTGTGCTTGTAGCCGGCCAGCGTGATCGGGAAGGTAGTCAAGAGTAGACTCGACAATGCAACCAACCGCCCCCCTGCACCTAGCTTATCACCAAGATCGTGAAGCTGATAGGGGCACACCTACCTCAAAAAGATCACCTGTTTGTTGATCACGCCCCTCCTCCGTGTGCCATTCATTGCTGGAACCCGCAAGCTTTGATTGGAAAAGATGTTCACACCAAAACCCGCGAAATGCGCTCACGAAATGTGTCAGACTGCTGCCCAGTGTGTGTGTGTGTGTGTGTGTGTGTGTGTGTGTGTGTGTGTGTTCGTATCGATGTTCCCCTCACTTCCGGACCCTACGTGTAGTGGGGGGGGATGGAACTGGTCGAGAAGGAAAGGATGAGGGGATTGCATTAAACTAAGTTCAGGGCGACAGGGCGTGACGGCGTGGATGGCCCCTTATTCGTCTCACCATTCCACTAGTGACTAGTGTCGATGTTACCTCCCCTCTAAGCTACACTAGGTGGTGGGCTGCTAGTGCTGGGCAGTTAGCGTACGATGTAGCGCTGTTGCCGCGGGTAGGGCTTGGGATATAAGAATTGAACTTCCCCTCAGACTTCAATTTGGTGTTTTCTTTCCTTTTTCTTTTTTAAGACTCTTTGATTTCGTATCAACGGCACTTTGACCACCAACCTAAGCCAAACAAATCCCCAACGACAACGACAACAACAACAATCAACATGTGCGGAGACTCTTGCTCTTGCGGTGACAGCTGCACCTGTGCCAACTGCCCCAAGCACAGCAAGTAAATGCATTTGACCATGCAAAATTGTAAGTCACACCGACATGCATGTCCTGCCTGTCTTGATGATGTTCGAACCGAATCAAATTCCTAACATCACCCAGAAACCAATTCCCAAATTGTTTCAGACCCGACATCTCCATCCCTCGTTCGACGTTTTTCCGAGTATGATCATCAAGACATCGCCTCTCATTGAACCGACTGCCTAGCAAAGGGGAACCGGAAACACCGATATGGAGTATCACCTCAGTGTCAACTTTCAACAACTGCGTTCCTTATGAATCAATCGGTTCCGGGTTTCGGTCTGGCTGGAAGTGATGGACGTTCGGGTTGCCACACTGGGAAAGCTTGTGGATGGATGAACGACTCGTTGTGCTGCGTTATACAAGCATCAAATTAAGCTTTAAATTCAAGGAAGATGACCAATCTTCTTTTCCGTTGCGTCCCCTGATGCCACAACTTTGTGGAACCCGGTTCGAATCGCTGCATGTTTGGATGGAAGTTCCGCTGTGTTTTCCAAACCGGCAGATGCTTTGGACTTACTGGAGGAGAGTTGTTGTGAGAGGGAGACTTGCTCGTGTTTCATTGTGTTCGTATGTTGCTCTATCAACTTGGCGAAGTGGGCTGGGAAAGGTGAGTGATGACCCTATATGCGGCTCCCTCTTCGACTCTTTTCTTGGCACGGGGGGTTAAGTATCAATGTGAGGACACTGCTATACTTTGTCGGCTTCGGCAGGGGTTTGCTTTTTTTTTCTTAGTATGCAGACCAAACTAATGCAGTAAGTTCGTATTTTACGAATCCCATAATCTCACAGATATTTGGAGGATAACAGTGATCCCAACAGCGAGATACCCGGTGAGTTCTCCTAAAGGACTGACACTGCTGACACAGCCACTGTCTCAAAAGGTAAGTCCAGCATGAAAGCTTGCCACCTACCATGCTAAACAAATTAACCTCTTTATCTCCCTTCGTATCATGTTACCCACAAAGCGTTGAGTGGGACGGTTGGGGCTACATATGGGCCTGAGATGACCAATAATTTATAACGTAGGTCCCATATCCCCGAAGGTTCACAAAGACTAACGTAAAAATCACACCACAGCGTACAGTATCGTTGCTCAACACCATCCATTGGTACTCCGATCTATAACCTTGTGAGAGCGTGAAATGGACACAGGTGCAACCCAGTGGATAGACGATGTTCCCATTCCCACCGGACTGGCCGAGCAGCGAGACAGAATGCCTTTTGGCCAAATCCAAACACAAGCACAAGCTTAATGCTCTGTTTGGGTAGTGGTTACTGTCGTTGACACCTTGCCACTCACCAGCAGCATGTCGTGGAAGTAGCAGCGAGGCAACCCGTTCCCATCCCATACCTGTAGTCTCATTGCTGGCTTGATGCGATATGCTCTTATGGCCTTAAGCTCAGCTGCCCTCCTTCCACCGTTGAACTTCCGGTGATACCCAGACATAATCCACTGCGCGATATGTCATCATCACCATCGAACGATAGATATAATTCTCCGATGTCGCTTGTCTCAAGATGAGATATATGGCGATGCAGGGACTTGGGGCAATCTGCACGATCGGGTTGTCGAAGAGTAGGTAGAGGTAGGTAGCTTCAAGATGGTCTTGGACAGCACGGCACAGCCACGCAGTCGAGGTCCAGACTCGATATTGTACCTGTAGATCTCGACGTGGACCAGATTCCAGAAACATCGAATAATGTAGATCCAGATGTAGATACGGTAGGTAAATCAACAAAGGCAGCAGAAGACCTGAAGGATGAATGATTCCTTCAAAACCTCCCTTCAACCAACCTCCCATCCAACAGCGCCTCCGTGTCAAGTTCGTAGAATCCAACACACACACCTTTAACAGTATAACCCACATCCAACTCATCTTTATTATCCTCAAACTAGAACTCAAACTTAGACTTCGTCTTCAAGCAACAACATATACACCCACACATACACCCACACCCACACATACACATCCATCTCTCATTTCATGCCTACTTCCCACAAACAGCAAACCAGTAACACCCAATCACGCCTTACCAGCACAAGCACCACTTATTCAAACATGTGCACCCAAGCAATCACCCAATCCCTCTGCTCCCACTGCAAGGAGCTGCTCCTCGAAGTCACCACCGAAGAGCGCTGCCCCAAAGTCATCCAAGCGCAAGCCTACACCTTCTCGTGCGGCGCCAAGAAGACGACCAAAGCAAGGGAGTACCCGAGGAAGTGCGCTGCGTGTGTGAAAAAGGAGAGGGAGGAGGAGGAGGGGTCGGAGAAGAATGGGAGGAGGATGGGGGAGAGATCAGGTAAGTCCAGTCCCGCTCGAATAGAGAGGGTCTTTCTTGTGTTGTTTGTTGCTCGTGCGAGCACTGCATGTGCACACTGCACATTGATGGCTAACCTCCACGTGTTTTACCTACCTACCTACTGTAGTGTCGGCAGCACTTTTGTTGAGCCCCCTTATTGCTGGTCGAGGTATCCGCTGCCAGTCGTGCCCTTCTGTTTGGCAGCTGGGAGGACGGAGTCGGTAAGAAGGGAGGAGGTGTGTTGTTTTAGTTGGTGAAGCGTCAGGATCTCATGCCTTTTTTTTTTGGGACTCTATGAAATCTCGAATAAGATGGTGACGGACTAGTAGTTTGGAGGGATGGAAGAGTAGCTGTGGACTATGATACAATCAACGGGGAAAAAACACAAAGAGAGGAGCGAAGAACAAAAAGGAAAAAAAAACAATAACAACACCAGGGATTCGCTGGTCGTCACCGACCCAACTACTAGTCTGGCCCTCACTGGCTTATCTATGGGAGAGCGGACGGGATCCCGAGTTTTCCAGTGGGTATGGTCGTATGTGCTTCTTGCTTGCAAATGTGGAGCTTATCAAGCTAGGCAACTGGAATTCCTGTGGGCCTTCTGCCCGTGGTACGTCCTTTCTTTTCACTTGTCGACGGGGACACTACAACATAGAACTATTCAAGACGTATAGCTGTCTGGGAATAGACCAAGTTGATTATCAGCTGCTTCTTTCATTTCATTCGATCCTCCTCTTTCCATATGGAGACCGATGATAGGTCCGCCCACACTCATTGCCTTCCCTATTCTCAGTCCCATGGTCAGTGGCTGGCAACCCAACCCTTATACTTCTTCCCTAGTAGTATCCCAAACCACCTCTGTCCCTTCCATGTCCCATTCTAAACTAGAGAACTCCAAAACATCAACCTCTTCCGCTCGACATCCAACCCTCCCCGCGGAAGTGCCCTCACCCTCGTCTCCCCAACCACCAACTCCCTCCTCCCCTTCACCAGCTGCTTGAACACCTCACCCCACCCATCCCTACTCATCTCCACCCCCACCCAATCGATCTCTTCCACCTCCACAAGCCTAAAGAGTCCAACAAATTGCTCCGCCTTCCTCGACAACACCGGTCCTTGACACCAACTCCTTCCCTGATCCCTGCTTTCGGCATGCTGAGCGCGGATTCTCCACTGTAGAAGAACTTCAGGAATTCCCTTCAAGATGATTTGGTCATCGGTCGCTTGAACTACGCCGGTTGGGTCGCACCAGAGCATTTGATCGCGGATGTATCGACGAAGCTCCTCGCGCTCAGGAGGGAAGGTGATGGTGGATTGGATGCGTTCTTCCCAGGGCATGAACCAGCGGTTGCCGACAAGACAAAGGAGACGGCGATGATTGACAATGGGTCGGATGGTGATGTGGGGTTGGCCATCACGCTCGCTGATGACGAATTGTACGGTTAGTTTAAGGCCAGGGACGGGCTGAGGGGGTTGCAAATTAGTGCTGTAGGACATTGTCTAGTTAATCTTGGTCTGTTAGGTGTCGTTGTTACCTCCGGTGATTGAAAGGGGTCTGGTAAGTGGCCTGTAAGGTTTGATCATTTATGCCGTACTGGATACCGGTTCTTCAGCCCATGCGTCTGTTGAACTGTCACTCATTTTCGTAGTAGCGTCTGTGGGACGGTGGGTGCTGGGGCCTGCGTGCACTACTAACACGGGAATGAGTCTTGAAGTAGAGAGGATGATTAGCCATCTCGACTAGAGACAACAATGGATATGCTAGCCGGTGACGCATAAGGGCGGCGTATAGCGGTAATGTTGATGTACATAGTGCCTGGCATTGTGCGTCCGTGACTTTGCAGCATCGTAAAGGAGCAGCTATTGTGCGCAATCAGTGACAACGCGAAGCGAGGAATTGAGTCATGAAGAACAGAGATGAGATGTCAATTTGACGGGAATTGACCCATAGCTAAACAAACGCCAGAATTGAGTATCAGAGAAATGCAAACCATGCCCCCCGCCACAGCCCATAAAACGTAGCATGTAGAGAAAAGGAACGAGTGTTGCCCTGCAACACAGAAGAGAAGAATCGGTCGTTGTCAACGGCGCGCGGACTTTTTCAGACTTGCTGTGCCGGAGTCATATCCTCTATTGGTCCTTGGCCTTCTTGCCCTTGGCGAGATAGCTGTGCAGTCAATGTTAGCATTCTGGAAGATTTTAGGGTAATTGCATTGAGGTAACTTACCTGCTGAATACACTCTCAAAGACGGCGACAGCGGCGAGGATGCCAGCACCCCGGCCAGCATGCTGCCATGTGAACTGCCTGCGGTCGTAAAGACCCCAAGCCCTGTAGCCGAGCCATCCACTAAGACCAACAACGGCCAAGAGGTTGACGGCAGCGAGAGCACCGGTGGTACCATCGCTCAAGCTGGCGAACTGCTTGGTCAACCAGTTGTCGGCCTTCTTGGCCTTGCTCTTGGCCTTCTTCTTCGCAAGGTCGGCTTCAGCGCGGGCCTTGGCCTTGGCTCTTTCGGCCTCCTCCTTGGCTGCTTGTTCCTCCTGCTCAAGGCGGGTGGCCTGGGTCTCGGTCTGGATTTCCTGCTCTTGGAAGTCGGAAGGAACGGTGTGGACAGAAGGGGTATCGACGTCGATCAGGGAAGAAGTGGAGGTAGACTCGTCAACCTCGATCTGGGGAGGGAGAGGGGCAGCAGCCTGAGAACAAAGGACATGTCAGAATCGTTATTTCATGGCGCAACGAGTCAATTGCGACATCATTGCTGAGCGCGTTGCTGAGGGCAGGTGCAGCGAGAACTTACCTCCTCGGGAGTCTGCTTGGGGCCCTTGGCAGCAATCTCAGCGTAAGACACTGTCGCGAATGGTGGTTAGCTATGTTCTCGAAATTGTCGCATGGTCCAAGTCTCGGGCAGATATGCCGCGCAAGGACACAGAGGAAAAAGGTATTAAACTTACTGTTGGCTGGTGGTGGTAGAGGTGTTGTGTGTGTTGGCTAGAGGTGAGGCGACGACGAATCTCTTATTCTTGGATGTTCTTGAAGTTCAATGGTGATGATCTGGGGAAGGGAAGCTCTCTGGAGTTGACGGCCGAAAGAATTTGTATTTAGGGACGAACAAGCACGGGATTGGATGAGCGGCGTGAGGTCACCTCGTCAACCAAGGAACTTGGAGAAGGGGAGGATTCAACTTGGTCAAAGCTTGGCAACGTCGGTTCGGTTAGTAGAACGACTCAAGTTATGCAAACGACCTTACGGCCCAAATTGGAACAGGCATATCCACGATCCATCTCGAGGTATCAATGTCAGGTCAGTCTGGCAGTCACAGATGCAATGCCACGTGCCTGCTTGACTTTTCGTTTGAACAAAGAGTCTAATGCTGGCTGCGAATCGTAGTGCATTACTTACAGGTGACAGCGCATGAACGGGGAGCTTCAATTCGTAAACGGTGACGCAACTGGATGGGCCCCGGAGTCAAGCGGAGGTCATCTCACCACCCCGGAAAACAGGGCGACAGGCCCCAAAAACAGCCCCGCTGCCCCGCTATACCCACTAAAAATACCCCAAAATGGAAGCCAGCACAGCTGAGCACCCATGTCGCTAATGACGTCTGCGGCTCCGCTAGCACGCTTTTTTAGCTTCCAGGCCTCCGATCCAAGCAACGCGAAGCTGCTCGCGACTCGGAGAATGTCAACACGGAAAAGTTCCCCTGGCATGGGAAGACGGCGAAAAGTCCCAAGGTGTCAATTGTGTTTGTTGAGGCTGAACTGGTTCCTGATCAGCTTGCCATTCTCCCTTTTCCCCTCGAAGACGGCCCGTTCCAAACGATCACCTGTATGAGCTATTCTAGGCAACGGAGGCCCTCTGTCGACAGCAACACTTCCTACTAAGGTTTGAGCATGGGATATGTCTATTTTGCGCTTGCATTACATGGTATGAATACACAAAGTCGTACATTGCCCTTCAAAAGCGGAAGGCAAACCAACCTCAACCCTCTCGCATGCGCCTCTGAACTCCCATTATCCCAGATGATGCTAGCCAGTCGCTGACTGTGGTCGCCGTCATTGCGCCTGTCTTCTCCCTTTTTTCCTCTCTCCCTCTATGCCATATGTCAAATCGTACAGAGCAGTGGTGCCGAAAGCTGTAGACATAGCAGCAACAGGCCAGCTATGTGTGGTTTGTCATTGTTCGTGATCTGTTTATTTATTGCTGCTTCTTGTTGTTGTTGTTGGCAGCGGTAGCATCGTGGGTAGCGGTCTCGAGAGCCTCCTCCTTCTTGTTCTCGACAGGCTCCTCCTTGGCGGGGGTGCCCTCGGCGGCGGGGGCAGCGGCAGAGGCGCGCTCAGCCTCCTCATCGTCAGCTAGTTCGGCGCCGTAGACCTCGGGGTACTTGCGGAAGCAGTCCTGCATGTGACTGTCGGATAGTTAGCTTTTAATGCTCCATCTTGATTTTGACTGGACAAGAGCCGTCGGCGACAGCTCTGGGTACCTACGAGAACTTCTCAATGCAGTCCATGCCCTTGGGCTCCTCGGTGGAGTAGACGAAGCAGCTGAAAGCAGCCTTGAACTCCTCGCCGCAAGGGCCGTGAGCCATGCCGCCCAGGCACGGGCAGTCCCAGTTGATCTCGCCGGTCTCGGGGTTGAAGGCGCCCTGGGCATCGGCCTCCTCCTGGAGAGCCTCAGGGGAGGCGCCAGCCTCGGGGATGACACCCTCGGTGGACTCGGACTTGGACTTGGAATCGCCCTCGGGCACGGCCTCAGCCTCGGCCTCGGCCTTGGTGATCTGTTCCTCTACCGACTCGGAAGGTGTCGCCGGGGTGGCAGCGGCCTTAGCGGCAGCCTGGGCAGCCTTCCCGGCGGCAGCATGCTCGGCGGCCTGGCGTCTCTTCTCTTCGACAATGGCATCGACGGTGGGAAGGTCGGCATCGGTCAGCTGGGAGGGGGCGGTACCGGCGGTCTCTGTGCGAGTTTGCCCATGTATTAGCATTGGCGCATTGTGTAGCTGTAGTCAATGACACGACGGTGAAGCCGGGCGTGCGCCACAAGGTAGCTGTCATTAAAAGGGGCGCATACCGGGAAGCTCATCGGAGAAGATGGGGCTGGTGTTGTAGTAGTAGACAGCAGCAATGGCGAGACCCCATCGTACGGCGGCACCCTTCCATGTGCTCTTCTTCTTGGGCGCGGAGGTTGTGGAGGCAAAGCGACGGGCACCGGAGGAGACGAGGGCCGACGGGGAGGTGGTGGACCGGATTGCGCGCAATGCGCTTTGCGAGGGGCGGAGAGCCGTGCGGTACATTGTGTTGTCGTGATCGGTACTCGAAAATCAGAAAGACAGGCGCAAACGGTCGGAGCAGACGTCGGGGAAAACGATGGTCGGATGGTGCTTCCGCAGCTCCGCGGGTCCGGGAATCAAGAGGTTTGTCATCACTTCTCGGATTCAACCCACGTCGACCCGACAAAATTTCTGGCGATGCTCCAGTGCAGGCCGACCGCCGACCGACCGGGCGGGCCAGGGCGTTAATTGGCCACACCCGCTTAAAAGTGGCACCCGCGTCCAGAAGAATGTCATTGTCTGAAGCATGTGCAACAGATGAAATTGGAGACGAGAACCTCAAATACAGGCCGAAAGTATACTGCTGATCAAGAGATGATTGGGCTTTTGGTTCTCATCGTTTGATAATACAAAGTTTGTACAGGAGCATGGCAGAAAGTCTCAAGGCAGCAAGAGACTCCCAAGTTCTTGACTTACACTACATCTCTATCCTTTCTGGAGGGTTGGGGTTGGGGTTGTCTATGTGTGTAGCACATGAAGCTATTCCAAGCTCAACCTTCACCAATGATTGCTGCTGCTTATCGAAACATTTCTAGCAAGCTGTCAAGAATTGTAGGAAAAGATAACCGAGAAAAATACTTGAAAGCTGGCACGAGACTCTACATGATAGCAGACGAAGTCATGGATATAGAGTTCGAGGTTTTCCGACGTTAACAGTTGACAGTCTTCTAGAACATCGGTGTTGGTCCGATCCCCACAGCATGCTGTAACGCCGGACAGCCCATCGGAAGCGCCGAACGGGTACCGAGTCGGAAGCAAGCAAAGACACACACGTCAACAACTTCACCAAAACATCAGTCACGACCAACCCAAGACATATCAATGCTTGGTTTTGCATCGAAGTTCATACCTACAAAGCTTCCTTTAATTAACCACAAATTCATCTCCTTTCACGTTTCCCGTTGTCGCATAGTTACTGCCCTGCCTGACCTCACGTTCACCACCAGAGGTACCCAGCTCTTTCAGCTGAACAACTACAAAGGGCGTGCAATACATTCGAATGAAACCATGGGCACAACCAACGGCGCCGCGAAGACAACTGGGGCGCTCGATGAGGGCCAGATTTTCGAATGGTATCCCCTTGATTTGGTACGGGATTATGAGCAGCAGAAGCAACATGACCACCATAATGGTCAATTGCAGAATGGCGGCTCCAATGGAACCACTCACAAGCCCGAACAATTCGCACTAGTCGTCCTCAATCAGCCACTTACTCATTTGGGTTTGGTGAAGCGTCTATGGAAGAACGGTATGCCAATTTGAACGGTCAATGCAGACAAAAAGAAACGGGTATTGACATTCAACTTGCTCAAAAGCATCTATCCGCGTCGCTGCCGACGGAGGCGCAAACTGTCTGTATGATGTCGCCGGCAAGAATGGCGATCATGACTTTGTAAGTCCATCACTTTTTATTCTTAACCAACCGGAAAAGACATCTCATTAACACCCCTTTCAAGGACGACCTCACAGCAATAATAGGCGACCTCGACTCCCTCACCACCGAAACCCGCACCTACTTCACCACCCACTCCTCTTCCCCCACTGCCAGCCAAACTGCAATCATCCACGAACCCAGCCAATACTCAACCGACTTTGCCAAGTCCGTTGACTACCTCCGCGGCCCCTCTTGCTCCAAACCCGACGCTCCACCCCCGGACATCGTCGCCATCGGCGGTCTCGGCGGCCGCGTCGACCAGGGCCTCTCCCAGCTTCACCACCTCTACCTCTTCCAGTCCTCGCCCACCTATGCCGACGGGAGGATGTACCTTTTCAGCGGGGAATCGCTCACTTTCCTGCTCAAATCGGGAACCCATCGCATCCGGGTGCGTGAGCCAGGCCAGGCGAATCAACCGGAGAAAGACGTGTTCGCCAAGTGGGTGGGGATCCTACCGGTCAAAGAGCCGAGCAGGATCTGGACCAAAGGATTGGAGTGGGATGTGGAGGATTGGCCGACTGAGTTTGGCGGGCAGGTTAGCACGAGCAATCATGTCTTGCCGGAGACGGAGGTGGTGGAGGTTAGGGCGACGAAGGATGTCTTGTTTACTATTGCGCTGAGGGACCTTTAGGGGGTGTCCTTTGGTGTGGTGGGGAGGAGACGCATGACGGGGGATTGGTTGGGTAATTGGGTATAAGTTATAACCTCAAAGAGAGGAGAGGCCCGACTCGACCACCCGCGATAAAAGATCAGAGGTGGGAATAGGAGGTATTCTGGCTGTCAAACAACTACGTTCCGGTCATTTTTTCTGCGTCCCGCACATGGTGGATGAAGGGAAAGGGCATATGGTACCTCTGTTTGAATTGTTCACGCATTGCTGCCCATGATATTAGACCATGTTTGTTTAGTTAAAAAGTAAACCAGACCAAGCCCAACACCCAAAACTCCGCGCTTGATGACTGTGAGACAGATGCCGCCGTCGCCGGGCCCCATGCCGCAATCTGAACGGACCTTCGCTAAGAGTCCTCCACCGCTAATAAGATAACCCATCAACAATTAGTCCCGTCTGTCTCTTTTCTTTTTTCCTTTCCCAAAAGACCCATGTTTCGACCACCAACGCAGCAACAAGCAAAGCTCACCTCAAATAATGCAACACCAACCAACAGAACAAGAAGAAAACCACCACGCCTCCCCAAAAGATCCACTTATCCTGCTTCGCCCTCCGCTCAATCATCCTGATGGTATCGCCACTGATGCCCAGCGTGTTGCCAACCGAGTACAGCTTCCGCTGCGTGTTCTTCATGATTTCCCTCTGCTGATTCAGATCCCCCAGCACCGCCTGGCCCCGCGCAATGTAATCGTCGAGCGCCGAGTGCGTGCTCCTAAAGAAATCCTGCTCTCTCAGCGCATGCTGCTCGCGACTCGCGTCCCCGGAGCCCAGTATGCCGCTGCTGCTCTGCATTCTCCCCGACTCCGCCAAGCTATTCGTCCTGGCATGCGATATTCCATACCCTCCACCACCCGTAGCGCTGCTTGTCGCCGTCGCACTAGCACCCGCATACGGATTCTCAGGCGTACTGGCCACAAACGGCCTGCGTCCCAACAGCTCAGCGCGGTTCTGCGCGTGCATGTGTTCCTCGCGCTTGGATTTCAGAGAGTCCAGCTGCGTGCGGAAGTCGTGCAGCTCGGACCGGAAGTTGCGTATCCTCTCATAGGCCTTTTCTTGCTTGGCGGCGTTGAGCTCCTGCTTGGCGAGGTGGTTGTATTCGTCAATGGTCCGGTTGAAGGCGGTCAAGGAGGCCGAGAGGGAACCCAAAGCGGCGGGCGTGAGAGAGGTCGGGTCGAGCTCGTGCGAGGAGAGGGCGGCGAGGTCCTTGCGGATGGAGGTGCTCTGCTTGAGAGCCGAGTTGAAGGTTGTGTTCTAAAAGGGGAGGAAGAAGAAAGAGTGTCAGTTTAGAATGGTATTGTAAGGTCCACGAAAAGGGAACGGTGATGGTGTCTGTTGCTGGAGTGCCGTGCTGGTTGACTGACCATGTTGGGCTGACTTTCAGGGGTTCATGCGACAGTTGCTGGGCTTCGAAGCAAGACAAGCAAGCAGCAATACTTCTCGTTGATGAGAGATGAATTGAAGAGAATATTGTGTATTAGAAGCTATAGTAGATGGGTCACAAAACGATGGACACCCAAAGTAGAAAGGTAGCTTCAAGCTATTGTCAAATGCTTCTGGAAGCTTTGCAAGGTGGCATCTGCAATCGTTAAGAGTTGCGATTTGGACGGGAGTCTGGGATGCTTGCTCGAGGCTGTCTTGGCGGCTGCAGCTTAGCGCCGCGGGTAGGGTGTATCTAACGGCTAGCTCCCGCCGGGTCTGGGCGCAAGTGGGTTTTGTGGAGAACTGTCCACAGTGGAGGAAAGGAATCGAAGAGGGTTTCCTTTTTCTGCTCTTCCACGTCAACCCCGACCTCACCATCCTTCTTCAACAAGTGCCAACCACACCAGAAGACACCGAATCAAGAGCGCGTCCATATACTATGCAAAGACGCTCAGAAACTCAAGCATGAGCCTGCAGGACCGCGTCAAACCTCCTTACAGCTGCCCGTATGACATGTCATGCGCATCATCCTATGTTGGCACCACTTCGAGGACCAGGAATTGGCCAATCACTAGCCAGATCCAGCGATATACGGAGGAGGGACTCTTGATGAACCTCCTTTGAGCTTGACATGGTTCTCTGGACTCCACTCTAGCAGTCCACGAAGCTGCCCAAAGGAAATTGACATACTCTCTTCGATCCACCGGCACCCCATGACTTACGGTATTGGAGTCAACATACGGATTCTCTGGATGAGTGTCAACACAAAACCAATCCGCCTTGGCCGCATTTTTCCGAGTCTCGTTATCCTACCGGAACGAGCAAGTCTTCGGCGCACGAGACTGTTGACCAGCGCCAAATGAACCGGTATACCAGGTTTCGGCATCACTCAGTTTGAGGCCGTCATGGTAGACGAACCCTGGGAAGTCGAAGAGGCTATTCTGAGTGTTGAGCCGGAGGTTGAAGCTGATGGCTGCCAAGCTCACGTCGTCACCCGTGCTTTTGTTGAGCTCAAAGTTTTTAAAGACCCATGAGGGAGAGACGACGGAAGAGATGGTGCATTTGTCTACGGTCGGGATGGGATCTTCGACAAAGTAGGGGACGAGTGCTGTATTTGAGAGGGCTTGGCCTTGAATGGGGACACTTTCGGCTTGACAGTACGTGGCTTTCGACTCATACTGCACGTCAGAGGGAGAGCGGTGCTTCCTGTGCCTGCGATGCTTGCTCTATGGAGTCCTCGGGGTTAGCAGCCTTTTCCGACCGAAAAAGACAGCCGATAAACCTACGGCTTTGCAGAATCCACATTGTCACATTACCACGTTTCATTGCTCTCAAACCTCTAGCTTCTCGGGAAAAATACGGCATCTGTTATCTAGGTGTTATACCGACTCTTACGATCTGTACGCCCGCTGCAGTTAATCCGAAGACGTGGATTTTCTCCCGCGTCAGTCAGAAAGTAGTTCAGGCAACCGACTACATGCACCGTGGCTTCATTGGTGACTTGGAACTGGATTGACTGAGTCTGAATGGCAGAAGATCCGTCTCCAGTCTCGTTGATGAAGATGATGGTTCCTAGTGTCCACTTTGGCGTTTTGGAAAGGGCACCACAGCCTGGAATTTTGTGCCCCGGCGGTCCCTCGGCGTATGCAGGCGTGATCGCATCAGGTCTTGAAAGCGAGCTCTTCGCCAAGTCCACTGGGTTGGACGATTTGCACGCATCGCCGCCACAAATCTGAGAAATAGATGAGTTGCCAGAGGCCCTGTGTGCAACCCGTTATCTGCTTGACATACGGACTGATGGACGGCATACGCTTTCGTAGTCGTTCTGTCATTGCAGTACCACGATGCATCTCCGTGGACGATAGCGGTAGTTGCTTTGAGCTCGACTGCTCCAGCAACTGTCAGTTAATGTCCCGGGCCGGAGGCAATGCAAGTGCCATTGTTTGCTTGACGTCCTATGTCCAGAGTATAGTTGGTTGCTCTGTTTACGCGGTTGTAAGGCTCATGTTCGGCACGATTGGCGGTGAAATCTTGGAAGAACCAACTTGAGACGGTGAAGGGACTGGCGGTACAGCCTCCGGGGGCGGGCTGACTTTGTATCAGTACACTCGCGGCTGCGAAAGTGAGGAGGGATATCGACTTGAGTATGGCCACGATGATGAGCTTTGTCTCGAAACACCTTGATCAGCCGCGCTTACTGGGCAAGGCGGTTGGCGATGACAGTGGCTTGATGGGCGAAGCAACCAACGTGAGCAGGCACTGAAGAGCAAAGCTTCACGTCTCGTGTCGTCTCATATTTCCAGATGCCGCTTTCCATCTCAATGTTCTCCCAGACATGCATGCCGTGTGTTCTGTCCAGGCCGCTTCCCCTCACCATCCTACCCTCTGCAGGTATCATCAAGCAATACCGGGGACTTTGGCTTTTATGAGGGGCTATTACCGATATTGGACCTCGCGGAACGTGCCATTATCTGCGCCAATTGAGCCTTATGTTGAACCAGCTGGGCTGCTTCACTCGGTGTCATCTCACAGAATGACCAGCGATGACAACTTTTGATATATACCCAGTCACCACATGCATGCTACCGAAAGCAACATCAAAGCCCCACGGACACTCTCCTCGTTAAAGGCAGACGGGAAGCTGTGGATAAGAGAAAAGAGGGAGCATTGTCACCCCGATTGTATCCACATCCACTCTTCTATGGCATAAGTATCTTTGCGACAGAGGAACCAAGGCATCTTCAGACTGAAAAAGGCACAGGTACTTTGACATTAAGAGTCATAAAGAGATAAGCGGGAGTGGTACATTGCTGTACCTACCTACTCTTAAGAAGGATGACGTACCGCTGACTACTCACTAAGCACGTGATAGTCTCCGATAGACTCCGATCACGACTCATGCCCAATTCGGAAGGAGTCGATCGACAACAACCAGTCACAACACAACCACTAGCCTCCGATTTCGGGCCCTAGCAGTAACCGTTGCAGTTGATAGATACGCTCCTTCCGCGATTACGTTCTTGACACAGTCAGTCATTCATTAATCGCGAGGAAGATTATCTCTGTTCCGGCAAGCACGGCCAGATCTCGGACAAGAACCGCAATTTCTGGATAGCATGCCCCCATCAGCCGCAACTGCATTCAATAATCCTCCTTCCTCGGCCATTTCCATCCTGCCGCGTACTTTTCCTCCTTTTACACCCTTTCACTCGCATTCGGGCGCCTTTCTGCCCATCAGGGATCCGAGCCGAAGTCCATCAGATGAAGCTACTCCCTTTCCCTTTCAGTTCACGAACAAGCATCTCATTATGCGGCATTTCCCAGACCTACTGCAGTGAGAGAGCCGCCCTCCTCCTCAAAGCACCGACAGCAAGAAATATCCTTCATGCCAGCTTTCCTTTTATCCTGATGAGCGTCCTCGCTCAACATTACGATCAAGTTGCTTGTCTCTGCCGATAGTTCGTACCAGAGGCACCGGGAATAACCAATGTCCATATCTTGTTGACAACTGCCTCCCATGGCTCCCGCCCAGGGCATGACGGCTCTCAATCGTTGCTCTCGAGTCCCTATAGCCTCGGCTATCAGTGTTCTTTGGTCAAGTGACCGGATACTGGGAATCCTGTTACTCCCGTCCAGGTCAGTGAATGGTGTGTCAAACCCTTCAGCAGATGCTGACAATGATACACAGTTGGGCTCTCTTCAAAGTATTTCTTCCTCCCTGCCATAACTGCCGTCGAGAGATGCGATTTCCAAGTGCCAATCGCTGCGAGATTGCGGCGCAGAAGCTTTTGAAGCGAAGCGCAAAATATGCGTCAACGTTGCCAAGTCCCTTGAAGACAGAGGGAGTTACAACTCGTCAAGTTTACTTCTTGTGTCAACATATCTTGGGGGCATAATTGAGGTGTGATGATCACGAAGAGCTTGTCCAGTGACTAGCAGCTACCAGGGCGGCTGGACGTCGAGGACAGCTTATGACTGCATCAACACATTTTGCGAATGCACTCAACCCTTTCCCAGATCGTGAGCATTGTCGATCGTAAGGTTAGGATGAAGAATGGTCTCTGTTGTTGGAATATGGGAATTCGACGAATGTTCTATTTGCTCGTTCACGACAGTCCGCCTCGGCTAGCGTCGATTGACCCATCCCCTTTAGCATTCCGTGATTAGCTCAGCTACGCTTTGAAACGACAATCAGCACATCGGAACATCTCAGCTTCAGCCCTATGTCAATACGAACCGTCACGCCATTACCCCAAAATACCGACGACCATCAACGAAACCAGCGGTGGAGTGATAAATCAGAAAACATGGACAAGCCGACATTGCCAACGGACGAATTGCTGCGCTGTGGTTGCTGGCAGTCATCGTGATCGCCAAGTTTGGGGGTTCCCAAACCTCCTTCCTAGCTAGGGGGCTGCGGCACAAATAAGAGAAATTCGTCAAAAGAGCCAAGACTTCGTCCATGACGACAATTCATCAAAGGATGTGATGGCGATATCTTGGCCATATCGTCAGGCTGTTTTCAGGAACTAGGGGGGTGGGTTGGGGTATCTGCGTCGCACGGGCCACGCGGCATGCTTTTCCCCATGGTGGACCTCGTCGTCGAGAACTTCAGATGCGACATCATGGGGATTTCTTTATGACGCTTTCACGACACATATGAGGTCACCTCCCCCAGATCTTCAATTCAACCTTGGGGCTCTCATCTTCATGTTTTGCTGGGTCAATGACCACGCCTTGGGGGATGAGATTGGGATCCATGGACAGGGGATGGACACGGGGAGGCACCACCCCTTTCGCTCTTCTCAATTGTCGCATGTCTTCTGATGGGTCGACTGGACATCGGGATACCCTGATACAAGGAAAAAAAGAAAACGGCCACGTTGTCGTCGACTCACAAGAGGGTGGCATGTCCGATGTGTGGCGATGGCCCTGAATTCCAGTATCAGGTACCAGCCCCGGGATTCCAGAAAAAGATCCAGCTGGTTGCATTGCATTGGCTCCTATGGCTGTTGCCGCAATTCTTGGCCCCGAGCACGACATCGACACATTTTTCCATTTTGTGGGCCATGCCCATCCATTGCCTGTTGCATGCGGCGATTGGGAAGCCCCACAGGACCCAGAATCCACCCTTGTCTCGGCCTTTGTTGCCTTCGACTGCATCACATCCCGCAACTCATCAGGATCCCTTTTCGAATCCCACGCCAACACTGTCTTGGCGACGCCGGCGAAGCTTCTTGGATGCCGTACGGAATACGGGACCAAGACAGGACTCCCAAAACAACGAATCTCGAGAAACCTGCCTTCCTGATCGAGGTTCTCATTGCGTAAAAGCCGTCAGCCTTGCGTCTCTCTGGGCATCGAATGCATAGGGGTTGTTGCACGCTACGCACTAGGGCCAGGTTAGACCGATGAGGTTGGAAAGGTGTCCGATGGCGTGCGGCTCGTTGTTGCATGTTGCATCCACCGAAGGCAACTTTAGCAGGTTGCCCACACCGAGAACCACAGCGGTTTTGTGTCCACCTCCGAAAGCTTCTCGGAGGTCCAGGGTGCCTTGGGATTTTACCACAATGTCCCCATGAGATGACACCAGGGCCGATCCCTGCGAGCCGCGCACACCCCTAGCATACCACAACGCTACCCAGAGCTTTATATCAAAAGCTCGCAACTTATAAACAGGCGTTCGCCCTTTGATCAGCCTCTTCTCTTCATAGTCATCTACATCAACCAAATCGTCAACAACCCTACCAGGGCCGAAGGGCAACAACACACATTATGGGTTCTTTTGACAAATCCTCCGACCCGGAGGCTGTCAAGACCGCCCCTGTGGCGGTTAGCGACAATGATGGCTCCGTCGGTGAGGTCCAAGCAGCTGAGAAGTTCGCCTTTGGCGAAGACCGAAAGATTGGTATCACCGGCGCCGTCTTCTTGATTCTCAACAAGATGATTGGTACCGGTATCTTTTCGACACCTTCCGCCATTTTCGCAGCTACGGGCTCCGTCGGTGTCAGTCTGTTCCTTTGGATTATTGGTAAGTTGAAAGTTCTCACCAATCTTGCTTCAGCCATACAGTTGGGAAATTCCCATCTGCTGAGACATGTCATCTCTCACCTTGGGGGTTACTCCGTTCTAACCATATGCCTACATAGGTGGCTTCTTGACCTGCTGCGGTCTCAGCGTCTGGCTCGAATTTGGTCTTGCTATTCCTCGCTCCGGTGGTGAGAAGAACTACCTCGAGTACATCTACAAGCACCCCAAGTACCTCGCCTCCTGCGTCCTCGCCGCGCAGATGATTTTCCTCGGTTTCTCTTCCGGAAACTCGCTCGCCTTCGGTCGCTACATCCTTTACGCCAACAGCGGAGATTCAAAAGACAGCTACGCAGCTCGCGGTATTGGTGTTGCCTGCGCTACCTTTGCCTGCGCCCTGCACGCCTTCCTTCCTAAGTGGGGTGTCCGCTTGGTCAATGTCCTTGGCATCTTCAAGGTCGTCATCGTACTTTTCATCGTCTTCGCTGGTTTTGCCGCCCTAGCTGGCCATCGCCACGTCCCCGATCCCGAGAACTTCAAGCACGCCTTCCGCATTGAAACGACCGAGTCCTACGGTGGTGGCGGTGCTTATGCTTACTCCAACGCCCTGCTCAACATTGTCTACAGCTACAAGGGTTGGGAAAACGCCAACTATTTTATGAGCGAACTCAAGGATCCTCGCCGTACCTTGACCGTCGCCGCTCCCATCGCCGTTGCCGGCGTCACTGTTCTCTACGTCTTGGCCAACGTTGCCTACTTCGCTGCTGTCTCCAAATACGAAATCGCTACCTCTGAGGTTCTTGTCGCCGGTATTTTCTTCAGAAACGTTTTCGGTGACAGCGCTGGTGTCAAGGCCCTTCCCGTTTTCGTCGCCCTCAGCAACTTGGGCAACGTCTTGGCTGTCTCTTTCGCGCACGCTCGTCTCAACCAGGAGTTGGGCAAGGAGGGTTTGCTTCCTCTTAGCAAATTCTGGGGCTCGAACAAGCCTTGCAATGCTCCTGCAGCTTCGCTTTTCCTGCACTGGCTGGTCACTATTATTATCTTGCTTGCTCCTCCTCCTGGACCTGCCTACAACTTCCTGGTCAACCTCTACACGTACCCCGGTGTTTGGATCAACGGTTTCGTTTCAGGCGGTCTCCTCTACCTCCACTTCTTCCGGAGAGACACCTGGAAGCCCACGTGGCGCTGCTGGGAGCCTATCCTCCTCATCTTCTTCCTTCTCAACGTCTTCTTGGCTGTCGTTCCCTTCATCCCCCCTGTTGGAGACTGGAACGCCGAGGGCTACCCTTACTACGTCTTCCCCATCGTCGGTGTTGCCGTTCTGCTCCTTGGTGCCACCTACTGGTTTATGTGGACCAAGTTCTGGCCCTGGGTTCGCGGACACAAGATCGTGGCGGAGAGATTCATCGACGAGGATGGCAATGAGGTCATCAGGTACAAGAAGATTAAGAAGGCATAAATTCTTTCTTACAGGGACACACTACTACACACACTACTACGGATCTAATGACGCTTTTTCTTTTGGGAGTTAACGGTTTCTTTCTGGTTGGAAGATACACTTGATTTTGGGCGGGCAGTTTTGTTTAAGATACCCTTGTTTATCACATGACTATCTTTATAGTATCTAATACCCCTATTCAACAGAGGGTCTGGCGATTTATTTGCCATTATAACTTTTGTTCCATTTCGATCGTGTTGCAAATGACAAAAATGCAGTGATATTGAGTGCTTTCCTGGAAACATTCTTGGCGTCCTCTGTCTGCATGGGAAATTGATGCTGAACAATGGTTTTTCTTTTTTGCTCACGTTTACCTAAACCTTTCCAATATATTAAACAACATCCATGCTATGATCCGGGAATTGTCATCTCCTGGCTACTTCCAGTTTTCCAATTCAAGGCCCAAGCACGCAATTGCTCAAAATTTTTTCTTTTTTGTTAGTGCGCACCTTGTCCCTTACGTCTCACCGCCTGGAACGTTGATCGACCCGGGAAACTGCCCGACACTAGCAAGCGAACTAACTGCTCGGCGAACGGGTACCCAAAGTAGCGTGCGTCCACCTTGTCTCCAGGCACAGTCTAGCGCCAGGGTCCAACGCTTACCCCCTGAGAAGTGTAAACAGACCAAGCACTGAGCAAGGAAGGACCCCATTTGGTGGTTTGGGATGGGATGAGATGAATGGGATGGATGGGATGGATGATGGATGATGGATGCCAAGAGATCTTGATCTCATCTGATGTTGTTGTTGATCGGGTCAAGGTCAGGACCGGTCCGTTCGGGTGGGTGATCAATCGGTGCGTGGCAGTCAATCAGTGCAGGGCGCAGGCAGAGAGGCGCGGACTTTTTGAGGTTGTTGCGGAATGAGTAGGGTAAGTACCTAAAGTTGCGTTAGTTTTGGCGGTAGAAAGGTGCTAGAAAGAGGCTAGAATATGCAAAGGAAGATTGCTAGTTTAGTTCATTCCCACACTCAAACACCTGTGCAGTCTTGGCAAGCGGTGCGTGCGTGCACACACACACATACCGCATTTGACAAATCTGGTCATTTAATATCACTTTACACAACTTAACTTAATCATTTAATATTGAAATCTACCCAAAATTGGCGTAAAAAGTCGATATTTTAATACTCTAGATTATATAGTTATTTATTTTAATATTTACGCTATCTTTTAAATTATTATTGATATAGTATATTACCCTAATACCCGTTAGAAGGTATTAATAATAATAATACTAATAAATAATAAATATCCCAACAATATCGTTAAGATTATTAGTATAAATATATAGAGTACGTAGAAATATAAATATATTCTAACAGATACTAGTAAAGTATTTATACTATTACAAACCCTCTAAAATATTAGAAAGCTTCCGATATAGGCACTTAAAGTACAATATATACTATATTACTTCCTATACTTTATTAACTATAATTAATATTATAAAGGAAATTATAAACCTCCTTGTATTAAAACCCAATTTATACCTCAATAAAATCTATACCTTTCTAACCGACGAATATAACGTATATATTTCGACCGAAACTATACAGTAGCACCTTCGATAGGAGAAGTAGAAAAAGAAGCGATTTTATATAAAAGCATTACAATAATCCCCTATACTAATAGCCGAATAGATATTAAAAATCTCTTTATTTACTATAAAGATATTCGTATTCTATAATAAATTTAGTATAAATTAAAGGGATAGTACTCGTCGTACTAACTAAGTACTCCGTAGTACTATTATAATAATATTAAGTAAATTTATTTATAGTATATAGTATTACCTCCTTCCGGCTATTATAGTAGATAGACTACTCGATATACTAGTATTTAGAGGCGTAACGGATTTAGCCAGGGTCTAGAACTAAATAGTAAAATACTTACTCCTTAAAATAAATCTATTTCCCGGCCGCAATAGTATTTTGATAATAAATAATACTAATTAATACCCCTATACCAAACTCCAATACGCGTACAATTAAAAGGGGGTTCTATTATAGTATTTACCGCTATACTCTTCCGAATTTAATCCTATCGAAGCATACTTTAGTAACTTTAAACAATAATTTAAAAAGATATACTATAACAAAAGCAGTAATAAAATATTAAATAACAATTTTATTACGTTTCTTAAGCGACTAGCGTAGGACGTAGGGCACAAAGTATAACAAATCTATAACTATTTTGAAAATACAAAGCTAATAATAAATCGAATTAATAATATAAATAAAGATTATAGGGAGCTATATACTAACGAACTAATCGAATATAGAAAGACAAGTACTATATCGGGGCGGCGGTAGAAAGTATAGAAGGGAGAGATGGATTTATATGTATTAAATTGAATTATATACCAGAAATATCAGAGATACCAGAAGTGCCAGAAGTGCTAAAAGTGCCAAAAATCGTATTTATTTATATAATAATACCAAAATACTAGAAACCCCCCTCTTTCGCTATAAACCGACTCGTATTATCGTTATTACTCGCTAAGACCGCTAATAATAGTACTACCCGCTATAGAAACGAGAATTCTAGTAACGCTATATTTGATTATAATATTAAATTAAGGGTTTAAAATATATATTAATTAATTAAATTATAGTAATAGGGGTTAGAGGGTATACGTACTATAGCTTAACTATATTACTAGTACTATATATTTAATTTTAAAGAAGTCTTTAATACTATCCCTAAACGCTATATAGAAGTTATAGGTAAATTCTAACTTCGTAAACTACTCTACTAGTTATTTTCTAAGCGCAAATATATTAGGAGGCGCCTCTTTATTCTAGAGCTTATTCTTCAAAGCAATTAGAATTCTATATACTAACTCCGCTTTAATCGACTTCCTAATATAATAATATCAATAGAAGGATTTAAAGAATTCGGTAATAAACTCTTTAGCTAGTTAATTAAGCGGGGCGGGGGGTAGCAATAACGAACAGAGACTAAAAATCGAAAGTATAAATAAATATAATATAAATAACTCTCTAACTTCTATTAAGGATTTTCTAATCTCTTTACCCTCGTCCCTTTTGCCTACTACCGACGGTAGTACAATTAATAGTAGTACCGGTAGTTAAATAAAAATTATAATCGCTATAGAAATAGGAAAAGGGTTAATACGCCTAGTAGTAAAAATTTCGTAGTCGGTTGGGTATTTATAGAATGTAGTAGTAAAAGACTTTAAGGGTATATATAAATCGATAGTTATTACTTTACCTAATAGGGGGAGAGTGCCCGCTATATTATTATAATTAGAACCGCCCGTAATTGCCGAATTAACTATAGAGCCGCCGGCGGTATAAGGAGGAGGTAACTAAATTTAAGGAAATTAAAAGTAGGGAGGGAAGTACTAGTAGGGTAGCGGGTATAGTAAGTATAGAAGATAAGGGTATAGCTAGTATAGACCTTTAAAATTATCCCTCTTTAGCGTAGCTTATAGTAGACTATTTATAATTTCTATATTAATACTACTATTACTATTATTAATATTATTAATAATAGTAATATTAACCAGTAGACTATCGCCTCCTCCCTTATATTTACTACTATTAATAATACTAATAAAGGCGGCTATTACTTTATTCTCTAAGATTTTTCGTACTAAATTACCGGGCGGGTTAACTACTATAACCTTCCTTAATAAAATCGCGTATACCTACTTACTAATATCTTTAACGCTAAGGTTATATATTAGGATGCTAAAGGACTACCGCCTCGGGCACCGGGAACCGGCCGGTATAGGCACGGAAGAAGATTCGGGACTACCGGGGATAGAATACTATAATATTATAATATTAACGCTCTCTATCGTCTTACTAAATTTTTGTTTAGGAGTATTAGGACGACCGATACTTCCTTTCGCCTTACTAACTTCGAATTTAGGAGTATTAAAATATTCAATAAGATAGGGTTATAAGGGGGATACTCTAGCGCCGTATTGTAGTAGTATGCTAATCGGGAGCTTTATAACTACTAACTATATTGGAGTAGAGTTTGTACGAAGGTAAAAGTAGTCCGAATAGGCGTCCTTTATTATAAATAATAATTATTAATATATTTTTAAATTAATTTTTAATTTAATATCCTCTATATATAACCGCGACTGTAATTACCTCAACCTACTTTTCCCTTACGTTCTAATAAATTAATAGTTCTTCCTCTAGGAATTGAATTAATATTATTAAAATATATACCTATAGCAGTTAATCTATTTCCTAAACTATTGAAGCAACCCTTCGCCCCTCTTATACTATTACCCCTTTAATTATTACTATTAAAATTGCGCAACTTCCTCCGCTCTCATTATAATAGTACTAATTTACTATAAAGTTTATTAAAGAAAATAATAATAAAAATTACCCCCCTATACTACCCTAGGCTTTCTATTAGTACCCCTAACCTACCGAAATTAATAAGTTTGTACGTAAATAATAATTATTTAAATTTCGGTTTGCCGTTATTAAATTCGATTCAAATTACCCCCTATTATAAATATTTTAATAAAATTAATTCGCCTTCGTAGGCCTCTCTAAGTAAAATACTATTAGTAATTACCCTCCTATCCCTATTAATTTCTATTATTAAAATTACCTTTTTTATAAATAAATTTATATTTTTATTATACTTTCCCCTATCGCCCCCTCTCCTATAATTATTACTATAACTATTCTTTTATCGTTCGTAACTTTACCCGCCCGTACCGAATATTACCCTAAGTATAATATTATTAAATTTATAGGCAAAAGTTTCTTTTAATTTTAAAATTATTTTTATAATATTAATACGTACTTCCACAAATATCTCCGTACCTTACTTTTATTTACTATTAATTATTTTAAAAGCAACCCTAAAAATACTTAAATTAAAGATATACTAGGCCTTCGGAATAAGCCTAATTATAATATTATTTATAATATACTAATATAGAATAATCTTCGTACTTTCTTAGAAATAAAGTATAATAGTAGTACTTAAATTATCGAATAGTCCGCTCTTAGTAAATTCGAATATATATAGTAAAGTACCTCCGAAATAGTCTATAATTCTTATAATTATTATTATATTAAACAATTTAACTCTTCTTACGATTAATTAGAATATATTTAAATTATTATATAAATTAATTAATTATATCCCCTATTTAAATAAAGCGTCCTTTCGATAATTAATATTAATATAATAAATAAAGTAGTAGTATATGTAAAATAGTTAAAGGGTTTAGAAAATATTGAATTATTTATATTATATTATTAAAATTAAGTATTTTTAAAGTATATTTAACCGTCTTCTTTATTTTAATTTACCCTTACTTCTTTATTAAATACTTTCCCTCTTTTATCCTATAGTATTAATCCCCCGATTTATCCTATTATCCTTTCCCGGTTTTTTTAATAAACCCTAATCTTATTTACCCCCTTTATAATTAAAAGGGTTATACGTATAATCGTTATACTTAATTAAAGCCGCCGAATACCTACTATAAGTATAGTATAACCGGTTATTTTGTATTAATATACTAAAATTAAATTTACTTTAATTATAATAAAATTAATTACTAATAATAAAACTATTCTATTCCCGCGGACGCTCCGTTGTATAGTATAAATACTATATTAATTATAATTAGAATAGCGGCCGTATTTATTTAGAATAATGTAAGTAAATTGTAATTGTATTTAGAAATAATATTATTAGTAAGGATTTATCGAAATTAGTAGAGTATTCGAAGGTTAATAAATTCGGACATAGAATTGAACTAATTAGTAGGTATTTACTCCTATCGAATACGAAAATTAATCCTATACCCTATTATTTTATTAATTTCTTCCTTTAACCTATTTCTATATATAATATAATTATTTATTTTATTAGAATATATAATTCTTATAGTATTAAACAGATAAAATAAATTATATTTACTATTATTAAATCCCCGGCCGTAGAAGTTATCTTCGGCTACCCCTAATTCTATAAATAGAATTTAAATATCGATTAATAGTAGCGGACGTTCTAATTCCGTATTGAGGCTAGCGATTTAGAATTAAATATAATACTAGCGAAGGAAGTATATAATACTATAATTATTTTAATAGAGCTAAGGTAGGGTTCGATTTCTATATTAGACCCTAGGGAGATAGTAAAGTTAAAAGAAAGTTTCGCCCTCCTATATATATAAATATCCTATTCGAAATCCCCCCTTCCTTAGCGATAGAATTCGCAACCCTACGTATTATTTTAGAGTTGTCCGATACCCTACAAGCCCCCACCCCCCCGTCGAAGGTCTTCCGGGTCGCGCTCGACGGTATCTATCTCCTACTAGCACTCCTGCCTTAGTATAATCGTTTAGAGCATTGTATCGACTTAGTCGATAGAGAATCCGCGCCTTAGGGACCGATCTATATATTTAATATTAAAGAGTTAGAGGTATTACGAGAATAATTGTCCGAAGCGCTCTAAAAAGGGTAGATTCGACCTTCTATTAGCCTAGCGGGCGCCCCCATTATCTTTATCCTAAAAATAAGTAGAAAGCTAAAATTCTATATTAACTTTAGGGCACTCAATAAAGTAATAAAAAAAAATTAGACGGCACTACCCCTTATTTAAGAAATTCTAGACCGATTATTATTAACAAAGATCTTTATAAAATTAGACCTAAAAAATATATACTATAAAATTCGGATTCGGGAAGGGGACAAAGAGAAGATAGCGTTCTATACAAAGTATAAGCACTATAAATTCTTAATTATGCTAATAGGGTTAGTAAATATACTAATAATATTTTTAATATATATTAATAATATATTAATAAGGTTAATAAATACTATATATATTTTTTACCTTAATAATATTCCAATTTATAATAAGAATAAAGAAAACTATAATAATTATATTAAAGAAGTCCTTTAATAGTTATAAGATCAGAACTTCTATATAAATTCAAGTAAATACAAATTTTATATAAAGAGGGTATTGTTTTTAGGCTATATTATTTCGCCGGAGGGTATTTCAATAAATTTAGAAAGAATTATAATAATCGTAGATTAGAAAGTTCCGACGAGTATCTATAATATCCAAATATTCCTAAGATTTATAGGGTTTTATAAATACTTTATAATATTATATTCGAAAATAATTATACCTTTAACGGAATTACTGAAGGGGAATAAACGGAGGATATTCAAATTATTAGAGGAAGCGGAAAGGGTATTTATAGAACTAAAGCGGTTATTTTAAAAAATTCTAATACTATATTACTTTAATCTAGTATTAAAAATCTAAATAAAGATAGACGTATTGAACTTTATAATTAGGGCGGTTCTTATATAATTATATAGTAATAAATAATATTTAGTCGTATTCTTTTTGAAGAAGGAATTATTAGAGGAGACGAAGTATAGGGTTGGAGACGGGGAATTATTAACAATTATAGGAATATTAAAAGTATAGAAGTAATATTTATTATATATAAATAAACCGATTTTAATAATTATAAATTACTTTAATTTATAGTACTTTTAGGAGAAGGAATGGATAAATATAAGGTAGAATCGGTAGGTATTAAAATTAGCGGTATATAATTTTAGGATAGAATATTAGTTAAAGAAATTAAATCTAGTAAATAGATTATTAAAAAAATTATAATTATAAGGGGTAGAACTAGAGGAAGGAGGTAAATACTTATTAATTAGAATTATCGAAGGGGGTGAAGTAAAGGGATAGGTAATAGAAGACGGCCGGGTAGTAAAAATACTAATAAGAAAAATAGTTTTAATTAGAAAAGAAAGTTAGAAGGCGGCGGTAGAGGAATAAGAATAGTAGTAGAATAATATTAAAGGGGAAGTAAATTAGAAATTGGAAAAGGAGGAGAATAAATTATATAAAGGGTAGAAAAAACGGTTAAAAATAGAGGGAGAGGATAGGAAGGAAGGGGTACTAACGAAGAGGGTAAAATTCATAGGTAAGGCCGCTATTAATACGAAAAGAGAGATAAAGGGGGTAATTATAGGAAAAATAAATATATATATAGTAATAGTAAGGGCGTAGAAGGATAATAAGTACTTACTACTAATAGAGTAATAATTATTAGAAATATAAAAGGAAAACCTATTTATTATTAGAGAATTATAAAAAAATAGAGAGGGAAGGAGGCGAATAAAGAATTAAAATATAGGGAAAGACGGGATTCTATAGTACTACTACTAAATTTATATTCCGGAATATATAAGAACCGAATTATTCTATACCTATTATAATAATATAACGGCTAGGTATCTAAATTAAAAAAAAAATACTAAAGCGGATTAATTAATTCTATTATTAGCCTACTATTATAATTAATATTAAGGTTTATATTTGTAAATACCTAATATATTAGAAAATTAAATTGTATAACTATTAACCCTATAGCCTTTTAAGATCGCTACTTATTCCTATAATCCCCTAGTAAAATATTTTGTACGACTTTATTATTAGCCTATTAAAAGTATTCGACCTTATATTTAATTAGATTTATGATATAATTTTAATTATTATTAATTATTTTATTAAGTATATTTTATATATTCCTACCTAAAAGATAATTAACGTTTAATAATTCGTTTTCCTCTTTTAATAGAACGTTTTCCAATAATTCGACCTCCTAAATTTTATTATTTTAAATAAAAATAATCTTTTTACTAATTAATTTTAGAAGATATACTATAAGTTTTTAAATATTTGTAGGCTTTTTAATATAGCCTAATACCCTTAAATAAATAAGTAAATAGAGAGGCAAAATTAGAATTTAGAATTATATTTCTAAATCTTTTATATGATAAAATAAATTAATTAAACGGAAAAACTTATATTAACTTAATAAATATATAATAACTATTTCTATACTACTATTAGGAAATCCCTATTAGAATTACTCTTCGGGTATTATTTGTAGGGGTTTACGGATTTAAATTGGGGGCGAAAGACGGTACTCCTTATAATAATTACTAACCGAATTGTAGAATTACTTTAAAGTTAGGCTGAAATCGTTGAAGCCTTAGGAATTATTAATTAAGGATATACGAAATAGTATAATAAAGCCCGGAAGCCGAAGGAATTTAATATAGGGAGTTAAGTTTTATGTAATATAAAATATATTAAATAATAATACCCGAATACTAAATTATCTAGTAAACTTTTAAGATTATTTTAAATTATTAAACTTATTAGGAATAAAAAAATAATATATTAATTCGTACTCCTAATATAATACCGAATTTACTTAGTATTCCTAATTATTTTATTAGAACTATACTATAGTAACCCCGCTGCGGCTACGCTACGAAGAGAAGTTATAAATATTAAGGAAAATAATATTTAATATAAAGTAAAATTAATTATAAAGTATTAAAGGTCCGGCTACTAACGTTATTTCTAAATTAAATAGAAGGAGTATCCGGATAATAAGAATTTGTAAGTTCTATAAAAAAATATAAATTACTTAGGTCTTTTTAAAAATTATAAAGTAAGAGAAGTGTAATAGTAGAGAAACCGAGGTAGGCCGAATATTAAATTAATAAGAATTAATTAAATGAAAGTAGGAGAATAACGAATATTTAGTATTTAGAGATGTAAAATGAAGATACAAAACGAAAATGCAAAATACAAACGTAAAATATAAAATAAAAATATAAAACGCAAAATGTAGATGTAAAATATAAGACGAAGATATAAAATATAAATATAAAATATAAAATAGAAATGTAAAACGTAATTATAAATTAGATATTAAAAGGGAAGGGACGTAGGAAAGTATAAGAAGGATAGTAAAAAGGAAGGTAATATAATAAAGTAGTAGTAAAAGAAAGTAGATTAAAATTATTATAGAAAATTAATAAGGCGCTAGGAAGAATATAATTTATATTCTCTATTATTACCTCTAAACGAATAATTCTTCGGTAATATTAATTATAATCGATATAGGATTAGAACCTACAACCTTAGAAAGGATATTCCTACGTACTACTACGCTTATTAATATTATTAATTAATACTATTATATATTATCTACTCCTTATAATCTTCCTAAACGAATATTAATAGTTCGTTTAATTTCGTATCTATAGCTTCTAATTTTCTATTAATTATATAATACTACGGGCCTTAATCATAATTAATAGGAAGGGTAATCCGAATAAGGGAATTATATATTAAAATACTTATTAGGGAGCCGCTATTATTCTTAAAAAGATTGCTACTAATAATTACCAGACTACTATTATTATTTATATTACTAATAATATAATAATTAAAGCCTTAACATTATTTAATATTAAAATAATTAACGTAGAATATACTAAATAAAATCGTAGGAACGCCGTCGGTAATTAAACGCGCCTATATTGTATTTAAAAAAAAGAATACGTATTAATATAAATTTTATAAAATAATAATAGGTAAAGGGGGACTAATATTAATAAGAATTATAATTTTAATTGCTATAGCCTATAGAATATTCTAAAGGTTATGTATACTATAAAGGACTTTTAATATATATCTACCCTACGCTAAAATATACTACGATTTTTTAGTGAATTTTAAAGGGTATTAACAAAGAGGGAAATAAAGGATAGTAAAAAAAAAGGATTAACCTTTAATTTAATAAGTATATAGGTGATTAAATAGATAATTTCGTTTAAATTGAGGGGACCGATATTAATAAACGCTTAAATTAGAATAATATTATATCCTATATAGATTAAAAAGCGAACTTCGCTATAAAAGATTAGTAAAAAGTATAGGAAAATAGAGGGTATAATAAACGAAAAATAAAGGAAAAAGGAAAGCGTACTAATTAAATTCGAAAGTAAAATAATAGTTTATATATAGGATAGTAGTAAAAGTACGTATATTTATAGTAGGGGCTAGCTCTAGCGAAGGGGAAGGGATAATTAAAATAGTTTTAAAACTAAGCGGGGGGGAAAAACTAGCGAATTTATTAAGGGAGAAGGAAATAAATATAATTATAGAAGTAAAATTATAAAGAAGAAAAAAAAGAGTAAAGAAGGGAAGGGGAAGGGGATATTATATAATTAATAGAAGAGGTTTTAATATAAATATAAATTAGGGTAGACAGATATAAAATAAAGTTGGGTAAGAAAAATTATAGGTAATAGAATAATAAAATAGGAAGGAATAAATAGAAAAAGGGGAGGCGAATATAAATAGTAGAGAAAAGAGAATAAAATAAATAAATAATATTTATAAATATTAGAAAGTAGGATGGAAGGAAGTAGAAGGAAGGTATATAATCGGGAATAGGTACTACGTATTATTAGGGTAAAATTCGAATAGAAAGTACAATGATAGAATTAAGCTTAGAGAAAAAAAAAAAAGCGGAATAATTAAAGGGGGAGACTTAATAATCTAAAAATACTAACGAATAATAAGGAAGCGTAGGTATATTAAAGGTACGGGAACTTTAAAGAATAGAAAAAAGGGTATTACGAAAAGAGAAGGTATTAATATTAAAAATTAAAATAAGGGATTAGAAATTCCAGGAATAGAACCTATAAGGGAGGGGGTTATATTAGGATATTAAAGGATTACTACTTTAAATACCAGGAACCGGCTAATATAAATATAAAAGGAAATTTAGGACTATTGGGGATAGAATATTATAATATTATAATACTAATATCTTCTATCGTTTTACTAAATTCTTACTTAAAAGTATTAGGACGACCAATACCTCCTCTCGCTTTACTAACTTCGAATTCGGGAGTATTAAAATATTCGATAAAATAAAATTACAAAAGGAACACTCCAGCGCCGTATTATAGTAGTATACTAGTCGGGAACTCTATAATTATTAGTTATATTAGAGTAGAGTTTGTATGAGTATAAAAATAGTCCGAACGGGCGTCCTTTATTATAGGCGGTAACTATTAATATATTTTTGAATTGACTCCTAATTTAACGTCCTTTACTTATAACCGCGACCGTAGTTACTTCAATCTACCTTTTCCTTACGTCCTAATATTATAATAGGTTATATTCCTATTAATAATATAGTATATCTAATACTTAATAGCCTTATTATAGTTCTTATATTTATAACTAAAACCGTACGCTTATACCTATACTAACTCCTAATATATAGTACCGCGCAGCTTTAACTTTATATACTCCTCTTATTACTAGTCCTTCTTTAAATTCTTCTCAACCTTTACTAGTATAGTATTTATTATAATGCGCTTAAACTTCTTAATATTAACTAGAATCTATAACCCTCGAAATAATAGCATATCGGCTACTTATAGGGTTAGGGTAATAAAAGGATTAACTAAACTATGAAAGAGGGTAGGGGTAGAAGGTATACTACTATAGAAGGATAGGGTAGTAGGAATTTTACTAGCAGGCGGCTCGGTTAATTAAAATTTACATAATATAGTAAAATAATAGTACTAGCCAATATAATAGAAGTACGACTTTATAACAGTTTCGTACATAATATTATTATACCCGTTAAAAAAATCCTTCCTAAAAGACAATCTTGTTATAAATAATAACCCGGGCGCGACGGTTATTATAAATAGTAATAGTATAACTAACATTATATAAAACGATTAACTATCTTATTTCTACGGCCGTATTATTATCGATAATCTCTTATATATAACCTTACTATAATTATTTAATTTTATTAAGTAGGGTTGTTCTAAACTATTAGTTATAAAGCTTGCTATTATTTTATTTAACTTCTACTTCTCTAAATATACTACGTTCTTTAATAGGGGGTAATTTATTACGGCTAATAGTAATATACAAACCGACTATACTAAATTAAACCTATATCGACCAGGGGTATTTAAAAAGCGGCGGCGGTATTAAAGCAATCCGCTTATAAACGCGGGGCTAAGCCGGTAGTACCAAGGCAATTAATTTAGTTAGGGAGGCTACTTTACTATTATTGTTACTTAATAAATAAAATAAAATATTGAGAGCCTACTTCTTAGGGGTAAGGCGGACGGGGAATTATTATTCGACTTTATTGTTGTTGTTAGAATTTTTATTACTATTAGAAATATTAATAGGGGTAGCGGGTTAAAGTTAGGGAGGGGATAAGGGCGGTTCTAACGTTGGGTCTTTAGTAACTATAGCCGCGGCCAGAGCCTTCCCCCTTCTTCTTAACAGCGGCCTTTTTAGGAATAATTTTAATAGGAATAGCCTTCTTCTTGGGAATAGTTTTAGAGATAATTTTAGTAAACTACTCGGTTTTATAGCTCTTCTTTCTAGGCTGGGAGGAGGTGCGTTATAAAATTATTAGGCTAGGATCTTCCTTATTTTAATTATCGTTAAAATAGACTATTAGCGCGCTGCTTCGAATATAAGACCGCTTTATACTAATAGGTTTTAAATTAAAAATCGTTTTAGGAAGTATTATTATAATAGATTTAATTAATTATTAGTATTTTGATTACTTTGTACGCTGAAATGGCTTTAATTTGATGTAAAAATCGTTGTTAAATAATAGATCTTGACAAAGTTGTGCAATACAGAAGTGCGGTGTGTGTGTGTGTGTGTGTGTGCGCACGCACCGCTTGCCAAGACTGCACAGGTGTTTGAGTGTGGGAACAGCACGTGCACGAGCACGAAGTTCGGGTCTGGAGATGTGCAAGATCAGATTTAGTGGATTGATAGTGATGAGCAGCAGCTGCTTATGGAATAAGGTAGCGATGAGCAAACTCCAGCATTCCCGTATTGCAGTGCTTGCAAACTCTAATCCAAGGTTCATACAAAGTTTTCTTTCGCAGGTACATCCGTCATCACAAAGAGATCTTCAGATTCTTGAGTTGTTCCTTGCGGCTCACGTGTTCGCATGTCGAATGGCTAGCTAGCCGTGACTCTGTGGGGGAATATCTAGTGTACCGAGTGCGTGCGTTGCTATGGGAGATTCCAGGACTTAAAAAGGTTGTCTCACACGTGCTTGCTTGGTCGAGGCTCTCGAGATGCACTACAAAGCTGGGGAAGTCAGGATGGTTGGCGGATGGCAAAGTTCCGTTACCGGTATTTCTTAGGATTGGAAGTGTCGTCGTCGTCCGAACTTTGGGAGTTACTTGCTGCTGGGAGCTTTGACTCTGACTCGTGATTTGAGCGGAGCGGAGTTTGTGCCGCAGGATGACCCTAAGAAGTCGTGGCGGGGATATCCCGTTCGGGGAGAGATGACGTGAGCGGACGACATGTGCCGGGATCGGAGGTACACTCTTTGCCAGTAGGTCACTGTAGGTGTGCACGATGTTGTGAGCCATGATTGTTAGGTAGGTAAGGGTATTGAGAGTTATGGGAGAGGCCAGGGAGCTGATGATAGACTATAAGCTGGAAGGCAGGCATAAACGTTCGAACTAACATTTTTATCGCTTGATTATATGATTGACTGTTGCAGACAAGGCGAGTGTCCCGTTGATACCTCTGGAATGGCTTGATAAGAGTCTGTAGTGTATACCCGAAGAACCAATACAGATACCCGACCACGATGACAACCCGCACCGACAGCCGGTGACATTGGAAGATAAGATCTAAATAAACACTCTGATAGGTTGGCACTCACCTCTAAGGTAATTGTGGGGAGTTTCTCGTGTTAGTCTCTAAAGTTTAGAGTTTGATAGTGGATTTCATGACAGTAGCTTTAAGAAGTTGAGGCTATTCGGGACCAATCAGGTAACATTTGTAACGAGGGTATGGAGACTAGGTAAGAAGTGGGAAGTGGGAAATGGGAAATGGTAAGAGTACCTCCGGCTGTCGGGTAAACAGAGAAGGTACCTCTGCTGGTGAGATGTCTTCTTGCCTTGGCACAACTCGTATCAAACCTCGCGGGAAGGAAGGAAGACATCGTAAACACAGGTCTCAGGAGTCAGAAACAAATTTCCAGTTGACGTCGAGTAAGATAATATTCTTCTTCGACAGCAAAAAGTTCAGTGAGGTTAAGCCCAGCAAGAAACCATTGTCAAACTCAATCTTCCATTTCACCCAACGATGGTCTTCCCATGCCGAAATAGCCGATCCGGCAACCGGACGACTAGCGCGGTACATACCGAAACCGGGAGGAAACATGACGGACCAGTCTCCGGTCGGCGTCCATTCTTCAGCCCCCTACCCGCTCGAGGACCATGTACACAGTACACTACAAACATTCACACACCATCGTTCGATAAGTGCCCCTGGGCAACACTCGCTGAGTGTGTATCCTAGCCTTTGACCGAGACTTGCCCGAGCTTGAAGCCATCCAGCACCACTAAACTCCTTCATTCCCAGCCATCTTCAGACTACACTACAAGAATATGTTCGCGAATCGTGTGAAGCTTGGCCGCAGGCCGTTATTCTCGGCATCTCCACTTCCTAGCTAGATAGTGAGCAGCTTGCACCTCGCTACGTGTCCTTGCTTGTCGGTAGAACGATACAGGGATTCTGTATCCTCTTTATGGAGTTTTAATCTGAAAACGGGGCGGGATGAGAAGTTCAGCCTTGATCCCTGAGCAGCAGTACATACGCTCTCTTTATGATGTGTATGCGGGTGCCAGCCTCGTAAGTCGGTCAGGGTTGGCTTTGGTCCCAGCCTTTGGAGTGAATAACAAGGCTGATTAAACTTCATGGTACGGCTGGATGGATACGGTACCTCACTGGAGTGTAAGTATGTACGCACCAGAACACCGTGCCGTGCTGCTTCACCATCCATCATCACGAGTTAGGGATGAAAAAATGTGTATCCAGATTTGACTAACTTGGCTACCCGATACATGATGAACTGAAATTTCCATCAAGACCAGGGGCAGTTTTTCCAGACAATTTGGGTCCCTATGCTACCATAGCGTGGAAAATATCCAACAATGTTTTCATCCCCCAGAGAAAGGAAATTCGTCAATGGAATCTGAAGCAACAGCTTAATACCAAAACGAGGGGCTTCAAACTCGCCCTATTTGGTCCCTTGATGCAGAGATAATTACAGGCGACCTTGGGGATGTTTTCGATCTTGCATGAAAACGAGACAGCAGCCTACAAAGACTACCGCTCAATGATCCAAGCAGCTTTTTTAGCTTTCAAAGAAAGTTTAAAACAAAAAAAATCACCAACAATCTGTCATCCCAAATTTCTTCTGTGTTTCCATGCCGTCAAAGCAACCCCCATGCTGACACCCCAACGTTGCGTACCACCCTCGCCACCGGGAGTCCGGTAATCCGGAACTGATGCTGGTACATGTGCAATGACATGCATACTGTAATAGATAGTGTCTCGATGCACTGATATTTCCACACTCGCGTGCTGCATGCCACAAACCGAGCACGTGAATGGACCCGCGGAGGAGGATGGGCAAAATGTTATCCTCTCAACTCCGCCTCTGCCCTCGGCCTCGGGGTTCGGGCGGCTGATTCGGCCACGGATTCGCCTGGCGCTGATAGAAAACCGGTCTGGGGGGCGCAACCATTAAAGGCTGCCATGGAGAGCCACGCTCATGCTCGCGATTGATGAGGGGATTGTGATGCTCTTGGCGAGGTTGCTGGTGAGGCTGGGCGTTTTGCTGAGGCCTAGACCTAGCTTGTTGGTAGTGGTTAATATTGTTGCTGTTGTTTTTAGCCGCGGACTGAAGGGGGTTCGGAGCGCGTAAAGCCGTATTCTCGAGCGTCTCCAGCTCCTCCTCCATCTCCAGCTCCCTTGGCCTCTCCCGCCGGCGTAACTTCTCCCGCTCCAACTCCAGCCTCCACTCTCGGTCCAGATACCGCCACTGATCGTGAAGTCTACCCAACATGTCAATGAATCCACGGCGAGGGCGCTGTGGCTGCTCCACTCCCGGGGGTGTGTTATGGATGGCGTAATCTTCTGGCCTCCAACAGCTTGGGTGCCAGAGATGGCGCCGATCGTCGACACTGTCATCTTTTGGTCAGCGACGTAGTTCATCAGAAACGAGGGGTGGGAAGGGGATGAGGGGATGAATGGGTTGGCCTACTCTGACACGTTGGAGGCGCCACACCTGTAGCAAAATGAACAGGCACATCTACACTTAATAATGTGGCAACCCTTGACCAGCTCGACCATGTATCCACACACCGGGCAGAGTTTCCAGCCACGCTTCTTGCCCAGAGCGAGCACCTTGAGTGTATCTTGGTCTTGTTTGCAAACCAATCTCGGGTGGGAAGCCTGACGGCAATGCTTGCAGGTGCTGGCGAAGCACTTGGGACAACACCCGAGATCACTTTTGATCAGGGCGGGTTTGATGAAACTGCCACATTGACGGTTGGAGCAGTATAGCGGGTTGGGCGTGGTGAGCTCCTCAACCATGTCTTCATACGCCTGCTTCTCGTCTGCGGACAAGGAGGCACCTTGGTAGTCTTTTGTGTCGAAGATCGCCCCGCAGCAGCGGAAGGGATAACGACCTTTTATCGCACTGCGGATACCCTCGACGAGGCAACCGCCGCAGTAACCGTGGTTGGAGAGGTTCGAGTTCGAAGATTCGTCGGAAGGAGAGGGAGGACAAAAGTAGATAAGCTGATCCGCAGGAAATTCGTCCATGCAGACGACGCATTCGGGGTTTCTGTGACTCTTGAGAGGCTCGGCGGTCGTGGAAGTGACAACCATGTTGTTCTTTGTGTAAAAGGATGTTGACAGCTGGTTCGTTGGGTCTTTCAGCATCGTGGACTTGATTCCGCCTTTGCTGCTCCTTCGCATCTTTGCTTGAATCATTGCCCAAGATGCGGAAACGCGTTGCCTGAAGCTCACCATCTCCGGGAGGGGGGTTTCTGTCCCTTCTCTCGATGTGGACGAACTGGGCTGTGGAATATCTGATTCGCGGAGACCGAAATCGATGTGGAAATGTGGCTTAATGATCAACAGCTGTTAAAGAAACAAGATGGCAATACCAACTCGTCCGCCTGTGTTAGTTTTGACAGTGACACGGACGTTATTCTCCTGTGCTATTCGGTCCGGGGGCTCTTTTACTTATTGAAGCGGAGCAGATGGCGAGTATGTATCAGTAGGCTTGTTCAATTTCGTACTTGATGGAGGTTGCGACGAGAACGAAAAGGGTCTGATGACATGACAGTAGTAAGGAGCTTTATATGACAGCTATGATTATTGCCTGGACCATTGTGCTCTGCACAAGTAACTTGTCCGCAGGGAAAGCGGGGATGCTGCAGAAAAGACCGATTTCGGCAGCAAAAGGACCACCTGTCCCTTATGCACCCTTTTCAGAAACGTGAATGACCAGCTTGCCATGAGTCTTGCCCTTTCTGAGGTCCCTGAAGGCTGTCGGGACATCCTCAAAATCATAGCCATGCTCGACTACAGGCTTGATTTTGCCCTCTGCGACCATCTGGCCGAGTATAGCCAAGTCTTGGTGTTGATCGCCCATCAGTGTGTACAACTGAAACTTGCGTTTTCCGCCACCGAGAAAGGAGGGTCTGAATAGCCTGGACATGGTTGAAGATAGGGCAGCCAAGGACACAGGCCCACCGACCTGCACGAACTTTCCATCGGGCAGGAGATAGTCATCGCCGGCCTTGTACAGTTCCGCCGGAAGACCGACATTGTCGACAGAGAGCTTAAAGACCTGACCGCGTTCTTTTAAGGCCTGGCAGACATCGACAGCTGTATAGTCAATGATGTCGTCGGCACCCAGAGCCTTGCATTGCTCGGCTTTGGCGGCAGAGCACGAGACGGTGACATGGCAGCCGAGGGCCTTTGCGATTTGGATGCCAAAGGAGCCGACACCACCGGAACCGCCATTGAGGAAGACCTTGTCGCCAGGCTTGACGTTGGGGGCAATGGTCTGATAGGCGGTCAATCCAGCACAGGGCAGAGAGGCAGCCTCGTCAACATCAACACCCGAGGGCAGGGAGGCACAAGCATTTGCGCTTGCCACAATGTACTGACCGCAAGCGCCCTGCTGAGTAGGGGCTTGACGGCCAAAGACAATCTCGCCGACACGAAAGTTGTCGACGATGTTGGTGGTCTTGACGACGCGGCCGCAAAAGTCCCAGGCGGGAGTGGCAGGCGTGCGAACGACAGCACGGCCCAGATTCAGGGGCAGTTCGGCGATCTTGTAGTCCGAAGGGTTGATGCTCGCGCTGAGAACCTCAATGAGCAGCTCCTTGTCTCCCACACGCGGCGAGAGGGTGGGCACGGGAACATGGTCCTTGAGCACCAAGTTTTGTTCCAGGCCACCCGTGGTCTGTGAATACTGCCAGGCGCGCATCGTAGGGGGGATTTCGGACGCCATGGCTGAGTGATATGGGTCGCGAATCTGGTGATGAATGATGTTGGTGTTTCAGTGGGTACTTGTTGTTAGTGAATGTCAAGCTGGACAAGAGCTTGACGTGAATGCTGCAGTGCTGGTGGGTTCTACGTGTGCGCGCAGTCGAGGAATAAGTTTGGAGTTTAGGAATGGAAGATGTCGGTCGCAGTTGAATGCTATCGCCTGGGAAGGACATGAAAAAAATGAAAAGACGGCAAGCTGGATCGTTTATCTTAAAGAGACAGTTGTCGTCGATACTTTATTAGTCTAGAGCTGAGTGCCAAAAGCGGTAGGATGCACAGACCATCATGACCTCATCACTGGCTTGACGGGCGGGGATATACACAGCGTTAGCAAAGAAGAGCCTATCAAGAGTTACCTCCTTGTTCCAAAACATCATCACATACAAACGGATGATACTTTGCCAGTGCCTTCAAATAGAAATCAGAGACATTCGCCCAAGAGAAGCTATGCCAAAGAGCTTCTTTATATTGTTCAAAATTGATCTTGCTAACTATTCAAGGGAGTGACTCGCAGACACAAAGTCATTTGTGATAGAAGGGCTTCACGCTTGATGGACCGCTAACTGAATCGTAAGGCGCCAGCTGCCCTAGCTGTTAGCGGCATAACTGAATCGTCTTACTGGCTGACCAGCAACCCTTCCCAGGCAACATTAAACGCTCCCCTTCCACAATCTCAGTTCCGTTTTCAAGACAGAACCACTGGAACCAATGACTTGCGATACGAGTCTCAGCCGATGACGGTCGCCCGTAGACAAGATGCCAAAAGTGGGATATGTACCGCCGGCATTATCAAGCCGCTGCCGCAAACCCCCGAGTGCTGATACGGCGTCTACGCTCCCATCTTCATCTCGACGGAAACACGATGGCTCAACTTGACAATGTATGTCGATCGTCCTGATCAGTGATCGCGTTCAAGATGGGCTAACGCTCCGTTTGGGCAGATTATCTCGATTCTCAAAGTTTGATACCATGTTTGTACCCAAAGACCGGACGAAATGCCGATTTTGTTCGCCCTTGGGAAGCAAGCAACATCGTCAGTGTTTCCACTACCACATGGTAGTTGGGACGATACAGCTTCCCGCAATGTCAACAACACCCCTCTCTTCCCCCCAATCCTCACCCAGTTCTCTTCCCGAACCAGGTTGAACTCTACCTCGACCATCTTGCCCACCCACAATGGACCTACAAGACAAAGGATACAGCGCCAGAGACCTTTTGGGTGTCAACTTCGGCTCGTGGGCTCTCGCGTTCACCGCCGTCGCCCTTCGTGGCTATACCCGTCTCCGGGTCAGGAGGGACTGCTTTGGGGTTGACGATATCCTAATGTTCATGTCCATGGTCTGTTTCACGGTATACGTTGCCTTTGCTATCACCGGCATCCACCACGGGACTGGTCATCGTGACAATGACTCAACTGTAGAAGCCAAAAAGGTGTGTGCCGCACATCCCCCCTGACTCTTATTTCACCCAAGGGCCAAGGCCGACCGAGTTCCTAGCTAACCTGATGGCGTTCTCAGTTCTGGTGGGCGTGCTACCATGCCTACACCGTCACCATCCTGTTCGCCAAGCTATCCGTCAGTTGGTTCCTGGTACGCCTTACGACCATCAACAAGATACACAGACGCATCATTCACGGCGCCGTAATAATCACAGTCTCCAACAGCATAGCCTTTATTGTTTTTACGATATTCCAGTGCAAACCGATCTATTACTTCTGGGATCAATCACCACCAGGTGGAAAATGCGTGAGAGCCTGGGCCATTCTGGCCGTGGGATACACGTGCAGCGTCTTCAACATCATCACCGATCTCGTCTACGCGCTGCTCCCAGCTTGGATCATTTATCATCTCCAGATGAAGCTCAAGACGAGGATTTCCCTCATGATACTGATGGGCATGGGATGTCTGTACGTATTTCATTCATCCTACCCTCTGATCCAAGTCAGCAACAGCTAACTTTTAGGGCGATATAGCGCAAGTTGCGCAGTTATAGCCCGCATGACATACCTCGACGAACTAACCGACTACCAAAACTCCAACTTTCTTTTTTTAACGGCCAACGTAGCTATCTGGTCCAGCGTGGAACAAGGTCTGGCCATCACGGCAGGTAGTCTCGCTACGCTGCGCCCGCTGATCATCAAAATTGGCCGCAAGCTCGGATTCGCCAGCGCTACGTCCGCGTCCGCAAACGATATTGAGTTTGGCCCGATTGGACCTCCGGTGTTGCTTAGGGAACGCACAAACTCCATGTTCTCGAGGAGAGGACCGTCGAAGCCTAGAGGTAGCAATGCTGTGCTACTTGAGACGGAGACGGCAGTGCCCTTTGATGGGGCGCATGTAAGTCTAGGTTCTAGGGGGAAAACAAAGAAGACTGAACGAGGAATGAGGCTAACCAGGATTCTTATGAGTAGTACTCCAGACACGTTATTGTTACGAGATCCGTCGACAAAGATCCGTCTTTCGAAAGAGATTGTGGTCAGACGGATTCTACATCTTCATGGCCCTTGAAGCCGTAGTTAGTCGATCGCTTTCGCTCCCCGTTGCTTATATCAGCGTAGCAAGCGAGCCACTGCCCTTTGATTCAGCGCAGTCACAATCAGTCTCCGTCCATGACGAGTCGCAATCCCCCGCATTGGTCTCTCTGTTTCGTTCTCACCTTCCAGAGTCTTTTCAACGGCCTTCATGAGAACTTCACGAATCACGACGGCTTAGACCGTGCCAACTTCTGGAAGGTAATTAATAGACACGGAACAGTACGATCCTATTTGGACTCTATTTGGGACATTCCCGTTGTCTGCCATGTGCTTGTCTTGACCCTGTTCCCAGATCTCGATGAAACACATGCTAAACTCTCCAGTAACCATCATCTACTTCTTCATCTTCCAACCCTTCCAATATATCACACGCCGCCTTCTCCGCCGCCATGTACGTACTAAGCTGCGTAAATGTGCCCGGAAGCTTCGGATACACACTCGCATCCACGACCCTCAGTCCCTTGACCCCCCTGACTCTAAACTTACTATCCAACACGGCCATCGGATCCCCATCGGGCCCAATCGGGCACGTCGAACTCGCATGATGACCCCACGCGTCATCTATAATATACTGATCAAGGTCCTCATCGCTCTGCGTATCCGCCCCGGGCCTAACCTCCTGCGTGCACACGCCCGACCTCCTCAGTGCGTCGCGCGCAAGACAAATACCTTCGCGCATCGCCGTCAAATCGGCCTGGTAGTCGCCCGATCCATACTCAAAGTAGTTGAAGTTAATCTCGGGAGTGTCCAACGGATCGCTAGAGCGAAGCGTCACAGTACCAGCCCTGTTGCGCGGGTGCGCCTTCAAGATAGCCCACGTCCACCAGTTATGCTCGGCAACCAAGTCCACCGAGTAACCGGGGTAATAACCAGCAAAGTTGAGAGGCCCGCCAAAAGTAAACAAATCCCAGTCATCGCCCTCCGCCGCGCTAGACTTGTACAGCATTACAACTGGTACGCCGTTGGAGGCATAAGTGCCGCGGTCTCCCATGACAGGGTTTTCCCACCGATCCAAGCACGGATCGGTCGTATTGTCGAACAGCAGGAACGTGCAATTCTCGAGCACGGTCCAGTCCTGGGGCACCTTGACGTTGACGCTGATCTCGTAGTGGTCTTGTAAGTTGCCGCCTACTCCCGGCAAGTCGACAACGACGGGAATGCCGAACTTGGATAACTCGTCCTGCGGACCGATGCCCGAGAGTTTGAGGATCTGAGGCGAGTTGTAGGTGCCACCCGAAATAATTACTTCGCGCGAGGCCTTGGCGGAGCCGGGCGTACCGTTGGCGTGCTTACCTCCATGCCTCGCGTGCTTGGAAGAAGAAGAAGAAGAAGAAGAGGAAGAAGAAGAAAGGGGAGAAGCGCGGTAGAGATATTCGCCGTCGAGGAATTCGACGCCTGTGGCTACTGGTTCCCCCGTCTCATCGCAATCGGTATCATCAAAGGTGATCTTGGTGACGAAACAGTTCAAGCGCACGTCGAGCGGGTACTTCTTGCTGCCGTCGGGGTTAAGGGCGTCGCGCACGGCGACGACAAAGTCGCGACTGCCGTTGCGGGTGCCGTTCCTAGTGCTAATGGGAATTTCGTTGTAGCTCGGATCATGGTCGCGGGCAATGGTGTCGGCGTTGAGATCATTGGTTGCGAGGGTGGTGAGGTTGATGGGCGATTGGGTGGCGTTGCCAAGGGCGTAAGCGCCGCCGACGACTAGAGACAAAAGTTCAGGGTCCGGGGTGGTTAAGGTGGGAATCTCGATGGAGAGCCAGCCGTCCTGGCCGTGGCCGTAGTAACCACCCTGAGGGTAGTTTTTGTCCTCCAAGGCGATGAAGTGCTGGCGCATGTTGTCAGGCAACCAGCCATCGTCACCGGTCAGGTCGGCGATGTACTGGAAGTCGGACTGGAAGGGGTAGACGGCAAGGAGGGCATTGTGGGCGGTGCAACCACCGAGGGTGCCGGCGCGGGGGTAGAATGTTCCGAGCATCTCGGCGCCCTCGGGCGGGGACAGGCCGGTATAGATGGTGCCGTTCGATAGCCGGTAGCTGGTCTTCCAGTCACGGGCCTGTTGCTCATCGTCGGGGTAGTGGCGAACGTAAAAGGCCCAGGACAACTTCTCGTCCTCGGTAGCCCGGGTGCTGTAGGCCGGGACTGTAACGTTGACGTTGTTGCCCTGGTCGTTGCCGGCTTCAATCAGGAGGGTCTTGTGGCCGGCCATGGCTAGGCGGGCGGCGAGGGGACCGCCACCGGCGCCGGAGCCAACGACGATGTATTCATAGCCGATCAGCTCGACGGCTGAGGCCAGAGGGGCAGCGGCCAAGGCTAGGCCTAGGAGATGATGAAAGATCATGGTAGTGTCGTTTCTCGCTCGGTTGCTGCAGAACCCGGAGAAACAAAAGAGTGTGATGAAAGAGGGACTCCAGCCAGCTCGAGCCGCGAGAAGGCCATGCACTTATACTTTGGTGACTTACGCTAGAGGAGGAGATTGGAAATCAATAGTCAGCCACACCACAACCACGCAGCAATGGCTGACTGTCATTGAGTTGGCACAGGATACAACATCGGTGTAGCCATGCTCCCCGTATCCGACAGTCGTGCAGTTCCAGGCTGTGGCAGGCTCTTCATCTTGCTTTTTGGATGGAGCCTGGATTCGACGGTAATGCACCAAGAGTTGTTTTCAAAGGCAGGAGCCATGTCTACGTAGGCGGGCATGACGGGAAAACATGATTGCCGAGTTTGAACCCCAAATAATGGGGAAAACAGGGAATCAGAGACTGGAGGTGAGAGTCATATGGGCCAAGTGATCGTCTTTCTGGGACTCCCTCGGGGATATCTCGAGCGAAATCATCAATGACCAACCTCCTTCCACATAACAACATCTAGAGGCACATAGTGAAAGTTGAACTCTTGAAGCTCCGTCTTTTTGGATCTGTCAAGACAAACTAAGGCATTGACTCCTTCAACAGTTCGCGTGTTCAGCCACGGCCCACGCCACAACGAAGACATTACCCTTTTCGTTCCAATACTCCCACTTGGGGTAGTGACGATGCTATACCATCAAAGGTAGGCATCCCTTTCTGAGCGCCAGGCAGATGACAAAGATCTGCCAGAACTATGCCGCGTGCCTCTAAGTCTAAGCACGCATATGCCATGGGGGACATATGTATGTCCGGATATCTGCATCAATGCCCGCAAAAGGGAGTAGAATGAAGGGGGGGAAAGGGGGTACATAATTCCACCCCGGAGCATTATAGATTCGAGTCTTCTTGCAGTATCCTTATAGACTACCTATGCTTGATATCCCAGTCAGTTGAACCTCAACCCCCCCCCCCCCCGAGTCTGTTTGAGTACATACGACCCGTCCTTGTCCTGCCAGCTGCCTGCACAGATCTGCCTACCCTCTGTCCGCCGGCGCTCAAAGGGGGATATCTTGTGACCAGTTTCGCGTTTTTCTATGGCACTTCACGGCACTGGTAAGTTGAAGAGTCGGAGAGGTCGTTATGGTATGTATGGTTGTGTCGAGTTGAGGCTGTTATGTAGGTAGGTACCACCTACCTTAGGTACGCATCGGAAACCGCAGATCGTGTTCTGCAGCTTCATGTTTGAAAGCGGTCACCAATCACAGCTCACAGTCTCCTGTCGAGCGCGAGTTATTCCAGTTCTTGTCTAAAATGGCTCATTGGTGTGACTTGCATGGCATTGACGACCATTTGCGTTCAGCGATGTTTGGTGGTGACCGGAAGGGAACCTGGATTGACGCGGAAGGGGCCGGGGAGTAGCAGACTCTGGTCCATCCGTTCAAGACCAAGAAGAATGTGAACCTGCAAGTCGTTTGGGTTGTAAAAGTAAAAGGAGATGGAGATGAGCTGAAATGGAAACATCCACTTCAGCGAGGCAGTCTCTGAGAGCCAGGACGGGATGTCTGTCGCACCACCTAAAAGTGACGATAGAGGCGCTCGGAGTTCCCTTTCCCACGAAATCCCACCTGTTCATGTTGCACCCATCGTCGCCAAATCTCGCATGATCACCCGACTCGTGGGGCCGTAAAACGGGATGGCGGTGAAACCCAGCGTATAGCGACACAGACATCCTTCCGCAGGCGCGGGTGCGCAAATTTGAGGCTGAACATTTTCCTACAAAGGAAGCCGAGTGGCTGTCTCAGGTAGGTAGATTGAAGTTCACGCCCTCCTCGGGCTCGCATGTCTTGATATCGTGGATGGCATGGACATCCTGGTTCATCATTAAGTCCATGTCTCTCGAGAGGTGTAAGTCGAGTGTCGTGTTTCAAGCCAGGAGCTCGGGGACGGGGACGGGAACGGAGACCGAGCTCGCCGATAGAACTCTAATGGCAGACTCGTGATAATTCATTCGCATGCACATCGATAGCTAACATTGATGGTCTCCCACAAGTCGTGGAGTCCTTCGTTTCGATAGGTAGGTTCACAACCGTTGAGAGTTGAAGACACTCCGTAGGCTCCTTTTAATGTCTTGCGTACATATGTACAAGCAAACCCCAACAGCTTTGAACGGGGTACATACCTAGGTACGGGTACGGAATCTCACGGGAGTGGGGGACAGGAGGTACATATGTACCCCAGAAAGGGGGAGGGGAAGGGATCAAATGCAGACGAGGCATGATGTGGATGCCAGGTATGAAAGGTTGAGAAAGTTAGGGAGGTGAGCTGGAAAGCGGTGCGTTCAAGAATTCGTCTTTCGACATCACTTACCTAAGTAATAACGAGAACCCCTGAAACCATTTTCCCACATAGAGATACACTTGAATCGAGCTGCACGTCTTTGTGCTAGTTCCTCGACCTTACGCTCGTATATCTTAGTCAACTGATTGCTAATACAACAACGAATCATCACAAACAACCCACGTCAGCCAAGCATGCCAGATGCAATTGTGCCTTAAGCGGTTTGGTGGTGGTGCTGGACTTGGCCGTCAGCATCGTCGCTTGGCATGCCTGCCGCCATGGGTTTCTGCCAGCTCTATGGTAGGTAGCAACTATGGCAAGATGCGGTGTATGAGGCTGCATGAAGCTTTGCATCGGCATAGCCGACTTGCCTGGCTCCTGACAACGCTCGGGAAAGTAATGAGGATGTGTGTAATTCTAGTGATGTCTGTGAATAGCTTCATCGGTGGCTACCGGTTATCCGCGTCGCTAGGTGCGCAGTAGTAGTAGTCTAGGAAAACGACCGAGTAGTTTGAAGTGGGTGTGGAAGCGAGAGATCAAACCAGAATGAAAGAGTTATGAGTATTGTATATTTAACTGAGATATGTGATAGGCGATACTACACTTGTCAACACTGGTGGCATTCAAACAGTGAGTGTCTCCGTTGTCTCAAAATTGTATATGCCAGCTCTAGCTATCCAAACATTATCCATTATAGCTCCTGGCCAGATATTCAATTACAATTCGTTTGACACATTTTAATGGGGGTAAGGGTAAAAAGCCCATCAGACTCTCCCCTGACGACCAACACTCTCCACGCGGAAGCCCAACTTCTCCATGCCCGCCACCTCCAACACTCCCCTACCATCAAACACCCAGTGAGGTTTGTGCATGTGGTAGTGAACTTTCCTCCAGTCGAGCCTGCCCTTGAAGACGTGCTCCTGTCCCGCTCCGTAACCACTGGTACCCGTTTCCTTCTCGATGAAACAGTCTGGACAGTCCTCAGCGCAGTCGGGTACGGAGTTGAAGCGATGCAATGGATCTTCCTTATCCTCCGCATCTGTTGACTGCAGTAAAAAGGTATGAAGAGCAAGGAGCTCAGTCTCGGTTGGCTCCTCACCCTTGAACGGTCGTGGGTCGGGGACAACGGCCTTGACAGGCGCAGCCTTGGGGGCCAGGACCTCGGCAGACGCTGATACCGGCTCACCGGTGTTCTTAAACTCATCAAACTCGGTGGTAATTAGTAGCGCATCAGAGGAGTGACAGGCCTCGTAAGCGTCTGCGTAGACAATGACAGGGCCTCCGTTTCTCTGTAGTACCTCGGCGCCGACATAGCGACCGATATCCTCGGCCATCTGCGCTGGGTTGCAGCAGGGGTCGTAGACGGCAATCTCCCGTGGCCCTTCCTCCACCAAGGTTCGGATAATCTCCACTGCTGGCGACTCACGGGTATCGTTGGTATCCTTCTTGAAGGCGTAGCCAAGCATGGTGAGTTTCTTGCCAATGAGGGTATTGTTGAGACACCTCACGACACGCGAAGCGAACCTGTTCCTGGCGAACTCGTTCATGGTGATGACATTTCGCCAGTAGTCTGCTACCTCGGGTAGTTGGAGGCTCTCGGCCAAGTAAGCCAGACTGAGCACATCCTTCTTGAAGCAGCTGCCACCGAAACCGATACCGGCCTTGAGGAACTTGCTGCCGATACGGGGGTCGGCACCAATCGCACCCGCAACCTCACTGACATCGGCGCCAGTCACCTCGCACACGGCCGCAATTGAATTGATACTGCTGATGCGCTGGGCGAGCATAGAGTTCGCGACAAGCTTGGCAAGCTCAGAGCTGAACACATTAGTCGTGATGATCCGTGACCTCGGGATCCAAGCGGAGTAGACAGATGCTAAAGCGGCGGCTGCGCGCTGACCAGATGGTGTTGCACTGGAGCCGATCAAAATACGATCTGCGTTGAGAAGATCCTTGATAGCAGTTCCGGCAGCCAAAAATTCGGGGTTGCTGAGAACCTCGAAGTGAATACCGGGCCTATGGAGTGCAAGCTGAGGCACAGTTAGCGAGCCAACCCTTTTACATAACCAAACCGGTTCTCCTTACAGTGTCTTGTACAAACTGCGCCGTCCGACATGGGACTGTAGACTTTTCTACAATGATGGCGCCCGGCCGGGCATGCTGCGCAACCACATTGGTGACAGCCTCGAAAGCAGTCATGTCCGTGGCAGAACCTGCGCCGGCACCACGGCTCTTGGTTGGCGTATTGACCGCAATCAGAACGATGTCGGCTTCGCTGATAGACTTGGCTACATCGGCTGTGAAGAAGAGGTTTGGCTGGCGGGCAGGAATAGGTTTCAAAACATTGTCTCCGCACTGGCTACCGCATTCTGAGGCCGGAGTGGACGTATCCGAGACATCTGGCGTATTCGAAGATGTTGTGTTGGTCGTGGAGAGGGACCTAGTCTCGATAGTGCATTCCTTGGATCCGTCACGGGCAATGCGCAGAATGTGGTTCAAGCCGGGCTCGTAGATAGGGGGATGTACAGAGTTCCATCGTCGAATGCGCTTCTCGTCCTTGTCGACAACCGTCACTCGGATATGGGGGTTATTGAAGGCAATAACAGCCGCAGTAGGGCCACCTGGAGATCTGTTAGTCTACGAACGCTCGACTGTAATCCCCACAGGTTGGCAAGACTCACCAACATAGCCAGCGCCAACACAGCAGATGTTGCGGACTGGCGGTGTTCTGGCCGTAGTGTCGAACAGCGTGGACGACAACGATCTGGAGGTGCTCTGGGGCTTCATGGCGGGGATCCCCGGTTGTTCATCCGCAGCCTGGAGGACGGGACTGAAGGACAAGCTGCTTCCTGGGGTCGTTGGTGCGGTGGAGACGTCGAGACTAACGTCGTTCCCCAGGTCCAGAGTTGAGGGTAACTGATGGGCCATTGCCTTGTGCAAGTGTCTCTCCTAGTGTAGAGACAGGCGGAGTTGACGGGGAGGAAGAGGCAGCGGAAGGGATGAAAGGAGAAACAAGCGGGAACTGACGGGAATCAACGGGTATGGACATGAGAAGTGAACTGGACAATCGGACTACTTCCAATATGGCCTGATAGCGCCAGCAGGATGGTCCTGGAGAGGCTGCCAAGAATGGAGAATCCGGCTTCCAGTGGGTGGAAGCAAACGATTCTGGGGAAGAAAGAAGTGAGAGAAGTCAAGCCGAAGGCGGCGTGGCTCAGGAATTGGTTAGATTCAGGAGGCCAAGAGGATTGGGAAAAGGGTGGACATGACGAAAGGTGGAGCGGTGGATGTCGATCGGCCGGGTTGTGTGTGTACATGTCGAAGGTATTTCCATCATCCATCTGTCGGATCTCGGCAAGTCTTGGACAAGCAGCATCTTGGTATTAGTCGGGGTTTCTTGGACTTGGCTATTCTTGAGGTGCTTGAACTACTAACACAGTAGATCTAGCATCCTGCCTTTGTCTGCTCTGTTCGTGAGGGTGACCCGAATTGTTGGCCATTTAACCCGTAAAATCGCCGTAAAAAAAAAAGAGTCCATCCGCCCCAGTGACAACATGCCCATATCCATCAAGTCAAAGTCTTGTTCGCTTCCGGCTGGCTTGTTGACATTGGCATCTTGAAGAGAAATGGAGAATGGTGATGTCTTGTCTCAGACGAACACGATAGACAGACTAGGGAAGAGGCGGGCACATGAATCTGCAAGGTACTAGAACTAGCGGCCTGTACACGTGTAGGTACAATAGTAGCGCAAGCCGAGGGATAGAAACACAGTTGGATGTCGCTCAGTGGTCGAGTTGCCGCCAACAACTAAGGAGACGGACTATTCAACTTGATGATTTTGAAGCTGACTGATTTCTTGTCCCAACTGGAAGTCCAACTGAAATGAATTGTGTCAGCTGTCAATTGCAACTGCCAATATTAGAAGAAATGTCGAGCAATGTCCACCGCTGTTGCCGTCTGATGTTTCTTTTTGCTCGCATGTGTTTGTTGGTCTTGGCGGACGTGATACCGGGTCTGGAGATTTCTCGATCGGCCAATCATTGGCTAGGAGTCACGAGAATAGTGAAAGGAGTGGAGAATAGCAGTCAGGGCCAAGAACCCCCCGCTGACATGGATGGCCGGGATGTTTCCCTCCTCATCCGGGGACGCGCGTATGCGCCCCAAGTTGGGATGTCCTGGCAGTTGCGGCCACTTGCGCCGTGATATCCGAACGAGCAATTGCGATTCCGTCACAATTTAGGAACCGCAATTTCGTTGTAACAAATCTTTGAAAAGGTAGGCGCAATGGTCGTCGCATCAGTTGCCAGGAAGCAGCAATCTGCCACTTGCCAGGCACGCGACAAATGTTTTCGACTGGTCGGTGAGTTGCGGCATAAATCGAACTTGGTCCAGTCGCTCGCTCTCTGCCCGTTCAAAGAGACTGGCAGCGTTCGGAATCTTTCGTTTTGGTTATCCTTCTCCCAGCACTTGTTCAACCGATCCTACCGCGCTTGATATCGAGAACCCTCAACCGGCCAATCCAACACTGGCCATTCGAACACCATTGATGTTTCCGAAACGTCGATCGCGCATTCGGTGAGCCTTGCCCGTCCAAAAGAGAACATTCGATCCGACCCATACCCTCCACGCGCTACAATCCTACGTTCAGATTTCACATTGGAGATGCCAGATGCCCGTGGCTCGATCGTACTGCGATACACAAACATCAAGCGATGACACAGTACCGAAGCTCGACCCAGGTTTTTCCAAGAGTTGGGTGGAAGATTGCAACAAGCCAGGATGACGTAACATCAACCCTGGTTTAGTTGTTAGCGCGGTTCCTGCGACAGAGTTGCGAAGAGTGCGTTTAGAAGTCCCGCGCTAACAACCAAATCAAGGTTGGTTGTATACCGTAGCATTCTGCCCGCACAGCGGGAGCAGCGTAGCATTCGAGCTACTGGTACCAAGCAACACCATCCCTTACCCATGTCATCCCGCGATCCCTCGTGGCTCTAACCTCTACCGAAATTCCCGACGGCGACAGCCCATAACTCAACCGTTATAGCTCAAGTCACTGGCAAAAGGCTCCGGCTGCGGCGTCCAAAAGAATATGCTACCCATCCCCTGAACTCTCAAGTCGCGATCAAGCAACTCCCGGTAGCATTTGGAGTTTTCCCCGGAATCGGTAGATTTCCAAGTAAGACACCTCCTTATCCGGTGATCTGTTGGCTTTAGGCTCGATTTTGAAGGCCCAAGGGCCCACAGCATTGGCATCCCGTTCATCAAGTGAGGTCTGGAGTTTGAGGCTGCTCAAGTGCGCTGATGACTTTCGGTTCGAAGCGATCAGATGATTGCCTGGCTCGACAGTGCCTCCCGCAAAACAGAATTCGGGAACTTGGACGACATCTAGGCCCACATTATTCGCACTCTGGACCCTTGCTGGGGAGTATCCCCGGCTTACACTGATACAAGGCTCAACCATCTGTACAGATGCCTTGCACTTAGGGCTGTCATTGCAAAGCTGCGATCGAGTTCACCAGCCGACCTACATCAATCAGCCTGATCCGATGAGAACCCGGAGAGGATTAGTTGCGGAGAAGAGCCCCAAAGTGTGCTCCATTAGAGCTGGACTGTTTTCCATTGTTCGAAAAGGACAATTTCGGCCATCTCAACTTTCTGTGCGGGAGGGGTGTTTGATCGATGTCGACTGTCCCCACTTGGGATGTAAGAGGCCCGAAATTGCAAGCCACAGAGGCACATGCATACAGTGAACATGGAACGTGAGCCTGGCCAATGTCGTTACGTCCAGAGTCCTATGGATAGGGGTGTACAATTTTTCGAGTTGACATCTGTCGCGACTTAGGAGGACTATGAGACGCGTTTGTGACATTTTCCAGTGCTGGTGTGCCTTGCTGTCCCTTTGGTACACACCTGTGCATTTGCTCTCTCTTTCATACCTAAGGAAACGTTTAGCGCCGAATTCGATGCCACTCCAGTACGGGATACTACTTGTCCTCAACGCCGGAGGCCCGATATGCTATGTCTCGTTCCATCCGTCCCCTAACATATACAAGGGTACTAATGCGCCAGTTGTCTTCTTTGCGACCTTGCTGGCTCCAAAGTCCGTTTGATCCGCTGATAAGTGTTTGTAGTGACCGTCGGAGCGGGTGCCAGAGGACATTGGAGCTTCAGGAGGACCAACGAAGTTTGGTCGGAAAGCATCAAAGCCTGACAGTCACTCGGATGAATACGTCTCCTGCAAGTAGTAACTGGATCCAGCTACTTGCATCGGTTGCTAACACTTCCGCGGTGTCTCTCTGTCCGTCATTTGAGGATTGATTTTGATGGGCTGCCAACAGAGCATGGTTTCTTTGGAAGTCTTCTACTTAAGAGTTGCTCCGTCCAGACGGGTTCAGACGATGAAGCACAAGGACACCGCGCCATCAACCCTCTTAACACCCTTCACAGTCTTACCCTCTCAGTCCCAACACCGAACAGCACTCTTGAAATAATTACCGTCGTTTCAGTCTCCCCTGCCTCTCCCTACGATCACAGTCTGGCCGAAGAGATGGTAACCTTCCAGAGTGGTGCCTTGAGCAAGTTGTGCTCCAAGGATCAGCAAGAACTTTTAGATGCCATCGATCGTCTCCGTCTGGAGGGCATCAACAACTATGTCTCATTGCCGCAAATCATTGTCTGCGGTGATCAGTCATCCGGCAAAAGCTCTGTCCTGGAGGCCATCTCTGGCGTCGCTTTTCCTATCAAGGCGAACTTGTGCACTCGCTTTCCCACGGAAGTTGTTTTGCGCCGCACCCTCGACATAAGCGCCCACGTTTCCATTGTACCTCATGAAGATGCCAACGCGACTGAGCAAAAGGCCCTATTTGCCTTCAAGGAGAAGATGACCTCCTTCGACCACCTGCCGGATATTATCGAGAAGGCCAAGAACTACATGGGAATCTCCACGACACAAGGCAAGGCGTTTTCCAATCATCGCCTTCGCGTTGAGATCACTGGTCCCGATCGTCCACACCTTACTATCGTTGATCTTCCCGGTCTCATACATTCGGAAACGAAGAACCAAACTGCCGCAGATGTCCAGCTGATCCAAAACGTCGTCCGGTCTTACATGAACGAATCCAGGAGTATCATCTTAGCAGTCGTCTCGGCAAAAAACGACTTCGCAAACCAGGTGGTGTTGAAGTTGGCTCGCGCGGCCGACCCCCCCGGTCATCGCACTCTCGGTATCATCACCAAGCCTGATGCGTTACATCCTGGGTCCGAGAGTGAAAAGCAGTACGTCGACCTTGCCAAGAATCAGGAAGTCGAATTTCGTCTTGGGTGGCATGTACTCCGGAACAAGGATTCCGATAAGGAAGCCAAGAACGTTGTCGACCGTGACACCATGGAGCAACAGTTCTTCACTCAGGGCGCCTGGACTGAGCTCCCGCTCGCCCATCTTGGCATTGACAAACTTCGTGAGAGACTGAGCAAGGTTTTACTCAAACAAATTGCCTCTGAGCTTCCCAATGTGATGGAGGAGATCGAGGCCAAGTTTGAGGCATGCAATGCTCAGATTCAGAAGCTCGGTGATCCTAGGGCGAAGGAGGCTGAACAGCGTCTCTACATGTACACGCTTAGCCAGTCTTTCCAGTCCCTTGTGAAGGCTGCTGTGGATGGTACTTACAACCACGACTTCTTCAAGGACGCCAAGACCGACACTGGTTATAGACAGCGAATCCGAGCCGTGGTACAAACTCTCAATGAGAGATTCGCCGACGAGATTGCGTCCCGCGGTCATCACTATGCAATCGAGACGTACCATTCCCGCGTCGTTGGTGACAAGATGGTCTTGATTTCTGAAGAGAAGTTCATCGAGCATATTGAGTGTCTCCTGAAGCGTACTAAAGGTCGGGAGCTGCCGGGTACCTTCAACCCTATGATTGTTTCGGACCTTTTTCTCGAGCAAGCACGGCCGTGGGGTGATTTGGCTCGTGAACATGTCCAAAGAGCTTGGGAGGCTGCTAATCAATTTTTTGATCTCATCATTGCCCATATTGCGGACGCTTCGACCTTGAAGACCCTGAAGAAGGAAATCTTTGGACCGTTTATGGACGAGATTCTGGCTGATATGATGGAGAAGGCCAGCGAGCTTCTGATACCGCACCAGAGTGGCCATCCTATCACCTATAACCAGTCCTTCACAGATGCGCTCCATACGGCCCGAGAGGAGCAATCGAAGAAGAGGCTGGAAAAGGCAGTACGCTCATTCTTCGGCAATCAGTGCACAGAAACAGACATTCATCACCCAACAAATGGGTATTGTTCCAACTGTCGAAAAAATTCCTCGGGTCACAGTGGAACCAACATCAAGGAATTCGTGGATGCACTAGCACGCACTGAACAGAATCCGGAACGTTTTGCGGCCCAAGAAGCCTTGAGTTGCCTCAACGCCTACTACACGGTATGAGCTATGACTATGCCATTTGTCCAGTGCATATTTCAACATCCACTTACACTGAACACTGTTCCAGGTAGCAATGAAGCGTTTCATCGACGATGTAGCCGCCCAGGTGATCGAAGATAAGCTGATTGACCCTCTTGAGAGTATCCTGTCTCCCGTCTCAATCTTCGGAATGGACTCCAAGCAGATCGCCATCATCGCCGGAGAATCCGAGGATAGCCGTATTGAACGAGAACAGCTAAACAAGCAGCTTACGGTGCTCCAGAAGGGTATGGACACGTGTAAGCGCTTTACCGGGATGAAGTTTACTGGTAGTAAGTCCGATCATCCCATGATCATGTTCTTCAACACTGACGGAGGAGTAGACTCGCTGTTTGTCTCCTCAACTTCCGACACCGGTTCCGCGTCTGGAGCTCAAAAGATGCCTAGCCCAATGGGTGGTGCAGGCAAGCGCAAGACCAAAGCGCAGAAAGACGAAAAAAAGCAGCCACAGAACGCAGGGGTATAGCTCCTGACACCTCTTTCTGATCTGCAGGAGATGTTGACAGTCATTCAAGGCTAGCGCTTGAGCCCGGCTGTTAACAGCGGCAAGCGACCGAAACTCATACCTTCATGGAGAGTAATCCCTTGGCTCCAGGGCATGACTTCTCGCAGGGATATTATCATCTCCTGGCGCTACCAGGGGGTGATGAGAGAGACGAGGGTGGAACATTAGGTTATGATTGCGCAGAGGTCCGTGAGCTCCATGCCATAGCTGACATAGATTGAATTTGAGTCTGCTTTCCATATACTGCGCATGGCAGTGATAATAATTCACAGGGTACCAAGCGAACCGCTAATCCCACTGCGGAATCGCATCGCAAATCTCAGCCACCAGCGTCCAAGTTGGCAACAATACTCTGACAGAGGCACCTGGATGGTCAACCCATTCCCAAACCGGCGGTGTATCTTTGATGCTCCTGAAGGATAGGACTGAGATATACATCACAACAAAGGGAACAAAGCCCCGATCTGAAACGAGATCCAACTCTATAAGTCCAACTTCTAGCTATTTCCTTTGTTCGCTGACTTCGCTTTTTTCACGCGCGTACACATACTAGGTACTTACCTGCCACGAGGAACTGAAACCTCTCCCAGACTCGGTCAAGAACAGTATCCTCCTGCATCGCATCCGAAAGATTTTGTTCTTCGCCGAAACTCAGTACATCACATGAGCTTCAATCTCTACCGTCTCTGACCAAGCTATTCAATGCTCAACCCAACCGCCAACCGCGGTGCCAAACGCCGGTACCCATCCGCCAACGCAACAGACTACAACGAGATCGAACCCCCGCGCGTCCCTCTCTTTTGCATGCCCCTGACCCAAAGTCGCAAACTCATTCGATTTCCCTACATCCCAATGCCCTCCACCACGAAAAACACCCCACGCCCAACCAAGAGGGTAAAATGGAACAAGGAGCCGGCGCACTGGCGCACAACACCCGGTGACTTTGTCGACGGCACCGTCCTCCATCCTTCCTCTTCCTCTGACAATGATGACGACGACACCAATCACATTTCAGGCTCAAATCAAACCTCGGCTTCCTCAGACGGTAGCAACGCGTCATCAGACATAATCATGCTCGACGGCAGCCCGTGCTCTTCCAAAGCCGAACTCGCTCGGCTCCCCCCGAAGAACAACAACAAGAACAAGCGACCACTCTCCGAACCAGCGCTGTACCAGACTATTGAAGAGGCGGTGGCAAGGACGTTGAAAAGACGGCTGGTGCCGCATTTGAATAAGGTCGAGGAGATGGTGCAGCTGAATGCGGCGGAGGCACTAGAGAGGACGAGGGAGAGAATACGGATTGCGTATCAGGTGGATTTCGAAAAGTTGGAGGAACAAGTGAGGAAGGCGAAAAGGGTGTGTAAAGAACGGGAGAGGGAGATTGAGCGGTTGGTGAGGGAAAGGGAGGGGGGGTATTGGGGGGATGGGGATGTGGCTGAGGGTCAGGGCGGGGAGGGCGCAGAGGGAGAGAAAAAAGGGGAGGAGATGGCTGTGGAGAGGGTGAAAAGATTATTTGTAGAGTTCAGAGCGAAGGTGTGGGAGTTTGTGAGCAGTTCTGCACTACAATTGGAAACGAAGAAGGCGAAGGTGATGGAGGTGGATATCATGCGATTGCCGTGGGTGCCGGATCAGCAGCTGTTTGGGAGCGCGTCGGTGGAGGTGAGGAGGTTTTTGGTTATGGCGGCTGTGTTTCAGGTGTTGTATTCGAGGATTTTGAGGCCCGGGCATAGAACGTTTGGAGCCGAGCTGGATGGGGAGGTGGATGAACGGGGGGAGACGGGGCGCGTAGAGAGGCAGTTGGAGGATATCGAGGGGTATTTGATGAGGCATGAGAAAGGTATGTTATCCGTCTTGACTTTTGAGGGTATGGGACGCTAATGAGATACGACAGTGAGACACAAAGGCGAAGCAAAATGGCGAGCGGTCAACATCAACCTCTTCAAGCAACTTCGAAACGGGATCTTGACGGTTGAAGCTAAGAGCGCAGCCCAAACATTGATCGGGTACCTTGAGCCCTTGATGAACTTCACCTTCTCGCGGAACAAGAAAATGGTCGAAAAGATTATCGAGCAGCTTTGCGAGCAGGCTGTGGATCTGAAACTGGCGATCAGGAAGTCGCCAGTCCCATTACGGATCGAAATTGCATCGAAAAGCACCGACGAGGAAGACGATGAAGATCCTCCTGAGTGGGAACCAAAGGTGGACAAGACCGGAAAACCGTTGATCGACCCGCGATGGCACGAGAAAATGGGACAGCTAAAGTTGACGACAGAGGAGAGGGACGTGAGCACCAGGGTCAAGTACATCGCCTTCATCCCGTTCGGAGCGTTGGCGAGATGCGAACCCAACGGACTCAAGGTGGCTGTGGAAAGGGCATGGGCGATTGGAAGGGCCTAGCCCTCGTCGTCTTCGTCAACACCGCCCGAGATGGTCAAGGGCTTTGATTGCTGTTGTCGTTAACAGTGGGGTCCACGCGGCCCCTGAGCCGCTGGATCGGCAGTCGACCCGGGGTTGTGTACTCCACTGCTACTCTACCCTTGCGGTGATGCGGCCGCACATCCGCTCCGGCCCGCTCCCGGATATTGCAACCGCGGAGTCCGGAGCTAAGACAAGAGATTTTATTGGATAGAAGGAGTTAAGGCACGATACTTGATGCGGCTTTGGGCTTATGTCAGAATCAAGGAGCGACGACGATGGGGCAAAGCCAGGCAGTGCTAGATAGCATCATTTCCCGTCGGCCGCTTCAGAGTTGCTGGCAATGATATATAGCTTGATGTTTCTTTCCCATCCGTCCTTTGAACCCTCTGTTTCCTCTCCCTTGTTCTTCTTAACCCATTGCATTGCAAGCACACCAAAATCACCAATCCATCATGCATCTAATCCTCACAGGCGCCACCGGCCTCATCGGCTCCGCCGTCCTAGACGCCATGATCAAGACCAAAGACATCACCAAGATCTCCATCATCAGCCGACGACCCGTCAAGATGGCCGAAGACGCCAAGGACCCGCGCATCAACGTCATTCTTCACAAGGATTTCGAGAAGTACGACAGTGAGGTACTCAACCAGCTCCAGGGTGCAACGGGATGTGTTTGGGCGCTGGGAATCAGTCAGAATGCCGTTGGCAAGGAGTATGTTTTTCTTTCCCCTCTGTTTTTCTTCACAAAACCCCCAAAACTGACAATAGTCACAAAAAGGGAATACGTCAAAATAACCAAAGACTTTCCCCTCGCCGCCGCCGCCGCTTTCCAGACCTTACCCCCTTCTTCTTCTTCTCCTCCCGACCAAGATAAACAACCCTTCCGCTTCATCTACGTCTCCGGCGAAGGCACCACCACCACCCCTCTCTCCTCCAAACCCCTCTTATCAAGACTCACCACCCCCTGGTTCGCCATCATCAAAGGCCAAGCCGAACTCGCCCTCTCCCAGCTTTCTAGTCCCACCTTCCTACCCTTCTCTATGCGCCCCGCCTTCATCGACGCGGCCGCCCACCCTGCCATTCACCCGTACATCCCCAAAGTGTCCGGCCTTTATACTTTGAGCAACTGTGTTTTGGGACCACCCATCCGAGTGGGGTACAAGAAGATGTGGAGTCCTACGGAACATTTGGGCAAGTTTTTGGTGGAGATGGCGATGGGCAAGTGGGATGAGACGATCAAGAAGGAGGCGGAGGCTTCGAATGAAAAAGGGTTTGAGAAGTTGGAAGGGGGTGGGATGGTGGTGGTGGGGAATGAAGGGTGGAGGAGGATTGCTTCGTTGGAGGGGTAGGTGCCTCTAGGGAGGTATCGGTCTTTTTTCTTTTTTTCAGAATAGAATAAGTCGGTCAATTTGGATGAGAGAGAGAGAAAGGAAGGAGAGAGGAAGAAGAAGAGGAGGAATGTAAGATGGTTGAAGGTACAGGCGGCGGGAAGTGGAGGAGAAAGATTGTGGGCGCCATGAGATGAGAATGTAATGGTATGGAAGATGTTGGCTTTTTTTTCTGGCGTGGTTTAATGTTTTGGATGGTCGTTCGTACGCGGGCGGGTTCATAAACCTTTGGGCTATATACAAGAGTTGCGTAGTTATACCTGCTGGCCACTTGTTCATCAACAGGGAGTGAGAATGCATCATCTTGGTACGGGACAATGGGATGCATGTCGACAGCTGTCAAAACCGAGGGTTGGGTTCAGTTGGAATGATATAGACACAGTAACATTGAGTTTCTATTCAGACGGTTGTAGATAAATGGTCGGCCGAACGTCCGGCACCGCACCCCGCATGCCGAATGTGCAAGTATCCTAAATTACTGCCCATATGGCGGGACGACCTTGGGGAACTGCTGGACACACGCCCCACCACGGTTGACATCCTCACCCAGGCCGGCAGACAACCAGACCTGTGAGCCGCACCAGAGAATGTTCTTTCTTCCGATGGAATCCTGAAGCGTGAGCTCACCAGTGGCGGGATTAACGCATCCCTTGATCTTGCTAATCCGGCCACCCTGTGCAATTGCGCTTTCGATAGATTCTTTGGTGTTTACCTGGGGCCAGTTGCTTCCCGAATTGGCGGTCGAGATATAGACATAGTATGTGTAGGTATAGGGAGCAATTTTGTCGTGAAGGTACAGAGAGCCTTCGCTATCAAGAGCAAAGTTGTACCGGGGCTGGATGCTCTGGGAGGTGGTGGTGCTACCAGCTTGCCAGTTTATGCCACCGGTCAGGGCGTTCAGCATGTTGGCGTACATGTAGAGGTCGTTGTTGTTGAAGGTAGTCATTGCACGGAAGGCGCCGGTGTTGATTTGACACACAGGTTGCACGGGCTCGGGGGCTAAGGTCGCGGTCTCGATCGCGGTGACAGTAGCAGTGAGGGAGACGACATCGGTCTGAGTGGCAGTGACCGTCTCAACATCATCCACAACAACAGTCACGGTAGTCGAGGCTGTGGCCGTCACTGAGACCAACTCAGTTTCCGTAGTGGTAACGGTGGCAGCGACAGAGGCAAAAACGGTCTAAGAAGTCAAGTCAGCTTGGTTCCCCTGCGAGTCTCGACATGGTGAGAACTTACAGTGGTCTCTTCGACAGTAACAGTTGAAATAGGAACAGGAACGGTGACGGTTACGATCTCAGCACCGACGCACTTGCAGGCCGACTTGTACTTGTCGAAGGACGGGCAGTCCAAGGCGTACTCGGGAAGCGCCGGAGAAGACTGTACGGGAGCAGGCTCGACCGAGGCCGAGCTGGTGGGCTCCACGAACGTCAAGGTATCGATGTCGCGCTTCTTCTCGGTCGGAGCAGGGACGGTGATGGTCTGGAAGACCGTCTCGGTGCTGGCAATGGTCGTTTCGGTTGTGAGCTGAATGACTGTCTCGGTACCAACGGTAACGGCAGAGCTCTCGGTGAAAAAGATCGTCTCGGTGGCAGCGGTGGTTGACTCGATTTCGGTGACAATCTCGGTGCCAAGGACGGTGGCATACTGGGTAGAGGACACAGTAACGGTCTCGGTCACGATGCGGGCCGGGGCCGACACAGTCTCGACAAGGACCGAGGCGCAGTCATCAATTCCATGTTGGTTCAGGACAATGGCTGTTGTGAGATCTTGGTTAGTATTTCTTGTGACAACATCTTACTGGAAGCAATCGTACCTTTCAAGCACTTGTTGCTGCGACAGCAGGCGGCCGAGGCCAGGTTCAGCCAGGCAAAGCCCGAGGCCAGGAACAAAGCTTGCTTCATGATCACAACCAAAGTGGTCTCGTTAAAGAATGACTGGAGTGAGTGGTGAGCGAGTGTGTTGAGACGTCAACCTCTTTTTGTCGAATCCCGAATCCACGGTTGGCTGTGTCGATCCCTTTTGTTTGGGTATGGAAATGGAACGCTTTTATTCACACATGCGGGAGAAGCAAGGAGAGCGGCTGAAGGCTGAAGTCGGTCCATGTGTAATTTCCGTGTGCTGGTGGTGATAGGACGCCACACGAGCTATCCGCGATGGTGCATCTCCTTTCAGTTGGACGAATCTCGACCATTTCCCGCTAACCCACCTCAGCCCATCCCTAGGAGGACTAGTAGTGTGTTGACATGTTGCCGGATATTTGGGAGACGGGCAAACACACGTGTAGGCCACTAAACATGGGGACTAAGAAGCTTTCCATGAGGGAATCTGGCGTGGTTAAAAACGATAGCGCGGTCAATAGCGCGGCCGGATCCGTACTCGCTTGGCGGCCGATGACAGCTGAGCCGCCATCGTGTAGACGAAGAGTTGGAGGGAATGGGGGATCCTGGGAGCCCTAGAACAACAGAGCCCATAAGAGTCCAGAACGTTGCGCACGTTGAGATTGTGGAGTCGAGATGAGATTGGAAAGGTGAGGCTGATTGCTGACGGATTGTTGCTTGATGATTGCTCAGATCATGCTGTCGTCGAATTTCGCAAACAAACTCAATAGTCGGAATGACATCCAATTTCCAGTGGTTGCAGGTGCGCCTCCCTTCTGTGCCTCTGATTTTGCCGTCGAGCCGGGGTAAAGCAGGCCGATTCGACGCCACGGAAGGAGTGGCTTTCAGTGGCTCCAGTGGCTTTTAGCTTTAGTGCACGTGCCAGATCTTTCAATTGTTAGTGCTGGGACCCGGAATTGCACTCACCATTCCTCGTTTGGCCAAAAAAACAACTATTCCATCGCGAGATTCACATCTGACATCCGCTCGGAAACCAGAGTTTAAGGATCAATCACTCACTTACTTGACCGCGTGAAGCAAAGACGATGACAAATATCCACGCTACTTCGACATTCGGCCGCCGGACCAATTCGACAGGATGATAGATACAGTCAGATTGCTAAGCTCGATACTCGACAACACCCATTCCTCAGACATGATGCGGACCACGTCTCTCGGACTCGGCGTCGTTCCATGATTCCATCTCGTACTGCCGAACTCCACGAGGCCCATCGGCACCCTTAGACCCAACCTTCTCCACCCCGGGCTGCAACTGCTCAGCACTGTCGGCATCCGGCATCTTGACAAAGCTGGGGAGCTCGTTCTGCTTGGACGTGTTCGAGCTTACTCCCAGGAGGGACATGAGGGACAGGAGGCTCTCGGTTGGTAAGATGCGTGCCAGAATGGGTCGTAGCGTAGGGCCGCATGCAGCAACAATACCGATATGGACCTCAGCCAGATTCCAGATGGAGAGACCCGTGAGCATGGCTATGTCACTGCGTTAGCTATCAGATGGGATAGGACAAGGAAAACTGGGGCTTACAGATGGCATCGGACGTCCACAGACCCAAGCTTGCCTTGATGTAGATGTAGGCTTTGGCGATGGACGCACCCACGGACCTGTCACCTAACGTTAGCTTGGATGCCACTGTACAAGCTCGACTGAAAAGACTCACAGGGCACCGATCATAAAAGTCAGCAGCGTCAAGAATCGGGTACGCCTGTCCATCTTCATGCTGAAGATCACGGGGATGGGGATGAGCAGTGTGATAAAGTCGGTGGCAACATCACTGCCCACCATGGCATATCCGGTCGGGATGGCGCTTCCACAGTGATCCAAATACGCTTGTGGTTGTCCGAACAATGCCTTGAGATGGGAACCGCATTCTAGCAGGCCAGCCAGGACAAAGGACAGAGTCCACACAATAATGACGGCTATCCAGACCATAAGGAAACGACGAAACACTACCCGGGCAAAGAGGTGCCAGAACAGGAAGCACACAGACAGCTTGATCAAGCCGAGGGTGGCGATACCGAGGAGCAGGAACGAGAGTTCGATCTGGGCAAATGTCGGTTAGAATGGGACAGAGCAAGGCATGGATAGGTACGAAGCGCACATGTTTGGCCTTGTTCAGACGTCCGTTGACTGCTTTGGGGTCTTCGATCGATGCCCCTAGTGGATATCCCAAAGCTTGTTCCTTCACGCCTGTTTTCTCGTTAGAGGTTGCGTCCAAGCCAAGCAGAGATGGTCGGCGTCTTCACTTACCATAGATCTCCATCACGGTCATTCCGGTTGCAAAGACTGCAGCTACCAAAATCAGCCAGTCGGCCGTAATGTAGCCTTGTCGCTTCCACCTCTTGGAGTAGAATCTCAAGCCAACACAAAGCGTTGAGATAATCCACATGATGACAGACCCGGCGATCAAGCCGCCCGGGCTGTCATACTCGGGAGGTGAGAGTTGTGGTTGGGACATGATGGCTCAGGGCTGTTTGATCTGTTGTTGGCAATGACTTGAGCCCAATTCATGGACAGAACACCGAGGTGTTGGCCTCAACGGGAATCGCTACCTTATCACTATGGGTTTCATTCCGTCCATTTCACCATTCCGCGAGCCAAAAGGTACAGACCTGATCCTCTCCAGCCTTCCCTGGTCAAGAGTAAGCGACCAGGGCAAAATGTGCCGACAGCTGATGCCAGCCATTCCCGTCTTTGTCCGTGCCGTTGCACAACAGTACCCTCGACCTTTCTACTTCCCAGCATGGTCTCTGGTCCGGGCATGTTACAGTCCTCGCTACTCCAAGCTTCGGCCGACGCACGCTCACCACCACGACGCTGATTTTGTGTAGCAATACATGCTGCCGTATGCCATAAACGGTGTGCCGTGTCCGGTGTCCGGGAGGGTTACACAAAACGAAAATCTTGGGCTGTCTGCCTGCTACTACTCAGTACACTATAATATCTGCCGTCAGCCCCTCACCTCGTCCCCGTACCCTCCCTTGAAACCATTTATCCAATGCATACACGCGAACCACAGGACAAATACCACACTGCTGCAGCAGCGAATCATGGTCAGCAAGGGGACGAACCGCCCAAAATGAGGGGGGCGGACATCGGGCCGTTTTTATATGGACACACAAAGACCACAAAATCTGCTTCATTGCGGCGTAGACGGAGCACCTCAGCGACCCCCCACCATTTCTATCGCGGATGTGGCACAGCAATACACAGTAGTGTAGTCTACGCATGCGGGCGGGATCAAAGTCGGATAAGAGAGCGAAGGGATCATCGTCAGCCAGACCTTTGTTATGTTGCATCTGCCCACGGTTGAAGCGAATAATGCAACCCGGCAGAGGATTGGGAACCACTATCGGGGCATGCGGAATGCTTAGCCGGTGGCTTTGTGAGGAGCCATTGCACCCAACCCAATATGTAAGCCACAGGCGGGGGATTTTCTACGAGTGATAGTATCCATACTTTGACAACCTCCCGGTCTTGGAGTCCGGTTACATTTGCGATTACGCTGCACATCATCCGAATGATCGGCCAATCACTCCACTTATCGGATTCGGAAGATGCTTCTTGCAGGGACGGAGTGCTTGGCTGACTGATGAATCGCAACCATTGCCGTTCTGCAACAGACATGTCGTTGGCGACGTTGGGGATTTTTGGATGTAACTGTTGATTTCAGTTTCCATCCCATTGCTGTCTCAGATCAACAGTCAGCAATTAGTCTAGTACTTACCATGAAGGGTCAATGACTAACACTTCCCCGCAGTTAATCCCACTTGAGTTACTGCCGTTGGTGCCGCCGGACCTCTCCTCCATCGATTCGTGTTCCCTTCATTCGCCCTGACAGCCGTTTACGATTGACGCGCAAACCCCTCTGACTCGTTCCTTCTTTGACACATGTCAATAATATTCCGCGTCTTTAATTGTGGGACAAAGTCAACAAAAGATCTTGTCATCATCACCACTCTCTTGCGCCATCAAGCAAACCACCTGCCAAGAAGCTTGACAGCTTGAAGCACCCCAATGCATCCTCACTACCTTCCCTGAAGAACGCCACTACCTTCCCTGAAGAACGCCATCACAAGCAATCAACTCAACCAAAAGAACCAAAAGAACCACGATGCTAGCCGCACTCCAACCGCTCCAAGCGGTCCTCCTCGGCCTAGCCGCGGCAACCTCTGCTGTCCTCGCGACAGACACAACGCCCATCGTCAAAGACCCCATCAACAACCTTTCTTACAAGGGCACCATCACCACCGTCGGACCTAAATCATCAGAAACCACCACCAAGATCGAACACTTCCTCAACATCCGCTTCGCCGAGGCCCCCCGCTTCTCCCCTCCTACCCCCTTTCTCCCCTCTTCCGGGAGCACCATCGACGCCACTTCTTCCGGTCCAGCATGTCCCCAACTTCTCCCCGCCATCCCTCCCTTCTTCTCCATGACTGACGAGATCAGCGAAGATTGTCTCAACCTGCGCATCTCTCGCCCTGCAGGCACCAAAGCAGACGACAAGCTGCCAGTGGTCGTGCACCTCCATGGCGGCGGGGTAGTCAAAGGGTCGGCGTACGATCCTCACTTCAACCCTGACAAGCTGTTGGCGTTGAGTGTGGAGATGGGCGAGCCAGTGATTTATGTCGCTATCAATTATCGACTTACCATCTTTGGGTTCCCGCGACTTCCTTTGCTCAAGGAGCAGAAGTCTCTGAATCTGGGGATGCGCGACCAGAGGGCGGCGCTGGAATGGGTTAGAGATCACATTGCCCATTTCGGCGGAGACCCGGAAAGGGTTACCGCGTTTGGGTTGAGCGCTGGCGGGACGTTTACGAGTTTGCAGATGGTTGCGTATGGAGGAGCCAAGGGGGCGCCGTTTACGCGGGCGTGGATGATGAGTGGACCGCCGGGGACGGCGCTGAATATGACGAGTGAGGAGACGGAGAAGCACACGAGGATGGTTGCTGAGCGGGTGGGTTGTGATGTCGAGAAGGGGGATGAGGAGGTGTTGGAGTGTATGAGGAAGGTGCCCATGGATGAGCTGACGGAGAAGGCGATGGCGTACTCGATTGAGAATCACCCGCCTGCTGGCTTGTTTACGTTTATTCCTTCTATTGATGATGACTTTATCCCGGACCGGCAATCGGTTCTCTACCAGTCTGGCAAATTCGTCAAGGGTACGTTCCCATTCTTTTCTCTCTCCTTTTTTCCTCTCGCGTTGGTCACTAACATCTCATGTAAAGGCATCCCCACAATCCTCGGTTGGGCCCAAGACGACGGCGCCACCAACGCCGGCCCAGCACACCTCTTCACCTCTGAAGAATCCATGATCCCCGCCTTCCACGCCTTCACCGGCCCTTCCTCTCTCACCCCCTCCGACATCTCCACCCTCTTCTCTTTATATCCCGAATCCGACTTCACCCCAGAATACCTCTCATACCTCGCTCGCAAATCCGCCGACGACCCCGAAGCACCCATCCACTACTTCCGCATCTCGCGCATGTTGCGCGACCTGCTCTTCACCTGCTCCTCTATTGACTTTGGGTACCATGTCTCGCGCGCTTCGTACGCGGAGGACCCTGACAACTTTGCGGGAGTGAGACTGTACACGCTCAACCAAAGTATGTTGACCCCGCTGTTCAGCAGAGCCGGGATGCCGTATCTGGGCGCGGTGCATGGTAGTGATACCAACTATATCTTTAATGGCGTCTTTCCGGAGTTGGACGACGCTTGTTCAGAGGAGGATAAGGAGTTGGCGAAAGAGATGGCGGGGGCGTTTGTGAGGTTTGCTGCGACGGGGGATCCGAGTTCACCTTCCAAGGACAAGAAAGAGGGAGAAGAAGGGTGGGAGTGGCCTGAGGCGTTTGGCGGGCCTGAACTTGAAGATGATGGGGTTACCGCCAAAGGGCTGGAAGAGCTACGGGGTTTGAATGTGCATGTTATTGGTGGGCCGGTGGGGACGGGAAGCTGTAAGGTTAGACATCATGGACTTGTCGAGGGTCAGGAAGATTTGGGGAGCATGCAGAAGCCGATGATGGGAGAGGGAGTAGAGTATGGGGAGATGGGTGAGAAGGATGAAGCCGAAGAGGCAGCGGCTAAAACCCCGGAACAGATGAGGAGAAGGAGAGCGGCGCTGATGGAGAGGGAGAAGTTGCTTAAGCGCTGTGCGTTCATCCAGACTTTGAACGAGAAGCTTGGTGTTTGAGTTTGTTATGGTGCCGAGTTGAGCTACAATTTGGTTAGAGACGGGGCCTGGAACATGGCAACAAACATGTATAATGCCGTCTCCGGGCAGGAGGGATACAGTAGGCTGAGGATAAGAATAGTGACACGGAAGTAGGATTCAATATGGAAGATGCGGGCAATTCGAGTGGGTGCATGTTCACTGAATGTTGACTCTTGACAGGTATCACACACGGCTGGTTGTTTGTTGCTATGTACGTCCGGCCAAGAGATACCGCTCGTTCTTCGTGGGGTACAAGCCGAAGCCAAGAGACTTGGGAGCAAGAGCGTTGGGATTTGGGGATGCTTTACCCTTCAGAGTGTTGTTCTCTTTCTCTCGCCCAGTGTCTTTTGAACATCACCAACAGTCGCTGATATTAGATTCTACACCCTTAGTGACCGGTCTCAAGAGCTAGCTGTCTCTTGGGGTACAAACGCGCCGTGAATGGCTTCCGATTCGGTGTACTGGCATGGATAGGTGACGCCGCAGAGCAGTTTGGACATATGATTGATGGAACAAAAGCGAAATTCACGGCAATGTGGGAGTGTTGGTACTGTGCAAAACCTCGTTGAACCGTGGAGCAACGTCCATATATGCGCACTCGGCGCTTGGCTGTCTGTCGTTGGTGAGTGTACGAACCTGTGCAATGTGTGTCAGCGAGCCTTGCCGGTAAAACTTTCTTGGTCCTGATCCCGGTATGGTTGGAGGGTAGGTAGCTTTGGTCAAGCCGGGGTGAACACCGAAAGGAGTTAACATTGAAGAAGCGGAACTTCGTTGTGATGGCAAAGGATGGAAAGCAACTAAGAGGCACAGTCAGCATTGCATGTCGGTAGTTCTCCGAGCGGCTGCAGTCATAAGCCACCATCGGACCACTGCCGTTAAGTTGCCTCCTTTGCTTCGCTTATGCTGACTGGCGATTGTTGTAAAGGCAGTTATAACGACCAAAATGTTTACTGTGATGACAGTACCTGGAATCACGAGTCCCCTGCTGGCGTGAATCCTTTTAGGCGCCTATCAGCACAAGTACCGCGAGGTGATCCAGATGCCTCTACCTTCCGACGTCTTTGCCAATCGGGTCTGATTGTGCTCTCTGGTCTTGCTTTCTTACACTCAGCTCGTATATCTTTTGGTCTGAAGTCATCGCCAGTGCTGTTGTGACTTTTCTCCGTCCTGGCTTCATCTCTTGTTCTTCTTCTTCAGGCACTCCTCCAACGCTGGCAGCTCCCAAACACCACTCACCTTGAGCACCCTCAAAGCCGAATTAGCAGTTCAAGCGTTGCAAACATGAAGACTGTCACGCTATTTGCCTTGCTTGCGGCATCAGTCGTTTCAGTGTTTGCTGCTCCCATCTCGTCTCCAGGTAAGGAACCCTCAACGATTGACTTTCACGAGCTTTTTGACTGACGAGTGGACCACCGCAGATGTTGCTCAAGCCATACGACGAGATGGGCGGGGGACAGAGTTTGACACAGACCTTTGCCTTCTCAAGAAGCGGACGGGGGTAATTGGCGAGGGGATTGACAATTGCGACATGTAAGGAGGATCTGGTTATTGGAGCGGCATTGCAGTGATTTTTTTTTTCGGATGGATGGATGTCGGGTCCGAGGAGGAAGAGGGGTGTCCAGTCACACAAGGGCAGCAATGGTGGGGGACAAGCCTGTTCCTTCCGAAACAGTGCTGTTTCCCCGGGTTAGGTGTGATTTAAGGCAGGCACGGAAGGATTCGAGAATAGTAATCCCATTGTAACTTCCGAAAGGGCTGACCTGATGAGCGGGACAAGACTGGGCGGCTTTGGGTATCAAGGGAAGGTCCATCTGTGTGCAATCAATTGAACGAGACTTGATGATCCTTTCGGGTTCAGGTTGTTTATCTAACTGCGCCGCAAAGATAGACAAGTTCGCCCAGAGGCCATTCCAGGCTGCCTTGCTCGGTACCGTCCACAACGTCTGACGCCCCCAACTCAAGCCCCGGTACTTCCTTGTTGTATCACCCGGATTCCGGCAGATGGACCCGTTAGGTCATCTCTCATGCTTTGCGTCACTCTCCGCTTATGTATCACCATTGCTAGTCCCGTCTGACACACATACAATAGTTGTGTCTAGCCCTACAGCGCCAAGAAGCTGGTTCGGTTCCTCAGCCATAGTGAAGAGCCGCCGTTGATTTCGGTCCGGCAGATCAGCGCCAACCTCTTCCGTCGCATAGGCGCTTGTGACGGATCCTTCTACTGTTCAGGGACAAGATTATCGGCATGGCTTACGCCACCAACAGACCTAATGCCTCCCCCGGTTGCATCGTATGATATGCTTACACTACAGAGATGGAGCTTATGGGCCAATAGCTGCGCTTTTCCATCAGTATTGTAGCGTATACCCTCATACATACCTCTAGCATTCAACACCGGTCCCTCTTCCGATACTGTGCGGTTGGTCTTCAAGCACCTATTGACAAGGATGAAGGGGAAGAAGGATCATGGAATGCATTGTACTTCACACACCCGCTTGCTGCTTGTTTCCACCATCAGTTGTCGTCTTTCTGATTCTGGTTCAAGGGTACCAACTTCATGTCAAGGGAGAAGTGCCTTGACGCAGTGCCGGCACTTTCGATCGGTTAACGCCACTCCCATGCTATGGGTCTCTGCTTCTTTCTCTGATACTCTTCTCCCACTTAGTTGTTGTACCTCTAGATTCTGCCTAATCCTGCGACGGTTATTCAAGTTTCTGCGACGAGGTTCTCATCTCCAGAAACTCCATCATGGAGCCATTGATCACAGACGAAAAGCCCCGATATGCTCGTCTACATGGCGATGATGAGAACATCCCCGAGAATCCAGAGGCACTAGCTCTAGTTCAGAAGTGGAAGCGAAGTTTCTACATCCTTCTCGCTTCCTCTCTTTCTGTCATATCCATTCTCTTTGGAGTCGGAATCTACAGCATCTTGTCATTGCAAGATTGTTCACCATCAAAGTCTGGAGCTGTGATACCATATTGCAAGTTTAATCCATCTCGACATTTCCTCTTTTTTTCTACAATTACTAACATAATTCACAGCACCGGCCCCAGTCAAATACGTCAACAAATGGCTAACCGGTGACCCGGACACCAAAAAGTTCATGGGCAAACCTCGTCCTGAACTCGACCAAGCATGGCACGACCTCCTTGACAGCACTCTGATCAGGTACTCCGCCGATGAGCTCTTCCTCGCCAACAATGCTACCTCCGTCCAGCACAAAGATGGTGGCTTCGTCGGTGGGCTGGGTATTTCCCATTCTTTGCATTGCCTTGTAAGCGGTCCCCTTGTCTGTTTCTCGTCGAGTGTTGACGATCGCACCTCGGCATGACTAACACCTCGCTTGAAAGAAACGACTGAAGCAATACATTCACCCAGAGTACTACTACAACCATGAGACGCAAGACTGGGACGAGCTCTACTCACACGCCGACCACTGTCTCGAGTCCTTGCGCCAAGAAATTCTGTGCAACGCCGATGTGAACATCTACACATTGAAGTGGACGCCGCACAGCCGATTCAAGCCTACGGTAAAAGTGCCGCAGCCGCATGCGTGTGTCGACTGGGAGGCCCTCCATGACTGGATGAAGGGAAGACAGGCTAGGTTGGAAGACATGGTTGGTCCGCCCGAGAGCTTGTTTGAGGGGACAGACTCCAAGGAGAAAGCGAGTGCAAAGAGTGCGCAAGAAGGGTGAAGGAAGGGGTATCGGGAAGCAAAAGAGGAAAATGAAGCGCAGTGAAATTTAGACGAAGACAGTGATCGAATTTTCTCTGGCGTAGCAAAGGCAGTTCAAACAGACACTGAACCCTCTTTGAACCCGGGACATGCCATGAAGAATATCCCGCCATTGTGTCACGATGAATGATTGATAAAAACGCAAGAAGCCCTTTCGCCTATCCATATCAGTGATGTTTGCAACTTTTTCCTGGATGTATTCTGCGTATTTGTCCAAAGTTTTGAGTGTCCTCTCTCTCATGATGGTTACGCCCACACATAAAGAAGGAACGAGCCTCGCAGCACAATTCTCGTACGAAGAAGGTACGCACCGCGTGACCACTGCTAGGAAATACAACTGGTGTTTTAAATCAATGTCCAAGATCACTTACCTCAAGTTGTGCAAGCAGTTCATTTTTGGTTGCTCTCTGGCAATAAATTTCCCTAACCACGCGCCTAAAGCCATCACTTCGCATCGACAAGTCCAAGCACATTGTAAACGACATCAATATCTTGCATTCAATAACCAAATTACCTTCCCTTACTCTCGGTATTCTACCCTCCTTGCTACCCTGCCCATTGCCTATTGTGTTACTCACCCCCTCTCTTCCTCCAGATCTGCTAACAATGAATTCCCTCCACAGCAATGTCTGCAAACGAGTACTACACCAACTCCAACTACTCATCCTCGGGCCCCGGCCATCAACAGCCATCCTCCTTTGACGCTCAACAAACATCCAGCCAGCAGCAGCATAGCTCGCATAGCTACCCGCCCCAAGGCCAAGCTCACCTCCACTCCTACGACAACCACCTCCAACTCCAAGACCATGCCGCCGCCGGTCGTCGCCGCAGTTCTGCCATTTCCATCCCCGCTGGCACCGCAGACGTCAGCTTGAACCCCCATCTTGCGCAGGGTTTTCTACACCACGAATTAGTCCCAAACAACGACACCCCCGCCAACCATGGTGGTACCTCTTCCGTTCAACAACATAGTCATCCTACCACTAGCCACTTTTGCCCTGTTCCCGTTGGTCAGGAGTCAAACAACATCTCCCACGGTCCAAATGTTTCCAACGGCTTCAACAGTCCCAATGATTCTAACGCTCCCAACGGCCCAGGCAGCCCAGACGGTCCAGATGGCGAAAGAGGCCTAGGCGCCACCCTCGTCGGCGGCGCAAGCGGGCACTTCCTCGCTAAACAGCTCGGTCACGGCGGCGGCCATCACCACGGTGTGCTTGAAACCACTGCGGGGGCAGTAGCTGCTAATCTCCTGGAGCACAAGTTGAAGAAGAACCATGATCAGAAGAACCATGATCACCAGAATCAGCATGCCCATGATTTGGGACATGGACATGGCGGCGGCGGCGGAGGATTGAGTGGGATGTTTGGTGGTGGTGGTGGCGGTGGTAAGCATCCTACTCTTCAACAACAGGCACAGCAGCATCATTACCCGGAGACGCACGCCGGATCTGGAAGGGGCGGGTATGAGCAGCTGGGACATGGACTTGGACATGGCCATGGAGGAGTGAATCAGGGACATCATGAGCATGGGAAGCATGGGAAGTGGGGGCATTAGTCTAGTCGTTGGAAGACTAATAAGGTTTCTAGAGGGCTCGTTAGTGAGTAGCTGTCCTGTTTGTATCACCTGCCCACCTTGATACCTGTTTTTGGCTTATCCTTGGTGTATCGATTGTGATAGTCCTAAGTCGGTAGATAGACCTACGTAAAAACGAAACTTTATCACAAGTTCCCAATAGGCATCTAATGATTCGCATCATATTGTGCATACCTAGGGACTTCAGTGCTAAGCAAGTTACCCCAACAAAGATCGTTCGACTAATTTGATACCCCTATTCGACAAGTCCGCTGCAAGTACTTGCCCCCATGGATGGAGCGCATCCTTACGCACGCTCTTGTCAACAACCTCGCTGACCAACTTGGCACTACCGAGAAGAAAGCCAAGGAGGAAAAGAGTAACGCCATCCACACTGCTCGACATAAAAAGGTCCCGACGCAAAGGTTAGAGCGGCGGGAGGGTGCCCACGCGAACACGAACATCTCTTCCGTCCCCGAACTCTCAAGCCCCTTCGTCGCCGGCCATCGCATCCCTCGACAAAGCCGACTGGTAATTCTACCTAGCCCTCCAAGCCCTCGGCATCCACCATATCGCCATCCAGCGTCTTCACCCTCCCTCTCTCACGAGCCCCTGCATCCTATCCTGGCTCTCATAACCAGTGCGGGAGCGTCGGGGGTGAAAGAAAAAAAAAAGAAAAAGGTTAGAAATTCCAAAAAAAAAAAAAAAAAAAATACTTACTTCGCTGGGAAACCGCTTGGTGAAAACCCAGATCCCACTTGGGATTTCGCTGTTGGTTAGTGATACTCGCTGTAGGTTAGTACGCTGTTGGTTAATTATATTCGCTAGTCGCTGTTGGTTAGTACGCTATTGGTTAGTGATATTCGCAGATCCTACTTGGGATTTCGCTGTTGGTTAGTGATATTCGCTGTAGGTTAGTACGCTGTTGGTTAATTATATTCGCTAGTCGCTGTTGGTTAGTACGCTATTGGTTAGTGATACTCGCTCTTTCGCTATGGGTTAGTAATATTCGCTGCTGGTTAGTACGCTGCTGGTTAGTAATACTCGCTGTTTCGCTGTTGGTTAGTATGTTCGCTCGTTCTTCGCTCGTTTCGCTCGTTTCGCTAGGATACTAAAGATACTCGCTGTAGATAAGTTATATTCGCTATGGAAAGAGAAGCTACGCTAAGATGAGAACTCACCATGGGAGAGTGCCCAGGACTTGCCCGGACAGCTCTCCCATAGCAATGGGATGAAAACTCCGTCGTGCTTGCCCTCGAGATGGGATCGAACGAGTGACCTTGCGGTCCGTAGCCGAAAGTGGGGCGTGGCATGGAGCCGCTACGCTATGTAGCCACATTGGCTGTTTGTTATTTATGACTACCATTGACCTAACCTATATAGGACTAGTAAAATCCGAATCCCTCCTTCCGTCGCAACGTCTCGGCCCAGCGTCCCTGGTCCGATGTACCTCTGTACCTCCATCATCTCAATTGCTGACGACCCCAATTGCTGACGACCTCAATTGCCAACGACCAACCCTTTGGGTTTTAGCAACGAGAACGTTGATGAGGAAAAAGAACCCATTGATGTTTTTGCAACTCAGCGCGCCATCGCAAAAAGGGCATTTCTTGAGTCAAATGCATCGCTGCGAGCAAAAACGCTGTCATGAGTTCAAAATGAGATGAGAAAAAAAAAAAAAAAAAAGAAAAAAAAAAAAGAAAGAAAAAAAAAGGAAAGAAAGAAAGAAAGGACGAGGAAGGGCTGGACCGTGTAAACTCCCACATGCTTGGTCGTTTTGGGACCTCGAAACTGGACAATGACTCCCCTGGGCCCAGAGTTTTGAACAACCACCAAGGGGCATGGCCGTAGTGAAAACATAAGGTCGCAGAGGCAAGGCAATAATGGAAGAAGAACGCTGTTTGAAAGGAGGGAAACGAATACGCTGTTGTTGTGTGATGAGGATTTATGCAGGAAAAAAAAGAGGAGAAGCAATGAACAGAACGGAACGTCGCGTGGATGATGGTGATGTAAAACATTGCTGCAAAAAGAAAAACCAAAAAAGAAAGAAAAGCAGGAGAAAAAAAGAGAAAGAGAAAAAGAAAATGGAAGCATACCATTGGGGGAGGCTTGGTTTTCAGATCTCCTGGCTGGCCCGTGCATCACGGAACAGCCATAACACCACTCCTGCCAAAGTTGGTACGTTCTTGCGCTGCAATGGTTTTCTTGCGTTCAGGGACGCAACATGCAACATGCAAGAATGACCAGCACCACGGTCCACCATCACATGCCATTAGGAGAACATAACGGATTCTTGTACAAATCTCTGGAACACCAATATTTTATAGCAGTTGATACCAGAAGACAAGGCAGTTCCTGTATATCGAGACAAGATCTCCTCTTGCCTGTTGATTCATCTCCCCACATGTTCGGTTTGATCTCCATGATAAATAACCTGAAGCAAATTCGCTTGTTGTAGCTTGACGTCTGCCAAAGCCGGTCTTCAAAACCACTGGCCTTTATGCCCGGTCAACATTCCCCAATCAATGATGTTTCGTAATGAAAAACATAAATCACTGCTTCGAGAGCAAATAACAAATGTTGCTGCAATGCGCCGATGTCCATATGGCTAGAAAATACCTAGCAAACAATGACCTCCACTCTTTTCATAGCCTAATCGCGCCAAAACCCCCACGAGTTAAGTCTTTTGATTGACTCCCCTTTCCTTTCCATTCCTCGCAAATACTGGCCGTAGACACTGTTGTTTTATAGTGGTCCCGTCAACTCGTTTGATCCCATCAGCCCATCTGCCTCCCCCAGAACCCTCCCGGATGCTGCTACGCCCGAACGATACCTGCGCCCTCCCGGCGCCCCCTCGATACCGGGATTTGAATCTCCCCTTCCGAATCCGAGTCTCCCCTCTCTCTGGCCGCTGCGAGCTCCAACATCCTGTCAATGTCCTCGTCTTTCAGGCCCGTGCGTGACGGCCTCGATGGTACTGTCAGCCCCGAGGAGACGGGCATTTGCTTCAACTTTGGCATGGGTGCATGGGCGTGTGCGTGTGCATATTGTTGTAGCTCGCCACCGCCAGCAGCGTGCCCGTTGTATCCTCCTCTCTTCCGGGGCGTGCCTCGCGTATTGTTGTTATTGCTGTATGGTGAGACGCCGTAGGTGCCGTCGTCCATGTCCATAGCGTTGGGAGACTTTTGGAAACCTACGCGTTTTTGGATGGGCTGAGGCAGCGTTTGGTGGGCGCGTGGGTGGTTTGCTGGTCTTGCTGAGGGTAGGCTTTTCCGTGGTTGTGAACTTGGTAAGGCGGTTCGTTGTTGCGGTTGTGCGTGGCCGGATGGCAGAGGCTGTGATGATGACAATGGTGGTTGCGAGGACGAGAGTGGTTGTGATGATGAGGGAAAGCCGTGTTTGAGGTTGGCAGAGTTACCGGGACTACTCATAAAGAGCAATGATTCTATGGCGTCTTGTTCCCGGACGTTCTGATGTGGAGGATAAAGTGGCGGCTCCATTAGCGATGTGCGATGATGGTGTGTCGATAGGTAAGGACTCGGTTGCCCAGCTGTGTTGGGTCCTTGTTGAGGTGGTGGCTGGTGGTTAATAGCAAGAAAAGCCTGAGTGTTTCGTGGCACCGAATTGCGTCGAGGATGTTGGAATTGCTGCCGTGTTGGCTGGATAGGGGCAGGAGGAGCAAGAGTAACCGAAGGAATGGGCTCGGCTTGTTGTGTTGGGCTATAACGAGGAGCAAAGTGGCCTGACTCCCGAGCATAAGAACTCTCGACCGGCCGCCCTTGACTATGCTGTTGTTGTGGTTGTTGTTGTGATGCTGACGGATGTGGTTGCGAACCCGACGGGTACTGCTGAGACCCTGGTGGGTATTGCTGGGATGATGTTGGGTACTGTTGAGAGTTGGCGGGAACCGTGCTGGCGTGGCTACCTATGCGTTGGAGGTTCGAGAGCTGTGGGCTGGCGGACGACCCGTTCCTCATATGTACAGTGGAATTGCTCGAGGTAGGGGAAGCAGCACGGGAAGCCAGCGACTCGACTTGGTCAATCGAGTGAGATTGCCATCCATTGTTGACCTTTACCATTGCGTATGAAAGACGAGTCTTGAGCTCGGCAGAGAGCTGTAACAAAGGTGGTGTTAGCAATGAAAGCAAGACTACCCCATGGGCAAGGATCCAACCAAAAGACTCACCTCTCCCAGTCGGCTGGTGGCAGTAGAAGCCATACTGACGGCGCTTGTGTTTCTTGTGTGACTGGCGGTGCCTGCGGGAGATAGACTGGGCCTTTCGTATGTGGGCTTGACCATTCCGTCAGCCATGCGCTTCCTTGACAAGGCAATTCCATTCTCAGGTATCCTCTCCTGCGCGGCAGCAATCTGGGAGAGCTGCAGCAGCTGTGAATCCTGGCTCGAGTCGTGGCTGTTGGGCTTGCTAGGGCTCCGGCCACCTTCGCTTGAGGGCGGGGTAAACACCAAGTCAGCGTCGTTGGTGGAACTGGTCGCTTGCGAGACGCCGAGGGAGTGCGGGAGGCGGTGACGCTGGGACGGCGGAGGAGGTTGGAAGCGACTCGAGCTGTCGTAAGGAGCTAAATTGGCATTGACGACGTTGACCGGGGGGTATTCGGACGGGCGAGGGTCGTAGATACGGGGCACCTCGGGGGCCGGGTGTCGGACGGTGGGATTGGCGGCGGGCTGGTGGGAATGGGGATGCGGATAACTTGGGACGCGATAGTCGGTCGCGTCGTGGGAGCTGGGGGCCGCTGGCCGCGTCGCCTTGTCGCTAGTCGGCGGTAGAGCAGTGGAAGCTTGTCGCATAGTGGCAGCGACCATGGAGCTATGAGGAAGCAAAAGTGTCGAGTCTTTGTCGGCATTGTGAAGCGTCGGCATCGGCGTCGCAATCGCAGTGACACGTCCGGGGTCCAGCGCAGGCAACACCGACGCGGAGGGCGTGTCCGGCCCCATAATGGCGCTTTGGGTATAACGACAGCGGCCGGGCGGACGAGGGGATCGTGGCGGAGGGCGGCGGGGGAGGCGATAATTCGGGGCAAGCAATTGGAATGCAGTCATAGGAGGTTTGAAGATTGCTTCCTGCGAGATTTGGCGACAAGGAAGCGAAAGCGACGAGGAGGGCTCTTTGGTTGGAAGCTCGGCGTGTAGGTGACCTCTCTCTCTCTCTCTACAGGCGCTAGTGTTCAGTTGGCGTGCGTTACGCGGTTCGCGACGACGCCCGCAGATGGGCTAACGAACTGGAACAACCGCGCTGCCCTGGGCTGTGTGCACTTACACGACTCCGCTTTCTATACCTAGCTGTGCTATGGACAATGGTCGCACACTAAGGTACATTTAGCGGGTCCCGAGTCCCCACTGCCGCGCGCGCGTGAACTTCTGGCGCTCTTGGCCTCCCCTGTTCTTGCAGTTCTGCACGCTACGGTTCACTGCACGGATCAAATGGTCAGCGACGCTACAGAAAATGGCCCCACAATCTTCAAGCGTGTGCTGTGATTTGAGACCCAGTTGTTCATATTTCATCTCTGCAATTGGCTCAACGCGTCGCTGCGTCATTTCGCAACTGCAGTCTTCAGTCTCGACTTCCCGTTGTCCAACATCGGGACGAATGATCCATTGTCAAACAGTCCTGTTCGCTTCTCTGATCATCCTCATTTGCTGATCTGCCCCCGTGATCAATTTCCGCCTTTTATCCCCATCTTGTCTGGGTGACGGCGCCAACAATCGCCAGCAAACACTGCAAGGTGCAGATTGAACGCGAGGTCACGTGTTCCTAACCACACCTGTGACCCGAATGGGGTTCTCTTCACGAACGACGACAAAGGATGTTTGAAACACTATCGCATTCGGCGTGTGTTTCATCAGTTGACGAATCAATACCGCTGGACTTTCACTACATTCTTCCTCTACACCGAGTTCCTCCTCATGAAACTCTAGGATACTTCTCCTCTTCCTCGTCGCACTCGGACTCATCGCCAGTTCCCGTCTCCGCCCTTCTAATCGGTATCTTCCGCGAGCCCCCGGAGTTCGGAGTCTCCACGGACTGAAGAGGCTTTGTACTCGTGCAAAATAACACGCTACATTGGCCTTCACTGAATCGATGGAAGTATTCCGTACCTCATTGACGAGCTGCCAACCCTATGGTGTGCTAAAATGACATTCGTTTATCAGCTTTTTAGGCAGCGGATGTGACTGTCTTCCCAGAAAGCAACCAGAACCTGTATGATCCATGGAACACAGCAACAGTGCACCGATGCCAGACGAGAGTGCCTCGTGCCAGTCCATGATGAAGCGTTGAAGATGGTGTAGAATCTCCAAACTGTGTGCTGACACCGTCTCATCACCCGGCTTATCCCACAAAAGCAGTTTTGTTACGGCGATAAAGCATGATGTACTCCATTCCGACCCGTTAGCTCTCATGCCGTAACCACATTCCACGATGTACGTACCGGGCAAACAGGTAGCGTGTGACTTTGATTTGTACCCTAAACACAGTCCAAAAGGCGTAGCTTTGAAGAAAATTTCGGATCTCGACCCATTTCCTCGCGAACCACGCCTCTCATTCCCAAATACTGAAACCAAAAGACAGGCATATCGAAGGAATGCGGTCTTGGTGTCGGTTTGCAAGGATTCAGGCAAGCCATCCGGACTTTCATGGTGTTTGATACTTAGATAAGTAAGACACGTTTGGCCCAATTTCTGATGCCCTGATGAACGATCAACGAAGCACTTGGAGAGATGATCCGTAGGGGCCCGGTCGTGGTGGAGATAGAAGAAGTCTCGAACAAATTTGTGACTAAGCTTACGCTGACAATCAGGCTTTGTGCGCTATCGGAAGATACCTCCCACGTATCTCCAAGAACCTCCAAGGAATTACTACCATCCCTCACTCAAAGACACAGCAGGCTTCTGGATTGGGTTCACGATCAGCACACTAACCCCAAGGCTAGAGGCCAGAGTATGACTTACACAAACGTCAATATAGGAACAGCAAGAGCTGTCTTGGACCGGATACTAAAACTTTAGAAGAAATCATTTTCCGAACGCAAGACTGTCGTCGCCAATCCAGACGTGCGGTCCTTACTTTCTGCCCGCCCAACATCATGGGCTTCTGCCCAGCAACAAAATAACAAAACAACCCGGTTTTCGGTAATGGCTGGACTGTCTTCGACTTATCGACTGGAAGCCAGATATCTGGGAGTCTCTGCTCCTCCATAATACCCAGAAAAGCCTCCCATGAGCGCTCGTGGAGAATCGCTTGGTCCCTGACAATACCCAGGACCAAGACATGTAAAAGGGCAAGAGGCTGGTTTTATCGTTACCTGTAAGTCCCGGCGGATCTGGAACGATAGCGACCGCAGGCAACTCAATCAGCTACGGCAATGGCCAGTACGCCATGCTCACTTCGACGAACGGAGACTGCCTCTGATATCCAGCTCAATTGGAGAGTTAACCCGAGACAACTGTCTGGGCCTTTGCGTTTGAGGGGTTTCTCAGAGAATTATCGCACTACGCCACAAAATGGAAATGGCCGAAGAGGAAGGCGGCCGTGCTACTCGATGAAGCTGATGATGTGTTCCTGGAGAAACGCAACGGTACAAAAGGTTACAAGGCCAACCGAAATACCTTGTAGTGTAGTCGGTGCGGATCCTCCGTGTTGGAACCATACTATACCAACTTTTAGTGACGTCTCTCTATACTTACCAACACCCTTCCCTGAAGCATGTCGCGTACTTCTCAGGGATCGTGTTCCTAATCATCAGCGGCGTCCGGTCGTTTGATGCCGCGATGAAGTTTCGCATACACCTTGCGCTGACCTACGGCTACCTGACCTTGAGACTCGGCGGCAACTGTGGTTAAAAGTATCTCGAGGCGATCCCGGAGAAGCGAGATCGACGTGGCTACCAACAAAGATATTGAAGAGCTGCATACAGAGAAGCTCAACGGTGAAGTGCTATCGTATGCTGTCGGCACGACACGTATCATTACTCGTTATAAACGACGACCGCTGAGCATTGATCACTTGATGCCTGTCTTCGAATGCGGCAAGAGTTTGGCATTTCTGAGAGAAGTTTCAAAAATGAAAAGAAAGCTTCGATTACACGAGCCTTTGGAAGCCTGGAATACTATCTTCGGTGCTCTGCCTATCAATTGAAATCGATTAATAATAGTGTTTGTGGAACTCCTTCACTAAATGCGCATTGCCTTTCCCATCGCAGCAGTATACATCTTCTCCAGGGTAGCCAACTTTTCCATCAGAGGCCTAAACCTTGACTGGACCTCTGTGCTCATAGCTGGTACCTCGTTCAAGATCATCATCGTCTCTATCTCGGAAACAAGCATCTGCTCCATGGAATCCAACTTCTCCTCTGTAGAATAGTAGGGGGACACGTACGCGGGAATACCATGCTCAACAAACAGCTTTTCCAGAGCAGTCAAGTTCGCGACCAGAGACTTGTACTCGAGCGAAAACAGCATGAAATTCTTAGAGGCTTCCCCACCTCCTCCTCCCTCTTTGTCAACTTGGTTCGAAGCAAGCCCTTTCTCCATAGCCGCCAGCTTCTGCTCCACCCCCTTCTCATCCAGTAAAGCATTGTTAATCCGAGCGACAAGCGGTACGAAGACCTCCTTCATGTGCTCCAGCCTATACTCCACCAACTCCAGCGAAGACCTGATCAGAGGAAAGTTATCCGGTGAAGACGTCTTCGAAGAATCCATTTCCATCTCCACAATCTTCAACCCAGCCAGGATCTCCTTCTAAGATATCCTTCCAGCTTCCTCAGCTTCCTCATCCTCCTCAACTTTGTTTCCTCCCTCCTTCTTGTCGCCATCAAGTCTCTTGGCCGGACTCTTCCCCTTTGTATTCCCAATCATGACTCCCTCTCCACCTTTCTTCACCAACTCATCAGAAGTCATCCTCTCCGTCATTTCAGTATCCTGAGCAACGATAACCCTTTCAGTAACCTGAACTCCCAAGTTCTCCTCTGCAAATCCCATCCACTTCTCCCTCTCTGACTTCCATACCTTTGGCTGTCCCAAGCTCATGATCGCAACTTGAACGTGTTCAGAGGCCACAGGTCCTGGTCTATTCAAGCACAGAGGCATCATACCGAGGCGGGAACAGATGGAGCAACGGATTAGGTCCATGATGTAGAGGATGCGCTCTTCAGCGGAGAGATCAGGGGTTGGTCCGATTTTTTTGAGGACTTGGGCGTGGGCTTGTTGGTAGATGGAGACCCTGGGTAAGGGGGGGAGGCTGAGGTTAAATTGTGGTTGATACATGGTGAGATCGGTGCTGGATCGCGGTTGGAATATGGTAGTGGCAGGCCGTTTGCGGCGAGCGCTAACAGACAAGTTTGATACTTGGTGGGACTGGTGAAATGAGAGTGTCAGTTTGCGTTTGAATGGATGGATTGGCTGATCTGACTTACTGATTGTTGTCTAAAGTATTGACTGTTCTCCAAAAAAAACAAGAAACAAAAAAACAAAAAGCATCCGGCTTGATAGTATGGGGGGAAAAAGCGAAAGAATCCTGTCATTCTCTGTTCCAGGGAAACCAACCTTTAAGTACTGAAAGAGAAGGGCAAAAAAGAACAAGGTGCGCCATGGCTTCCAGGCAACTACCTGTAGGTTGAACCGCACGGTGAGTAGGAGCGTTGTCTTTGGATCTCTCGTGCCACTCACAGACACGAGGGATTGCCTGGGCAGGTTGAAGTGCGCTGTCCTGGCTGCTTGCACCTGCAGTGTCCTAAAGGGTGATTGCTGGATTCCCGTCATGTATTGTGATGCTGACGGGAGTAAGGGCGAGTGTTACTGAGGTCCGTTGCCATCAGGAAATCATGGAAGTTGTTGAAAAGCACTGCAGGCAGAGACTGGTTTGGGTTTTCTTGTGCAGGAAGTTGTCGGTGGGAAGAAGGAACGCTGAGAACGCAGCTTCCCCGTCGTTGCTCGCGCCTTCCCAAAGCGGAAAACAACCACCGAATGTGTAATATCTGATTGGTTGATATACTGGGACGAAGTGGGGTCTAATGCTTGGTGAGTCGGCGTTCGGGCCCGCAGCACGACGACATTCCAACTGCTCCTGCTCCTGTCCTCTCTGCCTTCAACCCTCTCATGCGACTAACAAGTTCCTGCAGTCATTCGTGTCCCGAATCATTCCGCTTGTCCCGCCTTTCCTACAAATCCAGAAGCGACCATGAAATACCAACCCACTCCGTCTTCGTTCCCTTGTTCGAGATGCGAGACAGCAGAAGGTGTTGGCGGCTGGGCAACAAAGCATCGTCCGCCAAAGGACCAATACCAAGCAACGCTGTAAAGGTCAGCATATATTTGCCTTGATCAAGTTGTTGGGCACCCTCAAGATAGTAAGAATCCGGCATATCACAGTAAGAATTCTGGCCTACCGTAGAGACTCGCCAGATTGGCAAAAGACTATCCCTCTTTGAGCGCCCGACAGTAAGCACAGGAGGCAGCATACCGAATGTGCTCTGCTGGCCCAGTTTGAGTGCAATTCAAAAAGGCCGAGTTAACAAGCCACCGACCAGTGACAATTGCCCTCCACCCTAGCACACACACATTTCTGTGCAGGCAGCCGGACGTGAACCTTACAGGACTGTAGTACTTATTCTGCCCAAATAACCTGGTTTTCTGGCAGTAGAGGTTTGCCAATCTGGCGAGTTTCTACGGTACATTGAAAGGATTCCGTTCTACTTCCACCGCTACAAAGCACATGAGCCTCGAATATCCAGCTAAACCCTTACGGCATGTATAACTGGTTTCACCACGATAGGCTCAGCTGACAAAGCGGTAAGATTCGCGATGTTTTTCCTGGATGATTTGCTCGACTCACACGTGCCAAGGAATGGAACTGTGCCCAGCGGCAGCGCAACTATTAAGATGCACCCCTAACTTCGCGGATTCTATTGCGAACTTTGCAGCCACATTGGATAGCAAATAAAAAGTTGGCCAAGGTATCAACATAGGTAATCCCCCAGCCATGTCACCAAGCTCAGCAGAAACACCGCACGATTCTCTCGCCCTAGCTCTGACCCGCGCTACATCCAAAGTGAGATGAACCATCTCCCGGAGCAAGATAGTAGTGGTGTATGAACCAAGGTGTAGGTATCAATACATACGAGCGTTATCTAAGATAGGTGAAAATGGATCCTATATCCGAATGTTGATGGAACAGTTCCGACTGAAACAGGCATTGCGAGAGACCCAAAACGGAGAAGGGGCGGCGCACGTCGCTCGAGCCGGACACACGTAGGCAGAAGGGCAAAACAGTAGCGTAACATCTCGATGAGTTCGGAAAGCCCATTAAGACAACTAAGGAGCAGAAGATGGCAGCGAAGAAAGCGAAGGCGAGGGAGGAGAGAAGGGCAAGGTTTGATAAGACCATTGCAAAGGTTTATGAGATGCTGAGGAGGTGGCAGGCTAGAAGAAGGAAATGTAAGAGAACAAGGAGAGGCATTGCTCTCGTCTTAACCAAATTTGTTGTGGTATAGACGACTGTCTGATAAAGTTGGGCGCCATTTCTTTGGTAGTTTTTTTTTGGGTGCGTGTGTTGCGGCTGCTTCGAGTTTGGCTAGTACAGAGACCGGAGGGTGATTGCTGTTGCCGGGCAGAGAAGATGGTGTGTATTACAGCGAGAGATGTACTTTGGGAAGGTGTACTGGGTCACTGGAAAGAATGGGTCCTCAGAACTGCCCTGGTATCCTGTCACAAGATTCATCCTCATCAGACCAACCATCGCATTGGCCAGAAAAGAACACTTGTGAGCAGCTGTTATAGCACCTGGGCTTGCGAATTATACCTCTAGTGATCATTATGTCGATAGCTTCCCATTATCCATTTCGCATCTCGAGACGTTGTTGTATGGCAGTGGTTCTTTGCTTCCAGAAGATCATTGATCTATCTTCGCTGCTTGTATGACCAACAATCGGCCACTACACCACGTGCACTTCATTCGATACCTTCATCGTAAGACTATTCATCCAACGATAGTACTCGTTTGCCCAGGGCCATGACTAGGGCCAATAGCCCACATCGCAAAACAAAGAATATTCACATAAATGCAGGGACAAGGCCACGTCCAACACCAACAATCATTCTTTGTATGCGCATCGGCATTTGCCCAGTCACCAACATGAGCGACAAGAGATCGCATCATCTCATCCTGACGGGACGTATCTTTTACCAACCTTGTATCTGGAGAGCGCTGTCTACTGGTCTTCAAGCCTTGATCAACTCAACCTAAGGACAGGTTATATCAATTCACGATCCGGTCGGCGTTACTTGAACTTCCGAAGGAATGCTGGAAGGCAGCTACAATGTCTTTCACAGCGGATAAGACTTCATCGGGCCTCACAGCTCGTCAACTTCTCGGACTTGATGACAACGCTGCACGTAACAATTCCCGAAATGATGACGTCGATCCTTCACTTCCTTCTCACGCCGCCTACGTCCCCGATTCAGACAGATCCGCTTGTTGCGAAGACACTCGCCGTAAACTGGAACTCAATGCCTCGATTCACGAGAGTGACCTCGAAAGCAATGGCATACCTCCACCCACACATTGCCCAGTTCCAAACAGCGATTCACCACAAGGGTACCGCCCCGAACCCAATCCCACCCAAATACTCAGTCAGTTACAACGCATGCTTGAAGACGAGGACGAAGACAAAGACAGGGCGAATCCTCTACAATCCACCCAAATGCAGCCAGAACGCACACCACCACCATCATCATCCTTCGACCGCGAAGCCTGGCTCGCCACCCGCCCAACCATCGCCGACCTCATCACCCCCAGACCACTTCCGCCACCACCACCCATCCCACCCCCCAAAACCTACTCTCCCCTTACCGAATTCTGCCTCCGTCACAACTCCCTCTGCTGTTGGCCCTGTTCCGACGGCCGAGATAAACTCCCTGCTCTCGAGGTCTATTTCAACCAGCTCGTCAACTCTAATAAGCCTCGTTACCAGCAACTAGAGCTGGTGGACGAGAACGGTAAAATTCCCGAAAGGCAGGTGTGGATGTCGAGTTGTCCGGTCATGGTATGCGATGTGTGCTGTGCATGTTTGAAGCCGTGGAGGTGGGGGCAGGGATGTTGGTGGGCGCATTGGTGGATTTGGGTGACGGTGGATGGAGAAGGGGAAGGAGAAGGGGAAGGGGGAAATGGGAGGGTGAGAGCGTTGATGCCTGGTCGTGGAGGAGTGTGGAAGTACGTAGACCAGATAGGGGTTTGGAGTGTTTGAGTGTAGAATGGGGGATGCTGGAGTCTGGAGATACCGGGGGGGTGGCGGGGACAGACGGGTGGATGATGAAGAGATATGGAGAGGGTACCCAGGTTGAGGTATTCGTGGGGAATGTTACTGACAATGTGGTGCAGTTGGAAAAAGGAGCGTGATGCGGCAGAATGGAAGTAGAAGCTAATTGGAGAGTGAACCAAGGTCTTGCTTGCAAGGTGCTCAGTGTTTATTTCATGGACCACGTTGATGAGTTGAAGTTATTTCTTCAGCCTCTGTTCTGACAGTGATAAAACTAGGTACCAAAGTATTTGGGAGGCCCCAATGATCGATTGGCCTAGCTGATAGAAACGCGAACGTAGGTCTAGAGAGTGAGACAAAACATATTCCGGTACATCCCGTCTTCATGGTGTTGACGATCAGCTGGAGTCTAACCGGAGGGAGTGTGAGAATCGAGGGCGGATGGCCTCGTCAGTGTGTTTCTTCTCTTGGCATAAGATTGATCATGGATCGGCTTGGCGGGTCGCTGCTTCCGTGATGAGCGATATGATGGTGGGGGAAATGAGACGCGCAATATGAAACGCAGGTGAAAATGTCAAGTGGAATCAGGGATGATCTCAATCGCGAAGATGGAAACCGCGCTCCTCCACTCCAAGCTTGGTGGTTGCGAACAGAAATTGGAGGTCTGTGCTGGCGATCAAACGGGCAGGAGCACCCGGCGGGACGGGAATGGCCGCATCAATGAGTCGGTTCCTGGTCGAACTTCACAATTGCGAGTCAAGACTTTGATTTCAGTTCGTTTGATTGGACTTTGTAAGCAATGAAACTGAAGAGATGAGAACTGAGGTTGAACATGAATAACGACGTCACAAATCACAATAGAACATTCAACACACAGATACTCGAAAATAGTTCCAATTCCACACATGAGAAGAGCAACTAATCCACCCGCTTGCTTGACCATCTACCAAGTGATGTCTATCATTCTAAGGTATCCAATACAAAGGAATTTTGCTATCCAACCGCTCTAATCGTTCCGTTCCCGTTGACCCGCCTGCATCCCAGTCATTAAATCGTCTCGACAAAAAACTCCACAACACAACATTTACTCCTGCTTGAGCTGACCGTCGGACTCCTCGGGCCAGACATCGTAGCCAAAGGTGTCCTTCATGTTGACGAAGCGGCAGTGGCGGCCCTTGGCAACCTCCTGGATGGCCTTGAAGTCCTCGTCGCGGAGGACGGGAATCTGGAAGTTGCTCTCGATACGCGAGGGGGTCGAGCTCTTGGGGAGCACGACGTAGCCTCTGCGGAGACCCCAGGCCAGGAGCACCTGGGCAAGGTTGTGCCCGCTGCGCTCAGCAACGGCCTTGAGAGTGGGGTCATCACGGACACGCTCGCCCGTCGATGGGACCTGGTTCTGCGAGCCGAGAGGAGAGTAGGCAGTAGGGATGATCTGGTTCTTGAAGCAGAACTCGACGAGCTCCGTGTTGGGGAGGAAGGGGTGGATTTCAATCTGGTTGACGGTCGGCTTGATGCGAGCAAACTTGAGGAGCTTCTGCAGGCCGGGGATGGTCCAGTTGGAAACACCAATGGACCGCGTCTTGCCGGCATCCACGAGATCCTCCATGGCCCGCCATGTTGGCTCGGGGTTCTCGGTGAGCTCCTTCTTGATGATGTACTTGCCATCGGCGCCGATCTTGGGCATGTTGGTGGCCTCGTCCTTCTCGGCGGCAATGGGCCAGTGGATGAGGAAGAGGTCGACGTAGTCAACCTTGAGCTTATCGAGGGAGTTCTGCAAGCTCCACTTGACATCCTCGGGCTCGTGCAGGTGGTTCCACACCTTGGTGCAGATGAAGATGTCCTCGCGCTTGACGTCCTTGTGGTTCTCAAGGAACTCGGCAAGCGCCTGGCCGACCTCGTCCTCGTTCTGGTAGAACCACGCGCAGTCGAGGTGACGGTACCCAACCTCGAGGGCCTTCTTGACGGCGGCGTAGGTCTCGCCCTTGGCACCCTCGTTGGCAAAGGTACCGAATCCGACGGCGGGGATTCTCACTCCATTGTTGAGAGTGTAGGTGGTGTTGGCGGCGGTGAATCCAGTCATTTTGGAGGAGATGATGATATTACGGATTGTCGGAGCAATCCTTGACTAGGTGGTTTCTTGTGTGTTGTTTTGTGATGGAGAAGGGGGGGGTATTATTCGTCAAAAGCCAAGGCTGATGAGAGAATTCTGTGTTTGCTGGTGAAGAAGATGATGATGGATGAATGCTGATGATGAGTGTGAGAGAGAGAAATCGCAGGAGCAAAGATACAGGAGGATGGGTATAGCCTAAAGAAGTTACACAACCCACGGGAAGCGCCAGTTAAATCCAATTCGGAGGTCTACACGACCGCAGCTGCTCATCTGCACGTATTTCCCTGTTGAGACTCGTAGCGGTAAACAAAGACAAGCGAAGAGAGGTCGGGAGTAGCCAACTCCCCTCGGGGCCACTCGCAGCGGCCTGCCAAGGTATCCTTCCTGACACTGCACTGCACTGAGTGAGGAGGTCGATGCATCATGCTGCTGGGTCAGCGCAGCGTTGGATCAGTGCTGGGTCAGTCCTCAGTCCATAGGTCGCCAGCGGCATTTTTAGGGGTCCACCGATGACGCACGGAGGACCCACGGAGCCCCACGTGCGGCGGGGATGAGGTGGGCTGTCGCTGTCGGACGCCGACAAGGTCTCACAAAAACAGGACGGACGCAGCACCGACAAGAGGCCAGACGGAGGGACCGCCCGGCATTCCAACGGATGACAAAAGGACGCGCCAAGGCCAAGCTTGTCCCGTTACGGCCTCCGATCTTCTCGAGATCTTCGCCCACCGCGAGTCATGTTTGGCTGTTGATGTTTGGTCTTCATGGAACATCACTGTCGGTCAGTTTCAGGCACCGGGCTGTCATTGGAGCCAGCACTCACCTCGTCGCTTTGGGCTCTCTCTCATCTCTCTGGTGCCGTTTGGTGCCATCTTCCTTGGTCCTTGGTCGGTTATGGCGCCTCGTCGGTGAGAGTGCAACGCTACCTTGACAACCGACCGGACAACGGACAAACAACGGCGGCGAACGCAAGACACACACGGACAAGGTCGCGGGGCAAGGTTCACTTGTTGGCAAAAAACCATATCCAAATTGGGTGGTGAGCGGTCAAGACGGCGGCAGCGCCAACGCCGGACGCCGGGTGCCGGGTGCCGGGTCGTCTCCTGATTGCTGCCACCTGTCTTAGCGCCGCGCAGTGGTGCAGTTGTAGTGGCCAAACGGTCCCACAAATTTTGCCCACTTGTCGCCCTGCTAGGACGGCCAATCCCTTTCCTTCTTTGTCCAGAATCTCCGTTCTCCAGGACCCTCAACATCTGAGCATTTCTGGGGCCTCTGACGACATCGACATGGTCAAGCCCGCCGCCTATGCTCCAACCGTCCTAGCCGTGTTCCGTTCCGTAGGACCCTCCAACTCCTCCTAATCCACATTGTGTCCGCTCCAAACTGACGGTAGCCCGTATGGGAGATTGATTCAGGACAACGGTGAATGCACGGAGCATGCGAAGAAAGGGGGGCCACATATGGTCCGATGGGCAATACGGAGCTGGAGACGGACTGAATGTGGATGGCTTCAGTGTACACTGTGTATGCCATCCAATCCGTGGGGGCCCTGCGCTGGCTGCCACGACACTGTGTGGGTACGGCCATATTAACATCACTGCAGTTGCCCTATCTGTCGTCATCCTGGAGATCTTGCGGCGATACCTGCTCGGTTGAGATGGTTCAGATCGACGCCTGGCGCCAGACGGCACCCTCAGAATGGATTCCTTTGTCAGAGGCAGATCAGGGGTTCGCGAATGCGACTCGCGTGGTTGGTCTGATGGGGAGGACATCCCAGCATCCCAGGGGTCCAAAGAGCACACACCCACCATGACAGGAGCCAAGACCATGATACTATCGCCTTGGACCCTACCGACGGCGACATATAAGAGACACTGATCCCCGCCGCTCAAGATGATGATATTGTTCCGCCATCATCAGCAATCGAATCCTCTTGTGTTTTCTCTTTCAACTTTGATACCACTACTTTGCGAAACGTAGAGCGTTTTCATCTTTGCGTCTCTTCATCCATCCAGCAGCAAACATCGAACAGTCTTGAAGACTTAAAACCGCGGTTATTTTACTTTCAGCTTTGAAATATTTTGTTCTGATACCCCATCCATCAAGATGTCCGGTCAGCAAAGCGATATCGTTGTGGGTATTCCTAACCCAAACACCAAGACGAACCCCCACACTCCTCCAGAGTCACCAACTGAGACTCAAATCAAGGCCCTCGACGGTGTCGAAAAGCAGCAGCAGCAGGAACAGCCACAACAGCTCAACGTTGCCAAGACTCGTGGTAACTCCCGCCAAGACTCGCTCACCATCCCTCTTTCTCCTTCTGTCGCCAACCACAACACCATTGAGGTTCCGGCAACCAGGTCTCCCGATGCCCACGCCGATCTTTACATGCACAACCTTTCCGCTTCCCCATCCTTGAAGGAGCGCAGACTCTCCCGCAACTCGTTCGGCGCTTCGCTTCCCATCCCCCGTTCTAAGCGCCAGTCTCGTCTCAGCAGCGTCACTTTCCCCGGCGGCGTCGCCGAGGCTCTCCAGGAAGCCAGCGGCGGCACCCTTCCTCTCAAGCCTACGCGCGAGTTCTTGGCCGACCGTGTTCAGGACATCCACTCTGAGAAGGTCGAGAAGGTCAAGAACATGAGCTTTGTCTTCGACATTGATGGTGTCCTTGTCCACGGTGATCGTCTGATCCCTGAGGGCAAGAAGGTCTTGGACATGCTCAACGGCGATAACGAGCTTGGCATCAAGATTCCCCACATCTTCCTTACCAACGGCTCTGGTAAGCCCGAGCTTGCCCGTACCGAGCAGCTCTCCAAGATCCTCCAGAACCCCATCAGCACCGACCAGTTCATCCAGTCCCACACCCCCATGCGCGCCTTGGCCGAGTACTACAACACCGTCCTTGTTGTCGGTGGTGAGGGCTACAAGTGCCGCGAGGTTGCTGAGGAGTATGGCTTCAAGGACATTGTCGTCCCCAACGACATTGTTGCCTGGGACCCTTCGATCGCTCCCTACCGCGTCTTCACCGACGAGGAGCGCGCCACTTCCCGTCCCCGCGACTTCACCAAGACCAACATCGAGGCCATCATGGTCTTCTCCGACTCCCGCGACTACGCTACCGACATGCAAATCATTGTCGATCTTCTCCGATCTGAGAATGGTCGCCTCGGCACTGTTGCCAAGGACCCTGTCTCGCAGCGCATCCCCATCTACTTCTCCCAGGGTGATTTGCTCTGCCCTACCGAGCACCCTACTCCTCGTATGAGCCAGGGCGCCTTCCGCATTGGTCTTGAGGCCATGTACAAGGCTCTTACCGGCGTCGACCTCGAGCGTGTTGTCTACGGCAAGCCTGAGATGGCCACCTACAAGTACGCCGACGAGGTGATTGCTTCCTGGATGGAGCAGATCCACGGCGAGGAGAAGATTCCCCAGAACATCTACATGGTCGGTGACAACCCGGCTTCCGATATCGTCGGTGGTAACCTCTACGGCTGGAACACGTGCCTTGTCCGCACCGGTGTTTTCCAGGGTGGTGAGAACGACGAGGAGAACCCGGCCAACTTTGGCGTCTTCGCCAACGTCTGGGAGGCCGTCACTTCTGCGTGCCGCAAGGAGCTTGGTGATGACTTCAAGTTCAAGTGGGATGACCGTGTCAACCCTCTTAACATCAACGCGTCTGCCATTGAGTAAATGGAAAAAAGAAAGCAGCAGGCAGCGCGTGTGGTTGTTTACAGCATGATCATTGGTTATTAGGGCATTGATTGGCTTGGATATATATACCTTCGCTTTGGCAGCGACAGCGGAATCTCGGAATTGGGAGATATCATACCATTTGGCGTTTAAAGGGTTTCACTTTTTGGTTTGGGACTTGGATACCGCGAGGGTTGATGAGCCCTTGTAGAGCGAGGATGAGGAGGAGAGGAGGACGAGGAGGATGTGACTAGGAGCAGGATGAAAGATGTTTCTTCTTTTTTCTCCTTTTCTCATCATTTCAATTCTTTTCATCTAGCTTTTTCACATGTTGTTTGATCTAGCATTTAGACACTAGAGCTCAGCATCTTTTTTTCCCCACTTTAGATGTCAGTTGTTAGGATACACAAAACATCACAGTTTACAATATTTTCCGTAACCCAATCAAGTTGTGAACGCATTCCATTCAAACTCGGCTCAACGACAAGCTGACAGCAAAACCTTCTTTTCTCAAAGTCGTCATTATCAACCCGCACCCAAGACAAGGGTCACCCCTATCTGTTCAGCTTGGTTCATGCTGAGCACAAGAGCCGTGCGTGTTTTGGCGGATGCCACCTTGCCAACGCGAGCCGCACGGATAACCCTGGCGGGACCACCTCGCTGGAGGGGCCGGCTTGCCAAGGCGCGGTTTCAAGATGTGAGAAGTGTGCCAAGAGCCTTGCCAAGGAGTAAATTGTGGATGGGTGGGACTTTCAACTTTTCGAGGGGAGTGTTTGAAAACACTGCGAATTCCGAATACCCATTATCCTTACACGTGTACACTGTCTCTACACTGCTAACATCCATGATGTTGTTGCCCAGGTAAGAACCTGGGAAGCAAGTTTGCAAAGGAAAAAAAAAAAAAAATGTTTCACAATAGTAGAATCATGCCAAACTGACCTCACTTCCTTCCAATCTTTTCACAAACTATCAGGGAAATAGCTAGCTAGGTAGCTATCTCCATGTACAGTAACAGAAGTGAAAACTCGCTCGTTCGCGACAGTACTGCGGTGCCGGTGTCCGTCGGATAGTGGCCCCTGCGTTCTCTCTCCGAGCGATAGCCGTGATCCTTGGCGATTTGATACAGTACTTTCCATCTTCCAGGTTGTGAAGGGCACCTACCAACGCAATCGATCCATTCATTGGATTGGAAGCATTTTGACCATATGTTTGAAGGATTTTCTTCCAAGAAACATTTTCATGACTTTTTGCTTGGCTTCTGCTTGGCTTGCCGTGGGTGCCGGCTTACACTAGTGGTGTACCTACGTAGAGGTAGCATCAGAGTTTGCGCAATGCGGCTCATCCATTTGCTTGTTTTGTTGCTTGTTTTCGTATCGACATGTCAGCAACTTTGTCCATCACGTCGGCAATTAGTCGTCGTGGTGGTGGTGGCTGGCTTCGGGAGATCCGACGGGTACCAGAATCATCTACACTGCGCAAGTCCCTACCTCCAACGGCAATGATTTGCCACCACCACCACCACCATCACCGCCATTACTGTCCAATCCAAGTTTAAACCTTGATTATCCGAACGGGGGAACTTTTTACGAAATGTGAACACAGTTTGTGGAAACTCGTTCGTGGGAACCACACTTCGCCCATGGAATCGTACCTATTCAGCTCTTGCGGTCAAGTCATGGATCCTGATGATTTTGATCTCATCGACCATTAGTGCTGAAGCAACAGGCTTTGGAAGCAATGACCAGCTTCTATGGGCCTGCGTCGTGAGAGGCGAAAAGGACAGCAAGGCAATTGATATCAAAAAAGACCCCCAAGATCTCGATATGACAGATAACATCGAGATAAGAGGGCGTTGAACGGACCGACTCTTTGGGGGTGACGCGACTCGGACTCTTTGATGTCGTCTAAGCACCCGCGCCGTGGCATTCAAACAGTAAGCACGGTTCAAGACCCAAGCACTGCACCGACCAGGACGATGGGAATCCAGGACTACACTAGCAAAACGGAGGGAAAACGCCAAACCGTTTTTACCCATGCTTTACACAGTACGTACCGACCTACGCAGCGTTGCATCCATGACTTTTGACAACGAGTGAACACAACGAAATGCAAGCAGCATCCATCGAGTACAGCAAATGTGTTCATCCCATTTCTGGAGTTAGGTACATTACTGTGCTCTTAGTTACTCTCGCTGTCTCAGTGTCTCAAGTGTCTCATGTTTCGTTATGCCTTTGGCTACCTACTATTTTCCCATGACAAACTCTGTCTCCCAATCTCTCCATTCCCCGGCCCCCCTGAACCCTTTCCTTTGAGTTTCACGATGGCTTCGACAACAACGAAACCTTTTCCCCCCTCCGGGCACGGTGAGGAGAACCTTTGCGGACAACAGCATGCAGCAGCAGCAGCACGCAGGCATCCACAACAAGGCCCCCCACTTGGTGAACAAGGCCGCCCCATAAGGATAAACCCACACTGATGTCATTTTGCATAATCAGAAACCCGCAGCAGCAAAGCAAGGGTGAGTTTGAATCCACAGAGAGCGTGAAGCGGAAGGGCGATGGCGCCAAGCGGATAGATGTGGGACTCAACTTTTGCGGCGGGGACGGACCCGACAGTGGTTCGCAGTGTGAAAATGGCGGGTTGGAAAGGGTTTCGTTGTCCTCGTTGTCGTTGTTGGTGTCTTTGACTGATGGATGGATGCCCGTTGATAGATCAGAAAAGTGACAAAAACACATCAAGGTAAAGAAAATGGCGCGTGGGATTTTGATGATTTTGGCCATCAAAGCAAGGAAACAGCAAAGAACCCTTTGTGCATTGCATTGGTGCGTTTCGACTTTGGTGTGTAGGTACTATGTAGACGCAATGGCCGCGTGGCATCCAACTTGGGGGAACAAGTAAACGACGCTAGATGAGGATGGGAAAGGCATCATGTTCCCATCACCATCATCAAAAAGACAATGATTCCCTTGTGTTGTCAGTCTGAAAATGGTGAAGTGTTCACAATGAGTCTAGTGCAGTGTCCTGTCCGCCCCCGCCGTCTCGTTGTCAAGCTGCTAGTAACAACGAACTGAACCACGACAGTGTGAATTGTGTCCTTGCTCCATTCGACGTGCCATTCCGAGTCACCAACCTCCCTCCTCCTCGTTGGCGGGATTGATGGTGCCCGGGCCGTTGCTGTTGCCGGCCGACAAACAAACAAACAAACCCTCAGGCACTCACTTAGCTCCACTCCACTGGTCCGTCGGGTATCCCGTAGTATCCCGTAGCGTCCGAGCGCCAAGACGCCGGGTGGAAATAGCAGGAAATAACCGGCAGTCCGCCAGCTGTTCGCAGTCGGACACCGCTCGGACCACTCCACTCCGTCTCCGTTGAGAGGGGCCGTCCGTCGTGTCCGGGAACCCGGCACGGCCGTGAAAAGGAGGGAGGGACTGGAGCACAGACAGATGGCGTCGGCGGTTGCCGTTCCGTACCGGGTTCACTTCGGCTTCGGTCCTTCTCCGACGCGAGTATTCGAATCTCTTGGCGCCGAGAGTTCGCCAGGCACCAATCAATATTTCTGGAGCTGCTAACCGAGCCGCTCCCCTTTTTCCAATGGTTCTTCGACATGCCGTAGTGGGGACCGGCCAAGATTTTGCCAAGATTCCCTTTGCATTCCATTCATGGACCTTGATTTGATCCAGTTCCCGCTGCTTGTGTCGTTTATCAAATGCAGTGCAACAAAAGTCGCAGATATCACCCAAGAGATCATCGTTCTTTGTGTGTTTTGTGCCCTGGCAATCACGGCCGTGAAAAACGCCTATCATTACCTCCCTCACGGATCAACTCACATCACAAAGAGACAAAGACGGTTGGAAAATGCAACCGACCCAATTGGGGATGATTTTGCTTCATTCACATGTTGATTGTTTGTCCCTGGCAATCGAGATTCAAGGAACGGAACAACCAACGCCCAACCAACAACCGCTTTCCAGCGTCGTATTAATCCACAAAAAGAACGATCTTCATGCCCTTGGAATCCACAAATCGGTCCATTGTTGCGCCTGGTGAGGTCGATCTTAACCTCCTTTTGACTTTTATATCCAGGATTCTCTTCTTGGTTTCTGGGATGCTACATATCTTACAAGAGCTAGCCGTGGTTATGCACCTTTCTTATCCGTCGGAGAAACCAAATGTGTCCAAAGAAGAAGGATATGATTGATATTGCACTAGAACCTTTCTGCCTTTCTCAGGATGCTTCAAGTCCACTTTTGCAACTGTGTTGCCTCGGGAATCGGCTGGTTCATCATGTCTTTTGTTCCTGTTGGAATGAGCTGCGCACTGTATTGTTTGATGTTGTTGTTGCATTCCGAAGTCAAGGGCTGAAGGGTCCGTCGAGAGATGGACCGTGATAGCGTTGAAGATCCCGCCATGCTGATTGGAACAACGACAAAGTTGGTACATTGTGAGGCTTACGGCCTTCCGTGAGTGCATTACACTTGAGAGGGTTGGATGTTGATCATGATCCTTTGTCAACGGGATCAATCCCTCAAGTAGGCTTAGCGAGAAATGCCGTGATCGCTGCAGTGGTACCTGATTTGCTTATCCGCGGGTTTATCATCGCCGACTATCACTGACCAGAGATAGGTATCACGATCCAAACACTCCCCTCGATGGCATGGTGTTGCGGCAAACTTTACAATGCGGCTCTGGCGGCGAGCTTGGCGACAAGAAACCGAATCTGGTGTTGGACGTCGGTTTCAAGATCCACATCGACGCTATCTCTCTCGTCGGTTAATTCCCGGCGTGATGGCGCGGGTGGCGTAGGAAGCCCTTCGCCCGGTTGGTCAGTGCCCTCTCGACCATGTCTTGGTGGTCACATCAAGGGTCTCTCACCGTTGTTCACCGTCCCGGTCAAAGTCCTTCTCACACACAGTGCTCACCACCAGGCCGCCGTTCCAGGGTCCTACATACCAGCCCTGAGCCAGGACCCCTGTCGTTGACGACCCTTGGGTTCAGTTGGATTTTAACTTTTGGCACTGTCAGTTCGCCGCCTTTTGGACGTCAAGAGTGACTTCGCACTAACAATTGCGCTAACCATTTTTGCCACCTCGTTTCACAACACCACCAGCGGTGACGACAACATGGTTCACGAAAGCACACTGCCGTTCAATGGCGGCGGCCAAGCGTGATATGAGGCCTTCATATGCTAAATTCCTCTGCCGTCATCGACTACACGGTCATGCTAAGTGCTGTTTTCATGGGATTCACTGGTTCTCTTCACTTTCTACATGTTTCTTGGTACAGAAACTGCCTTTGGAGACTGCTGTTCAAGTGAAGCACATCCACCTTGCATCATCATTTAGTCCTGTTCACGTCTTTCCGGCGTCATCAGGTAGAGTCACCTTTCTGCGGTTAGTAGTACCCTCATTTCCTGGCCTCAACGGAAGCAATCGATGAGGACGACATCCGCACTGTACCGTATCAAATTCGTTTTCTTGACTGATTTGGATGGAAGGAATGATGATTACCCCTACCCATCAACTGGACTGGAGAGCACTCCCAACACTATCATTACCTTCTTGCTTTAGCCTCTCTCTTACGGCAGTGAAGTGCACTTGACTCGACAGGGAGCAACCGTAGGCAGTGTAGTGTAACCTTCCTGTTCTGTCCTTGGAATTCCCTCACTCATCACATCAATGAGGAAACAACGAAGGACTGAGATCACCGACGTTGACACATGTTTGTACCTCTGTTAGTGGGCGCCTAGCTTAACTATGGCAAATTTCATCGCTCTACTACCCCTTCAGGTTCACCTCAAGTTTGACATTTACTCCGTCACTCCGAGTCACCTTTGATCACTCAAGTTTCCTTCTGTTCACCTCGTTGCTATCCACCACTGCAACACTACGACTCTTTCCACGGCCGGGCACTTCACTCACTGTTTAATCCGCAGCACACGCCCTCTTATCTTCCCTACCTCTAGTCTTGACCCCCACCCTCACTTGCCAGACACTAGCAACCTGTGAGCCTGTGATTCGCGAGTTCATACCTTACCCGCCGCACTAGGCTACCTCTGTGAAGTCGCGATATGGCGTGAACGTGAAGACCAACCACTGCAATGCAAATAAACCACGCAAGACATACAGTATCACATCACCCAAGACAACCACCCGTCTGGGCACCGGAAGATTCCGAGGCCGTTGCTGATGCCGATCGATAATGATAAGTTCAACGTGAGTCTCGGACTTCTTGCTACACTAGTTCGGAGTCACGTCAACTTGATCATCGTCGTCTTAGTGTACAAATTGAGGGATTATCACCGCATCACTTACAGCACCTACAGCCAACGGAACGCGCAATCATGCTTGAAGGTCACCAGTCAGTCACCTGCGCGTAGGTAGGTTAGGTGCAAGACAGCTGAGACGTTGATCTACACTGCGACCCCTCTGCTCATCAGCAGCCGTCCGTCGTTCGCTAACCGGTGGGAATAGCGTCTCACATCTAGTGTGTATTCCTTGCGTGGATCATTCAACGGAGTTAAATGGCGTCAGATTCTCCCATTGGCCCTCGAAAGGTCTGATACGCGCTAAAGAAGGATCACCTACAGGGACCCGGCTGTCGTACCTCTTATAGGATAACGGTCTGTCTGCCTTGTCTACACTAGGACCAACGCAACGGAGCTGTTGGATCTTCACGCAGGTGGTGCACACAACGGTCAACAACGAGGTTGTCTCCGTTAGGGAACGGAGGCTATTCAGGGACAGATGGCTAGTGTACTGTCTGGATGTCGAGTGATGTACGGCAGCAGGGACACTCACTTCCTTTGCTATGCTGACACCTGGGGTGTGAAGTATCACAAGCTTGAGCTGGATGTTGCGTCTTGGACACGCGTAGGACACTCACATGTATTACGGCCAACTGGTGACCAATATGAGAAATGGATAGTGGAATATGTTGTGCGGACTCTTTATGTTCATTTGTGGGATAGTCTTTCATAGGGTAGTGGTGCAGTGCAGTACATCAACACGTGAATGTGAATGGAATGAAGGGTATATAGCTACCGGCAAATTGAGTTGATTTAAAGGGGGCTTTCTCTGCTCTATGAAGGGTAAAGGCTCAGCGAAAAGTGCTGAGGGTATAATAGCAAGAACTATCCCGTCTGTGATACGGTCAAGCGAGAAAATCAACTTAATGAACCATTCCCTACATTTCCTTTCAGTTCCTCTTCGTTCCCTGTCCTTCACCTTCCCACCTCTTCTCTCTCTGAGGTAGGTAGACTCTTACCACATGAGACTTATTCTCAAGGCCCGACCTCAATCCTAGCTCCAATCCTTCATCCTTTCCCCACACTCACTCACTCACTCTATTATCCCCCCATCGCTTTCCAGTTTACGCCCTCTAAATCCTCATGAATTCCCCCCTCGCTCCACGAATCCCACAAGTATACCGCCCAACCCTCGGTATCACCGAAGATAATCCCCCCACTTCCTCTACCTTCCTCTTCCTCCCTCACCTTCACCACGGACCCTACCGGCACCCTACCGACATAGTACATCCCCCGACATGTTCCCCCCACAGCATTCTTCTTCACATTCGCCTCTTCCTTCAAATACCCACCTACCTACCTAGGACATACATGCCACTCCCCGTACCATACACAATAACTGGGAGGTAAACCCCGTGAAATTTGGCGTCAGGACAGGTAGGATACATTTGGCGTCAGGACAGGACGTCGGAACTACATTCAGCGGCGCAAAGGGGGGTGCCGTACTGCCGCCCGCCCGTACATGTCCCGGTCCCGGGCAGTTGTGGGGATACAAGTTAACAACCAAAAATCGAAGTTGCCGTCGTTATGGTGGTGCAGTGGTCCGTGGTCCGTGTCGCATGCGAGGAATCGAGGTTGAAGGTTCGGGCTACCTGGACATCAGATGTTGTTCGCTGTGGAGGGGGCAGATGGGGGGTTTTTGGACATGGTAGGTGGGGTTGCGGTTGGGGCGGTGGTGGTGGGCGGAGGAGTAGATGAATAGAGGAGGAGGAGCAGACCAGGAGTAGAGCAGAAGGACTAGGGAAGGGGTGGAGGGAAGTATGTGATGGTGGTTGGCTTGGAACTAGGTTGAGAGATGCCGATGAGAGGAGGAAAAGTGTTGATGGGAGGGAAGGCGATCTTGATGCTTCCCGGGAGGAGCGATGATTGTTACGGCAGAATGATGGGTTTGCGTGATCGTGGCGTCGTGGATGTCATACGATGGATGGTACGACTATCATTTCGTCGATTCAAGGTCCTGTGGATTCTTCCCTGCGGCTCAAAAGGGACGACTGGGAGGCGTGCTTGGTGGCTTGTTGCCCAAGTTCCTGCTCCTTGGCAAACCACAAGTTACCGGCAAACTCCCCCAGGTCACAAGCGATATGGCCGGTGGGCTTAGAAGAGGAGATACATGTCTGTAGGTGCCGCTGTTGATGGGCTTTGTGTGGGGAGAGCGAGTGTGGCTTCCGCTGTGAAGAGTTTAGGTGACCAAGGGGTTATGCTGGTGAATTTATTGGTGTTCACGGGTGAATCCGCGGGGACAAAAGTCGGAGACCAGAGGGTAGTTGAAGATGGGGAAGTAGTAGTGTCATCAAAATTGACCAGCGTCGGGCCGGTTTGGGTTGACATGGTTTGAGTTTGGGCCGTTAGCACGCCAGTATTGGCAGTATGGGAATGGCTGCCTGTAAGTTTATGAGGTCTGGAATGATTGCGACTCCAGATACCAAAATGGTAAACAGACCCAATATTCTAATGATATTCACTGATGTCGGTGTGCCTATGTTAACTGGTTTCATCCGAAATCGACAGGGTACATGCTCGAAGACTGCCCAACTATACGCTTAATGGCATGTTTCAAAGGAGAGGCAGTCGCCATTGAAGAGAGACCGATTTTACGATGAAGGATTCGAGAGCGACCTTCACGATGAGCGGTAGACTGGTCTGCTTGTCATGCTGAGGTATCCTTACGCCGGTACGTTGTATGCCCGCGAACTCTAGGGTTTCTGAACTGTTCGAGATACCGCTGCGGTTAAATGAACAGCTGGAAGGAAGGAAACACCTAGGAAAACCAAAGCACCTTATAACCCTTTCTCATCGTGTGTGACACACCAACACCCTGAACATCGCAAATCGTTCACATGGACGTGAATGAACCAGGGCCTTTCTGTGATTAATGGCTAAAACGAGATTCCCTCGTCTCAACCAACAGGGACGGGATAGCCTACTGCGCCACCCCTCTAGGGTAAAAAAATACGCTTCCTACAATGATAACCAATTGGGATTGAAACGAAGAGGTAAGGACACAGCTGTGAGTTGGGCATTGGTAGAGACCAGAACGTCCCAATAGCCTCAAAAGCTCTGAAGGAAGCAGTTATGACCGGTGGTTGGCACATTTATTTTCCGGTACCCATCGCTACACAAAATACATCAACTACTATTCTACATTGAAGAGAAAAAAAAAAAAAGAAAAAGAGACCGCCAAAAAATGATGGTTGGCCAGATCAACACCATGCGGTATCAATTGCCCCCGGATCGCTCACGACTGCTCACTACGTAAGCCCAGCTAGACAAAGTGGGCGGGGCGAAGTCCCCCGTGCACCATATATCACCGGAGTGAAGATGCGGGCCTGGGCAATATTGAGTGAATTTAAAACCAGCCGCCACCATGGGATTCGAACCCATGGCCTTGTGAGTGGGTGTAGAGAGCTGTGCGCTGTCTCAAGGCCACTCGGCCAACCTGTGTGTTGGAACTGGTACCTAGTGGGCGGGCTTATAAGGGAGGGTAGAGGTTGAGACGGTACCGGGTATCTGGAATCTAGTGGGCGGCAGGCACGGCGGGTGTTTGATACCGAGGAGGGATAACAGTGCTTCAATGATGGAGAAAATCGACCAAAAAGGAACCACTGCGATTCTAGGTACGCGTACTCGATGTCATTGTATTATCCCTGCTCTACCTGATCATCATCCGATCCACTTGCTCATTCTCCATCGCTGAGGTTATCCATCCGTGGTCCCTCGCTGTCATCCGTTGCGACAGCTATACCGACGGATTCGGGGTCCGGTGGTTCCTCTCTGTAGAAATCAGAGAGCAGAGGCTGTTTCAGTACAAGAATGTCCTAGGACTCGGTACAGAGCTGAAGGTGCGCCTCGCCGGTTGTATTGTTCTTGACCAGACGCAAGCCCCAGGAAGCCATACAATGCATCTTCCATGGAGGCCTTCTTCGTTTCGAGCCCTCGTCATTGCTGTCGTCGTTAGTGATACATCTATCTGCCTTGGCACGAACCTCGAAGCCAACTGCAGCTCCATCCAGCCACCTTGGGGTGTTCTTCTGCTCATTCGGCTCCCGGACACGCCCGTCCCCGGCACCAAGGAAAACCTCAGAATACCTGATATTGAGTTGACTGAGTGTCGCCTTGGATAGGCCGACTGCGCTCACTGTCGCTGTAGTCTGAGGTATCATCACGGCCAAAGTCTTGGTCCGCGGCCAGTGGCGCCCATAGAAGAGTTTTCAGACACTCCAAACTCGAACACGTTGTGTGACATGTCAGCGTAGAAGACATTGTCGACGAAAGTACCCAAGACAGCTTCGTCATAAAAAAACCGGGGGAGGAAGAACACGAGCACTTGTACGCTTCATCGATATGTAGAAGGTTCCGAGTGATGCCTCGGGGTTGGCCGTTTTGGTCTCGGAGTGCTCTGCGGTGCACAGCCACCCGTTCTGGTGATGTTGGGAGAATTAGGAAGTGTTATTGGGTAGGCACTAAAGCTGGCTGCCTCAATTTAGAAGCAGTCACGTTTTCATGCAAGCTGGGAGGAGGCCTTTTGATATGTTGCCCTGGGCTGACAGCCTGAAGTGGACGGGCGCATGCTAGGCTCACCAGCAAATAGTCTGATGGGCAACCATCATCCACTCCCAACTGGATTACGGACGATGCAATAGACCACCAATGCAGTTATAAAGTAAGATATCAAAGCAAGGTATAAGTCGGGGCTTAATATAGTCAAGGTGATGGACGCACTATGGCGACCTGTCCTTCTACTCCATCTCTGACGCAAACATGGACCGTTACTACGATACAAATCTTCGTGCTGTGACCCAAAATTCAACAACATCATGTCATGCTTGGAGATGGCCACCACCGCCGAAGGTCAACTGACCATGGCGTTCAGCTATCGTGCTCGATATGCAAGCCGGTATCCGCGATGTCGACCCAGAGTTGATCGTTGAGCAACTGTGGAACTGTCCCCAACTCGTCCGCTTCGCCAACCCCAAAGCCCAGTCTGACTAGGATCCTTACTTCGGCCTCTACCGTACACATACTAAAGCCGGATTGCTTTGCAAGCATGTCCCCGTCTAGCGACTCGCTCGCACCAAGATGTATTCGACCTGGCCCATAAATAACCGCCACTTGTCTGGACCAAAGGCGCCATCAAAGACTTTGCCCACGAGCTCTTCGAATTCCATACATGGCAGAACCTGGAATGGGAAAAGTGTGGCCGACTGTTAACGGCGCGAAATCTGGTTTTTGAGTCGAGCTGACGACCAACTTGGCCCATCAACTTTCCTTAGCCATCAACCCGGGCTATGTGTAAAAAACTTTTCATCCAAGCACTTGCTGGAACACCATCGTATGCTGCTGACAGTCCGTGGTCTAGAAACCCAAACTTCCACTGGACTTCGTCTCGAGACTCTCGGCACGCTTGCGCTGGTCTTCCCCGAAAATGACGCGGCTGCGCGAAAGTGGTATCGTAAACAAGGGGAGCGCGGCGAGAACGATAGGATGATACTCAAATGCGGATTAGGACATCGGAAGACTCGGCTCGAGGAGTAGCACTACTGGCACGATCGATGGTTGGTTCTCAAAGAGGAATTCGACGTGTATCAGGGGATGAAGTCGTCGGGCGGGTGAAGTTCGGTGTTGGGTTGAAGTTGAACTTGATGGAAAAATTGGAAGACGTCAGAAATCTGGAGACGTCAAACGAGGCCCCCGCATCTGATGTGTGGGGTTGATGGGGTACTGATCCAGCCCTGTCAAGCTTGCCTACAGGGGTAGCTGCAGTGGAGATAGGGCACGTCCCGCTGCAGCTACAGGGCTCAGCTCCAAACACATGACGATGCCCGGCCCGTGCAAGAAAAGCATCACATCATCGATGCATCACTGCACCCAAATATCGCAGATATATCGATGCACAACGCCCGTTCGGCACCAACCATGCACTCCATCTGAGCATACAACAACAACAACAACAACAACAACAACAACAACAACGACAAGTCATGATCATCATCTTCAGCCATGCTGCACCTCGCTGAAACGACCAACCCATGGGGCGGTCACTCGTGGGTGGGCGACAGTCCATCTGCCATCCCCCTCGACAACCGCCCCTTCTACGAACCCGCCACGGGTCCAGAAACCACCACCTCCCGGGGCGTTTGTAACAAGCTCTTCCACTCCTCCCTCTTCGACGTCGGCATCCTCCGCGACACCCTTCTCCCCTCCATAACTTTCCACTCCGGCCTCAGCTTGATCGCCTACGGCGCCGGCCGCCTCACCGACCGTCTCGAGACCAAAGACTGGCTCTGGCCCGCCGGCCAGGTCCTCAACGCGTGGTGGTCCGCCCTCGGCAAGCGCGTCATCTGCGACGGCATCCCGCTATACTGCTCCTGGGCCATCATCGACCGCCCGCAGCGCCTGCTGCTCGCGGGCGTCACTCTCTGGGGCAGCCGGCTGTTCTGGCGCATCGCGAGCCGGAGCGTCAAGCGCGGCGGGGACGATCCGCGGTATGAGGCGACCAAGAAGCAGCATGGATGGTCGTGGAACAAGGCGCTGTTTACCACCTATCTCCCTGAGGCGCTGTTCCAGAGCTTGATCACGTTGCCGTTTACCGCGCCCTTCCGGCACTTGGTTGGGTCGGATGTGCCGGGGCCGTTCGCGACGCTGTCGGGTGGGTATGCGGCGGTGGTAGAGGCGGTGGCGGTGGGATTGTTCAGTATGGGTTTTGCGCTGGAGGTTTTGGCGGATTGGCAGCTTGATACGTTCAAGGAGAAGGAAAAGAGTGGTCAGGAAAGCCCCTCAGCCATGTGCAGAGAGGGAGTCTGGAGCATCGTCAGACATCCAAAGTGAGTTCCCGTCCCAGTTTTCTGTTGGTTCACAACACAAACACTTGCTAACAACAATATCACAGCTACCTCGGCGACATGCTAGTCCACCTCTCCTTCCCGCTCCTCCTCTGGTCCAGCAACTCCCTGCAGCCCATCCACCTCCTCGGCCCGCTGACCAACTACATCTTCCTCCGCTACGTGTCGGGCGACAAGGAGAACGAGCACAGCCAGGCCCGCCGCTACAGCACCGAGAACGTCAACAAGAAGATCGACTTTGACAAGTACCGTCGCGAGGAGAACGCCTTTTGGCCCGACAAGTGCCAGGTCTCCAACAAGTGGACCTGGATCGTGGTCGGAGCCGGTGTGGCCGGTGCTCTTGTAGAGGGGCTGGTGACGCAGCTGATCGCGTGACTCGCCATAGGCTGGAAAGCTGTAGGAATGGGCTTGGTAGCCATGGAAATAGGTCTGAGCATCGGCTCCGAGTTGGGATTCAACGAGGTCATGGTGTTGGCCAAGGAGGGACAGGATGTGGCAAAATTGTTGGCTGGGAGTGGCCTTGACTTGACGGATTTCTTTACGTGAGTGGTACTGATGGGAAGTGTTGTAGGATATTGTAGGATCTTGTAGGATATGGTGTGTAGGATATGGAACGCTTGAAGGAAGAGGCGATATCTCGCTTGATGGATGTGGTTTGGATGGACGTAATGGCCTTGTTTGGAGTATTTGGATAATTAGTAGTATCTTGATTAACCAAAACGAAGCATTTCTCCAACCCTCTAGTCCATCAAATCGTTCGGTTTCTAATAATAGGCTTTGACAGTACGAACAGCGGAACTAGAACGGGAGAAATGTTTTCGCCATCAGTGTCTTCAGTCGCCAATGAACATCTTCCATGTCATGCTCTCCTCTGTCAAAATCAAACCATTGAGCATCGAATAAAGCCGCGCGAAGCAGCTCGGAACTCCCCCATGGTCATCAAGATCACTAGCGTAGGTAAAGCGGTAGCTGTTCCGGAAAAACCTTTTCAATGTCCTTGTATTCGGACACTCTGTGTGATTGCTACTAACTGTTCTGGTATCGCGTCTCAGATACCTCGACCCCTGTCCAGCAGTGCGTGGATTTTTCCACATCTCTATCCTTTTGCCATGTATATGTACGACACAGTTTCTCTAGGCATCTCTTCGCCGAGCCTATGTGTACCACACACTTCCTCAAGGCTTGTTTTCTACTCCTTGCTTGTCATCAATCATACCATAACTTCATAACGCCATAACGCCATAACTCCTCGCTCACTTTTGACCTTTCATCTTCAATCTTCACACCAAGGCCGACAAAAATCAACGAGCTGAAACAAACAACACACGTTCCAAGGTGATCAGGGAGAGAAGGAGCACAAGGAAAAAGCAAGATCAAAGATCCTCCTCCAGCTCCTTCTCCATCTTCTCCCTTGCCCTTTTTCCACCCCCGGCCTTGTGAACCAAGCTCCGGATCAAAGTCCTGTTGTGTCTCATAGCCCATTCATCGTTGACAGGCGTGTTCTTTCGATCAGGGACAACTGTCTGACGGTCAGCATGTACTCATTATGATAAAACAAGGAAAGGGGAGCGAAAAAGGACTTACCCCTCAAACAACAGTTCTCCCATATCTGTTTTTCACTACGAAGTTCTTCATCTAACTGGCATGTTTCGATGTGGTTCATTGCGCGGCGCCTCTTGAAGGGGTGCCGGCAAAAGACCCCTTTGATGTCTTCTGGATCGTTGTGGGTGGAATCGGATTGAGACATGCAATCAAGATCGAGTGGACAGCGGAGGACGTAATAGGCGGTTTTTTCGTCGTCGCCTGTGTCGGTAGTGGCGCGTTTGCGCTTGTTGGAGCTTGAGTCGGAGCTGGATGCCGTGATGGTGGCGGCGGCGGCGGCGGTAGTGACCTTGCCCTTCTTGGCTTTGTCCGTGAGAGTATAGGTACTGTCTTTGCTATCGTCCGTTTCGCTGCCACTGTCATAGTCATCACTGTCTTGACCAAGGGCCAGCTCGTCGTCGGAGTTGTCATCATTGCCAATGTTGATGGCCGTGGCGGTCTTGCTGCTACTGGCCATGCTGCTGCTGCCTTCGCCATTGTCATTGGCACCGTCAGACACCATTCCGTTCCCCTTTTCTTTGGCCTTGCTCCCGCTGTTGTCCTTGTCATCTGAGAACGCCGCCTTGATGCTGCCGTCTTTTGTGAACATGGAGGAATCAAGCTTGGAAGCCCAATACTTTCCCTTGACCACTTGCGAGCGCTTGATGATTCTGTTTGTAGCAACGGCCGCGGGCTCCTTGCTACCGCTGGGCTTGGTAATCTTGTGGGCATTGTTGTTAACGTGGCTAGGTTTGTCGACTGCTTTACCTTTGCCTTTGACGTCTTGCTTGCTGCCAGGAGGAATGATCTTGATCTTGGTCGCTCTGCGTTGCACGTTCGTGCTGCTCTTGTCCTCGGCATTTTTGGCGACGGTCTCCTGGATGCCCTCTTCTTTGCTGACTGTTGCAGTGATAGGGTTTGCAATGGATGGCCCGGCAACGGTAGAGGTGGAAGCAGAGGCAGAAGCGGAATTGCGAGCGGGAACAGAGGCAGACGAGGGGCCGGCGACCGGGGCGGTTGTGGACTCTGTCGTGGCGGCAGGAGGATCAACAGCTCTTCCTTTTCCTTTGTCGCGCTTGGATGATTGTGTGCGAGGATTCGATGACTCGGTCGGCTGGGAAGGTGTGATGGATGGGACGCGGCTTCCTTGAGCGCGCGTCGAATGCTGATGGGATGGCCCCGCCTCTGATGTCTGTTCCTGCTTCTTTTGCGACTTCTTCTGCTTCTTCAACTTCGCCCTTTGCTCCAGCCACAATTTCCTCGGCGAGTCTTCCTCAAAGTAGTAGGCATTGCGATGCTCTCGAGTCATTGTCTTGCCCTCCCACGGCGGATGAACCTTGAAAGGCGGGTAAGGAGGAGGTCCCTGTGGACCGTAACAGCCTTCTCCCTTCATAAGTCTGTCCCTCCACTCATCGTGCCACTCGTGCTCTGGACCTGGTTTGACCTCGAGTCTCAATTTCCCTGTCTCGAGCTCCGTCCAATACTCGGGACAATCGTCAATGAAGTTCCATCCGAGTCGTTTTGCGTGTTGGCAATTCCAAGGATTCCGGGAGAAGTGGTGATCGCGCTGTTGGGAGTAAAGTGAGGCTCAGGACAGAGAGAAGACCAGAACTTGAAAGACCAAAGTCACATCAGGAGAGGGAGGAGACTGGAGATATCGGAGTGCGTTAAGAAGACGCAGAGCTGTGATGGGTAGACCCACTCAAAGCAAGAAGACAAGGGTCGATTGCTATTGTTCTTTTGTCGTTATATAGGATGAATACAATAAACGCTGTGGACTCCCCTTCACAACTTTCGTTGTAGACCCCACGGCTTATTGAACCGACCATCTGCATATTGTTGACGAACTGGGATGAAACGGAACCATGCCATGACCTTTCAACTGACAATACCCGTGAATAAGGCATCTTGGTCTTTTTCATTCCGATAATACTGTCATGACTGGGTATCTATCTGCGATTGTCATTCTGGTCCATGTTGGTTCTCTTGAGCTACGCTCCCCCCATCGCTTAACGCTGTGCTCCCTTTTCCATCTCCGTCAATTTATGTCCTATCATCCAATAAAACATAGCGGCTGGCTACAATACGATTCACTCACCTCCCCCCCGAAGTTGGCTGGCACCTGCAAGTCACTTGATATTGGTTTCTGCTCAACAGTAGAGGTAGGGTGAAGGGCACTTCGACGCCAAGGGCTTGTCTTTTCACTCATTGACCGCCCACCAAACTCCCGTCATCCACTTGGCTTTATTATCAAAAGATCTCCTCGCAGCACCTAACAAATTCAGTCGCACGCTTGTAGCCTCTCTTGCCTTGACGGTCCCTCTGGGAACTTCAGTCTTGGTGGTCATCAATTCAGCCTACTTGACCGTTCTCTTCATCCACAGCGGTTTCCTAGCTGTAACACGAGGTCACTATGAGGGGACTGACCAAGCAGGGTGTTAAGACCGCGACTGCCGCGCCGCGCATGAAGAGAAATGCCATGCCGGCAACAAGAAAGCTGGCAGTTAGAGCCGCCAAGGTCAACAATGCTCCCAGGCAGTGAGTTACTCCCCCTGCATCACAACCCCAAAACATACCAACCTGTCCAGCGGGCTGTGGGCCTCTACATAGAGCGGTGAACTAACAGTTCTCACTCCATCACAGGAAAGAAATTGTCATGTCAATTGACCTTGGCAGTTCCGGTGTGCGCTCGTGTATTTGGAACCCAGATGTGGTTGAGGGTCAAGACCCCGTCATTTTGATTCTCAACAGAGAGAACGGCGGTGATGGTTACACCTTCTCGGCAAGCGGGGCTGTCATGGACAACGACACTGCCGACGAGGATATCTACATCAACAACCTCGAACCTGAAAGCCGTCTGGGCGTGCCCTTGAAATACGGGCTGTACATTCTTTCGAACGCTCCGGAAGCCCTCACCAACGAATATCACCTCATGGAGGATCTTATTCAGGAAGACCGTCGCAACAGGGAAGAGTTCAGAAGACAGCTGCGCCTGGGTCTGGTGCAAATGTTCACCAAGCTCAAGGGCAAGGTGGAGCAAGTCATTGAAGGGAAGCGGAAACCCTGGAAAGTTGGAAGGTTGTGTATAACAATCCCGTCACAATGGACGTTGGACTTTGAGGATCAATACCGCAGCGTTCTCGCGGAGGTCTTTGAATGGGACATTGCCCAGGCTGGGGAGCGAGTGACCTTCGTTTTCGAACCTGAAGGTCTCGCCGCTTATCTTTTGCACAGCAAAGAGTACAAGGACGACGCCATCGCCCAAAGCGGCCCGAACGAGCATCGAATTGTTTTGTGTTTGGACTTTGGTGGCCACAGTATGGTAAGCAGACTTTGAACCTGTTGCTGGTTCGAAAGTGAATCACAACTCGGACAACCCACTCACCCCTACCGAGTGACCTTGACTAATTTCTTCTTGGGTAGAATGGCTGCCAGTACTGGATCAACGCAAAGCGAGATGGCACCTTAAGCTTCTTCGCGATGGCACCAGCATTTGGTAGGGTTAATCCTTCCCTGTTGACTCTGCATTTGATCATAAATCGTTCTGACAGCGTTATTGAATTACCCAGGACATGCTGGCGGCGGCGAGCAGTTGGCTGATAGTGTCCTCCGCGCTTGTGAAGCAGACTGGAACACCGGAAATGATGTGGCTCTGACACCTAAGGCCAAGGCGCAGATTATGGAACGGATCAAGAGGCGCAGGGCTCATTGGGGCCCTCGTTCAACAACTGCCCTTGATGAGGAGATTTTTGAGTTCAATGATTCTCAAGAAATCGGTGCTGGTGCCATTACACTTACGAAGAGTGTTATCAATAACTGCTGGCGTAGGGCACATGATCTCCTCCTCAGGCTTGTTCAGCGAAAGCTCCGTGGACTGAAAGCCGAATACAACCGGGAAAGAGGTCGTGGCACTACAGTCACGCCTTTGGTAGTTGTGGCTGGCGGGAGCCTTACCAACGCAGTTCTCTTGGAGAGAGTTCGAAAGCTAATTGACGCCAGCGACTTGGGTCCAGGCTTAGTTGTAAACAAGGAAGGCGTCGCTCATGAGTAATTCTTTTGGAACCTTTCAAACGTTGTTGACCTTGCTGACCACATCAATACTTCAAGTGCCGTCCGTAACGCCATCGGGGCTATCTACGCGTTCCAGAAGGCCCTGACGGTGCGGCAATTCCTCGACCAGGGCGCAGGAATTGCACTGCAAATCAAGCAGGCAGGGGCGACAGAGTGGACAAGCCACGCAAGCCCGGTGTACTATTGCGTAAGTTACCTTTTGTCACTGTTCTACTAAACGCATAACTAGCATGAAACTGACCAATTATGCCTTGATAGCACAAGGAAGACGGAGCAGAGGTTCACCCGCCTTGCGAGGTTTCGCTTTTCTCAGGAGATCGCGTGCAGTTGATATGCGACCCCTTCTACGGCCAGGATAACGTGGGCGCTGATCAGCCGATCACGGACATGTTCTACACAAGAACATACGACTTCCTTCGAGACATGCCCAAGGCCCCTTTTCGCGGGTCCAATACCTGCAACGTGCGCTTCGAAGGAGATGACAATGAGGTGGTGATGAAAGTTTTTACGCATCACTGTCCATGACCTGTATTCCTTTGAAGTTTGTGACAACCAATTCCCGGCTGGTAATAGGGATTATGGAGCCTCAAGCTCTCCAGACCACCAACCAAGTGGCACAGAGGTAGGTACGCCTTCGACCATACCTCCCGCGATTCAACATGTAGGCAAGGCCGGCATGTCTCCTGCCTTCATAGATGACTTGAAGACTGGTCGGAGAGTGACTTCCGTGTATTGTAATGACGCCTGCCTCACGGTACTCTTAGGGTATAACGCAGCGGGTTTTCGTGGCAGGCAATCTCGAACCTGTTGCTGTCACTTGATTCTCCACGAACACTTGGACCCTTCACTCCAGTGGAAACCAACCTATACAAGTAAACCTTTTGTACCTTTTCCATTCACTTGTACCGTCACCTCCGGCTGTCGAGGTTCAGATGCCAAGTACCCCGCCAAATTGCCCCCCAGCTGTTCTTCACTACCAGGTGTTTTGATTGCTATTGATTTGAGCCGCCACCTTTGTGCTTGCCGCATTATCTTCTCCCCTTCTCAATCTGCACCGCTCGCCGCGAATCAACATCTCCACCTAGACACGCCGCCTTGACCCAGGACTTTGAGCCTTCTTTCACCGGGACGACACCGAGCCTTCCACAATGAATAGTGTCAAAATGGATAACCCAGATTCCAGACCCGAGTCACAGGAAAACCAGTTGCGGCCGTTAGTTTACCCGTCTCCAGCGAACACATGGCGAACCCGACCATTGCTAACTTGGGAACAATATCCCAAAACATAGGAGACAACTTGTCGGTATCGATTTGGGATGTTCCGGGAGCCGCATAATGGTTGTTTGTCCTCTTATGCGCCCATACGATGATCCCCTAAACCTCTTGGTCAGAGCTATTTATCCTATCCGAAGACTCAACGATACTCCTTGGGCTTGGCAAGACTTTCCAGCTCACGGCTATCCCTACGACGATGATGCCCCGGCGTATGACCAGAATACTAGATGGCGCCAATTTGAGCCCGTACCGCTCAAGTACGCGTTTTACCTGCTCGCTAAAGAGCTTGATGAGGCCGCCCCACGACATCCGATGGCGCAAGAGCTTGCGATATATGACTCCCCGGAGTTTCGAAGCAAGCTCTACTCCGGTCTAGTGGCTTTGATCAGGAGCATGCGCACACGCAAAGATGCCTATCTAACCGAGCGCTTGGGACGGTTATTTCACTACAACCGAGCGATGGACCATCTATGTGTCACTATACCGGCACCTTGGAACTCTTCGTTCCAACAAGTTTACCTCAACGTGCTCGCCGAAGCGTTTGAAATCCCTCGCGAGACGGTCCATGAACGCGTTACGTTTGTCACCGAATCGGACGCCTGGGCTCATCATTTTCTTGGCCCTCTACACGGAGGAGATGGTTATCGCAATGATGCGACGAGTGAAGAGGTTGTCCTCGTTCTATGTTTTGGTGGTCACATGATGGTATTTACAACTCTTAGCTGGCTTCTGTCATTTTAGCTAAAGATTGCTTTACAGAACGGCTCGGTCTTTTGGCTTGGTCCCACCAACTGGCCCAGGAATGGACCAGGAGAAAACGGCAGCAACCGATTTTTCCGCCTCGGAGACTCATTCGGTAAGGCTTTAGCACGTGTATCTTGTTTTCTGTTTCCGAATTGCGCTGATCTTTTGTTTCATACAGGAGCCCCTGGTGGTGAAGAGCTACTGGTGCATTATCTCGTCGAATACGTGGATGATGTGTTTGTTGAAGCCATCACCAGTTCTTAGCATTCTCTTGGCATTAGTGGATACGATCTATATATGGCTACCCTGTATATAAGTCGGATTTCATCCTCCTTCTTCTTTTTTCTTTCTTTCTTTAATCAATTAAGACTTTCACTACCATCTCGTTGCTCACCGTAATCGCTTCCTTGTAGTATGGTTCAACAGGTTATGAGCCTGGATACGCTATTCGATCCGCTACAATAGTTAAGTCAATAGTCCCTACCTACCCTACCCTTTCTCCTATTTATTACTTTCCTTGAAGAAAGGAAATGCTATTGATTATACTCCAAAAGGATTATACTTTTTACTAAATATAATTGCTGCTGTTATTGTAACTATAGGGTCTATGCTTTTATAATATAGCGTTCGGACTACCGAATGCCCCGTACCCGAGTATGGATTCTGAAAATTAGAAATACTATTAATCCTCTAATTTTCTTAACCGTTTGGATCTATTATAAATTGTATTTATTACGTTGAGTTATAATATTATTAAAATCGTTCGATTTTTAATATATTACGAGACTTTATTTACCCTTGCGTTAATAAAATTGTAATAATAGCGAAAAAGGCTGTTTTTGCCTATTCTATAAATTTGTTAGGGTACAACAAATTCTGCTATTACTACTGCTTTACTAGTAACGGTATTTACTACTGCCCGCGGTGCAACTTTATAAATTTATATAAATAGGTTGGATATCTATATCTAAATTTATAAGTCGATGTAGCTACCCTATATAAAATCTTTAATAAAATTATTGTAAAGTATATTAGTATAATCTCCGGCCGCGTCCTACTAAACTGCCGACCGCTCGCTGATATTTTAACTACTACGATTTCCCTAACCTTTTCTAAGAAACTACTACCGTACTGTAAATTTTCTACGAATCCTTCTAAAATTTTATTTTTATTGCACTATTACTACTGTAATTTATTATATTTATATTTTTTAATTTTACTTAAAGTCTAGTACCGTTCTCGCTTTTAAGTTTTATAAAATTTTAGGGTTTTATTATTGCTATACCGCCTACTTCTATTTCCGCTCTTCTATTATTGTATTCTAATGTCTAGCATTACTAAACTTCTAAATTGTAATTATACTTAATAAAGACTTTAATAATATTATTACTATCCTTATCCTTATTAGAAGCGGAAATAATTATACAGCCTAGCGCGATACTATTGTTACTTATATTACGGCCTAATTTACATTCGATATTATAAACGATACTACCTCTCCCGTCTAGCGTACCGGTATCCCCGAGTAGAAATACTTAAATAAGGTCGAAGATTGGTAGTATAATTAGTGCTAGTAGTTTAATTTCTTAGTGAGTAAATTCGCCTTAACTATCTATAATAAGTTTCGAACCTACGATCCGTAAATTATTATCGAAATTCTTTAGTAGGTTTTTAATAACTATTGCCTAAAGGACTCTAAAGGTTTTATAAAGGCTATAACCCGTTTCTACGCTATTACCCTCGATAAATATAACAGCGTTACTAATTTTGTAAATTAATTATAGATTATTTAGTATCAGTTAGTTAAAATAGACGATTATTACCTTATACCTAATTTTATAGTAATTAATTATTTTATTTAGAGTTTAGGTCCTATATATACTACTTTTATTTCGAAATTCGGCTAAAAATATCTTTTCCTACCGGAGCGGGATGAAGCTAGCAAAATTATTAAAGTACTAATTATATTAGATAAGGCTAAGTGTACTACTGAGATTGAGGAATCTTTAATTAAACGTTAATAGAGCGAGTTTAAAGATAATATTAATAAGTTAGTATTCGATACGGCGGGCTTAAAGGCCCACCTTACTAAATACGTTGCTAAGGTTATTAAATTTGTTAATAATAAACGACTGCATAGTAATAATAGGGAGTGTTTTTTGGTACCCTGTTCGGTGTGTAAGATACTAAATTATAGTGATTTGCGTTGTTATATCTAATATTCCGAATAGTATAAGAATTTAAGTTAGAGTGCGGGCTTTTAAAAAAATAACGACCGCCCTCCTATATTAACCGTTGTACTTTTGGTTGCTACGTTCGATAATAAGGAGTTTAAAGTTGAATTCGAAGACCTTTGCCCTAATAAGCGCTCTCGCTCCGATTAGGAAGCCGGTAGCTTATAGTTTATTACTAACTTTTTAAAATTTATAAGCTATACAGTACTTAGTTCTAATACTAACCCGCCGCTTATTTTACCGTCCCTACACCTAACCCCGCCGGCGCTATTATTAATAACCTTACTATTATTAGCTCTTATTGCTTTAAACTTATAAATTGAATAATCTAATTTTATTAACGCCCTTTCGGCTACTATACTACTCCCCGTTGCAGTCCTACTATTTAATTCTAGGCTTGTAGAACGTATTGTTGCGTTGTCCACTTTAGAATTTCATCGCGAGTTTTTAGACAATTTTAAATATATAGTCGTTATTAATTTAGGTGCCGCTAATTACTTCTTCTATAATAAGGCCGGCTTTAAAAGTTTGCGCCCTTATATTGGCCTCCTTGTAATAGGAATAAGTAATATAGAAATTACCCCTAAAGTAATTAGTATATATTTACTACGTACCTTTATTTATAAAGGCGATTTATCCTTCATTTTACTAGAAGGAGCTTACTTTTCCCCTCGTATAGTTTATAACTTCCTTTCTGTATTATAATTTAATTGCCGTAGCTTTGTTATAGTATTCGGAAATAGCCTAGCTATAGGAATTTATAATTAAAGAATCCGCTTTAAAGGGTTTAATATAAATAGAATATATTTAATTTATTAACTAACTAATAATCTAATGCTTCGCTTTACTTTCGCTACTTACACTATTAAATGAAAAAGATTTAAGATATAGTATAACCGCTTTATTTATTTTAGTAAAGGAAATATCGTTTCCCTTTAAACGATGTTTATTAGTATCTACCCCGTCCTTGATATTTATTTTTGCGATAAGTACATATTGGGCTGTTTGAAATAGGTTCCTTATAAGGGAATTGTACGTAAAGGGAGTCAGCCCTTTGAATATATTTGTACGGATATTTTAGCCCCTTCCGCTTTGAAGGTTTATAGCGATAATAATATTGGGTTACTATTACTAATGATTTTACGTAGTACGTTTAGGCTTATGTAGTTAAAACCCGGGACGAATCTCTTTGTATAGTAGAATCATAGTACAATAAATTCAATAGGCCTGAATATCCTATTTACTATATTTATTTTAATTGTACTAGAAAGAATTCTAGTAAATATTTTCAATTATAGTATACGAACCGTTTTATTATATTAGTATACTTAGTAGTTAATTAGTACGAATAGAATAGTATATTAGAATATTTTAATAGGATTTTATAAGAGCGCTTTACTATTATTTTGGAAGATAGCGGTTTTAACCATCGCTTATAGTTAATCCTTCTACGTATAATTATTTATTTAAAGAACTATTATTCAAGTAAAATTATCGATAAAACGCTATTCGAAGTATAGACTGGCTATAAGCCTAATTTTTTATATTTAAAAATTTTTAGCGCCCCTTACTATTATAAACTGCCCGACGCGGATTTCTTAGGGAAATTAATTCTAGCGGCCGGCCGAGGTAAGCTGTTGGACTATAAGGGGTCGTCGAATTATATTATACTTACGGACGGTTATAAAGTAATTTCTACTAATAATATAATTATTAATAAAATATATATATATATTTCTCCCAACCCTACTACGTCGGTTTTTAATATATTTAATAATTTACCCTCCCTCTATTACGCGCCGGACTCTAATTTTAGTACTTTTTTTACGGATTTATACGCCTTTTCTAGTACTTTTAACCCTATATCCAACCCCGCGGAGGGCTACCCGAAGAATTCGGATATACGCTTTGTAAGCTTCTCTTTAATATCCTTATAATCATTATCTAAACTTTAACTATTGCTAGCCATTACGCTAATACCTACGCCGCTACTATTACCGCTATTATTATTGCTATTAATTCGTTTATTTTATAGTTCTAATTTAGGGGGAGTTCTACTAGTATAGCTAGGGGGAGATTCTAATATATTTATACTATTGTTATTTATTTTACAATTTACTAATTTTTCAATGTTATTAATACCTCCGGACGAATTGCCTTAGACTTCGTCCTTATTAACCGACCCCACTATACTAATATTTAATACTATTTATATTAGCGGAGGCCTAAATCTCTTTAATTTAAATTATTAGCACGTTATTACTAATTATTACTCCGAGCTACGACCCCCCGAATTTATAATTTCTAGTAAATAATAGTTATTATTAAAAGTTACTAATAAGCCTAATATTAATTTATTAGCTTTCGTTACCTTTGCTATACTACTAGTACTAGAACCCAAAAATCTTTAAGAAGTTATAAAACGATTAGATTAGAAGAAATAGTAGGTAATTATATAAGCTAAATACTATTCCCTTATTGAGAATTAGACTTGGATCTTTATTCCTTATAATATTAACCGCCGATTACTATTTAGGAAATAGGTATATAAGTTTAAGATTGGTCCTAATAGCAAAGTCCTTCGTTATAAGGCTCGCTAGGTAGTCTATAACTTTAAATAGCGTAAGGGGATTAATTATAATAAAACATTTGTTTTAATTATAAAGCCTATGAATTATAAATTTATATTCGCCCTCGCCGCCGCCCTCGATTTAGAATTAGAATAAATGGACGTCTAGACTACTTTCCTATACGGCCTAGTAGAGGAAGATATTTATATAGAATAACCTCCCAGTATTACTAGTAGTAATTTAATTCTAATATATAAGTTTAACCGCGCGCTTTATAGTTTAAAATAAAGCCCCCGTATTTGGTACAATACTTTAGCTGCATTTTTTAATAACTTTGGCTTTATACTACTATTAATTAATATTATTATTTTTAGTAAAGGAACTACCTATATTGCTGTTTACATTAATAATTTACTTATTATTGGACTATCCGTAAAAAATATTTAAACTCTAAAGAATATACTGAGTAAGCACTTTAAAATAACCGATATAGGGCTCTATTTATATTACCTAGGTATAGTTATAACCCGCGATAGGTTAAAACGTACGCTTTGGCTAAATTAGAAGGCTTATTTTAAGAAGGTGTTTAGTAAGTTCGGAATGTTAGATTGCAAGCCGGTATCTACCCCTATAGATAATAGTAAGATACCCGAATTGCTAGAGGGCTTCCAAACGTCCAACTCCGATAAATATTAGTATATAAGCGCTATCGGTTTATTTATATATACTATATTCAATACCTGGCCAAATATCGCTTTTATAGTATTTTTTTATCGCTGTTACCTTGCTAAACCAACCCAAACCTATATTATAATTATAAAATATATATTTAAGTATTTTAAGGGTACTCTTATCCTATACTTTATTTACTCCGGCCTATCCTTTATTCTTACTGGATTTATAGATATTAATTGGGGAGGGGATACCCCTACTAAGCGCTCTATAAGGGGTTATATATTTCAAATCGGTAGTGTAGTTGTTAGTTGGTAATTAAAATAATAGTAGATTATTACCCTATCCTCTTGCGAGGCAAAGGTTATAATTCAAACTTAAGCAGTAAAAGAGGCTATTTGGCTTAAACGGTTATTAACCGACCTCGCCTTCCTACTTATAAAAGCTATTATTATTCGCTATAATAATTAAAGTACTATAGTTCTTGCGAAGAACCCTTAATACTATTCTCGTACTAAATATATTAATATTAAGGAAATATAGTATAGGGAGATATAGACGATTAGAAGCGTAAATTTCTAATATATAGCTACTAAGGAGTAAATCGCTAATATTTTTATAAAGGTGCTTTCTTAAAGTATCTTTGAGCAATACCGGTAGGCGTTAGGGCTATTAGACCTACTAAAGATATAATAATACTTTCTTAGTACCCGGCCGTTCGACTACCCTACCCTACAATTGAATTTTCTATGTACGAGCAGCTATTACACTACTGAAGAGCCTTTTTTTTTCTTTTATTTTTCGTTATATTCTATATTAGGCGTTACTTTACCTATATCTCTTGCTCCCTTACCCTAAGGAGATATATACTTTAATAGTTTGAGTTGCGATTTTCCAAATCCTATGAAATTCCATACTATAGAAAATTTTAAAAATCGACTCACGACTATTTAACTACCTTCCTATCACCCTAGCGTACTGTATGTACGTTTATTTTAATTGCCTCAATAAAACGAATCGATTAGTAGTGGTCCTGTAGCTATACGACTACTACGGTAAAAGCTTTTATATTTTTTATACTTTTTTCTCTCTTATTTCTTATTTTCTCCGCCGCTGCCTACCCTTACAATGGTAATCCTTTTCCTACTGGGTTTTTACTAGTACTAGTCGTAAGAGGTTATTTATATCTAACTTCGTTCCCTTTTTTTTCTTCTTCTCTCTCTCTTAGGGCAATCTATATTTGGATCAAGGGGGAGTATTGAAGCCATCACCAATTCTTAGCATTCTCTTGGCATTAGTGGATACGCTCCACACATGGCTACCCTATATATAAGTCGGATTTTATCCTCCTTCTTCTTTTTTCTTTCTTTCTTTAGTTAATCAAGACTTTCACCACCATCTCGTTGCTCACCGTGATCGCTTCCTTGCAGTATGGTTTAATAGTGTTCTCCACTCAAACTGGAAGAGCGTTATTCCCAGCAAAGAAAGCTGACGTTCATGATCGTTGCAAGAGCTTCGCACGAGACCTGGGCCCTCACTTAAACAATCCCAGTAGGGAGCGTGCCTTCACGCTCATAGTCAATACCACCAAAGGTGGCAGCGTACGCTTGGAGATTTCCAACGCGGCATGCAATTACTTCTGGGAATGCGCGAACCGTCATCCGCTCAAAGTTGCAGCCGAACAGTTCGCGCTTCTCAGGAGAATCATGCGACACCGCAAGGTTGCCGGAAGTGTGATGGTTTCAGGAGGAGGATTGGAGTATGAGCTTTACAATTTTCCTCTATTACTTCGCCTGCAACAACTCGTCAAAGACGCTGGTCTCCCACGGCCTCATTTCGAGCGGGACATCCACAATCATGAACAATCGTCAGCCACTAGGGGTGCAATTGCAACGGTGGAGTACGCTCTAACTGCCAGACAATTCCTCACTCAGGGTGTCGGAATCGGCGTGCAAAGAAAGCTGCCCAATGCAACTGAGTGGGAGGATCAGGCTCCGCTGGTTCTTTACTATGTAAGTGACTACCAAAAGAAGCCAGCTGTCACAATGATTCGCAAAAACAGCCCGAACGCTAACAAATTCTCTTCGCGATGCTTAAAGGACCTTGTAGCCAAAGACTACCAGCAATATACGTACACCAATGCCGCACCTCAAGTCGAGGGTACGCAATTCCGGTTAATCTGCGACCCGCTGTATCACGTTCTTCCGCTAGAATCCAGAGTTGGGAATTAGTACAGTACTAATTAGTAGTACTAGAGTACTAGACTTTAGTACTAGTACTAGTACCACCTCAGTACTAGACTAGACTAGTACTAGTACTAGACTAGTACTAGTACTAGACTAGTACTAGACTCTAGTATACTAAAAATACTAATTTCTGAAAATTGATATTTTGGAAATGTTTGAACTGTGTGTGTATTATATAAAAATAAACAAGTAAGAAAATAGTATCTTTATTTAGTAAGGATTTTTCTTCATTTAGCTATAGAATTTTGATTTTAGATTATTCAAAAAGATAAAATAATTAATTAAAGAAGAATGGAAATAATTTTCTAATAATAAATATACAATCTATAAATTTCATTATTATATACTATAATTGAAATATGTATTAAATCTTCTATTTTAAATATTACTAAAATACTAATTAGTACTACTCTAGTATTAAAAGTACTAGAGTAGTACTAGAGTAGTGTAACAAACGGCAGTCTAATCTGCCTAAATAAAATAGCTAAAGGTATAAAGACTATTAGTACTGTTCGGTGAAGCCAAAAGGTTTACAATAAGTATATGTACGTAATACTAGTTTCGGTAATAATAATCTATTAATTATTAGCGAACTATTTAATAATTTGAATTCTCTAGCCGTCCCTTTATACTTCTAAACTATATTTAGCTTCTTAGTTACTAAGTATCTACTTACAATAATATCCTTACTTACCGTAAGCACCTACTTACCTGTAAGCGCTTACTTACTATAAGCGCCTATTTATTAGTAAGTACTTATATATAGTAAGCCCGTATATAGTGAGTTTACGCTTACTTATACGCCCTTCCTAGCTACTAAGAGTTATACTAATCGTCCCTAGTAAGATTACTGGATCCTAAGGATTTAGGCGACCCTTATATCGTTTAAGTTCGTAGTACAATACCCTTCTTTTTTAGCTAACGTCTTCGACGGTTTGTTAATCCTCCGACGTTTTTACCCCCTTTTCTTATTTTTAGTACAATTCCTTTTATTATTCTATCCTTAGTAAATTCCTCTCTTATATATTTATTATTATATCTAACCGCATTTCTAAGAGTTCGTTGTCCGGATAGCGTTGGAATTTACTAATTTATATTAAATCCTTTAATTCTATAATTATACTTTACTAACGTTATTCTAATTATAAATTTATTTATAAGAAGCTTTCTGGATATTCGAAGTATAGTAAATATATTTATAGCGCCCGCCTTTATAAAGAGGTTAATTATAATTTAAAATATAAATTACTTATTACTATTTAATTAGTTCCTTTATTAATATTATAATAGTGTAAATACTTGTAGAAAATAAGAAATTGAAGTAGGAGTAGGAAGTATTTCTAAGGACGATATAAAATAGTATTCTTCGCTTAGTAAAAGTAAAGTGCTAGTAAGAAGAATTAACGGTTAAAATTAGTAATATATCCCGGATTATTATAACCGAATTGGAAGTATAGGAGGAAGAGGATAGGGCTATTAGGTAAGAGTTTAAACCTCTACCCGAAGAGTATTTTACGGGTACGCTTACTTCTAGCGATTTTATGCCCGTAGATTAGGTTTTATTAAATATATCGGCCTTCCCTACTTTTTAATTGGGTAATCCTTTTACTCCGGCTGATTAGAGTTCTTCTAATAGAATTCTTTTAATTTCTTAGGGCAATTCAAATTCTTAATAGGTTCCTACGTATTATTTTTAGAATTAAACCTATCCTATTTAATAAGGTATTCCAATTCTCCTTCTTTTACTCTTAAATTTAAAATTTGTTCTATATTTTATTCTTCTTTCTCATTTTTAATATTAGTTCGTATATTAATTCGTATATTTTTAAATATTAGTTCTAATAGTATAATGTAGAATAAATATAATCTTAGTTTTATAGTATTAAGAATATTTAATTAGTATATTATATTAGAAATTTTCTTTTTAATTTTAAATAGTTCTATCCGTCGGTCGTTAAGCTTCTTATTTAGCCTCTTTACCCTAAGATTCTTAATAAATAAAAGGATTTTATCCCCTTCCTTAAAGCGAAGTTCCTTAAACCTTTTTTAATTAAAATACCAGCTTATCTTTTATTTAACGAATTCTAATTCCTCCTTAAATTTTTTATATAGTATATATAGTTTTCCAGCCTTAATTAAAGCCCTAGGAACGTTTATATCTAGTCTTTCCAAAAATTCTAATTTATACCCGTAATTTATAAAGAAAGGTAAAACTTTAATAATTTCTATAGGGGAGGTATTATATACTAAATATACTACGGGTAATAATTCTACCCAATTATTCTATTTAAAATTGATATAATTGTTTAAATATTACTCTACAATCTAATTAATCCTTTCTATTTATTTATCTATCTATAAATAATATATTATTAATATTTTACTCTTAGTACCGAATTTAATTATTAATATTTATTAGAACTTAGACGCGAACTTAATATCCCTATCTGTAATCTATTCCTTCGGCTAATTGTATACTAAAATAATATTGTAATAGATTATATTTATAAATTATTCTATTAACTACGTTTCTTTATAGGGTAAAAAATAATTTTATTTAATTAGCCTATTTACTACTATTAGGATATTATTATAAATAATTCCTATTGTAGTATCTGTAAACGGTAGTAATTTAGTAATAAAGTCTATAGTTACTGAATTCTATAGCCTTTCTACAACTTCTAGGGGTTCGAAGAATCTATATAACTTATATTTTACAACCCTAATTTTACTATAATATTTATAGGCCTATAATATTCGAGCTACTTCGGTTTTTATTCTTAGAAAATCGTAGTACTACTATATCCGTACTATAATTTTAGTAATACCTATATATTTTCCTATTTTGGACGTATATATCCTTATAATAAGCGCTTTATACTATTCGGGCTAAATATAGGCCTTATTATAATACTCTAATTTATTATTCTAAAGGATAATTCTATTTTCTTAACTATCTTCTTATTTTTACTATTCCTCTAGGGTATTAATAGTAGTATAGTAATTAGGGTCCTACAATTTAACCCTATAGACAGCGTAGTATTCTACCTATTTTTATAGAAAGTATACGGATAATCCGTCCAATTATTCCTAAAATAAGGGTATAGAGGCTTTTATAATATTTTTTATATAGTTTGCCTGTTGGTTTAATACGTTGGCGTAGGCGTTTTCTATTTACTTTTTATAATTGATTTTGAAATTGAATTTTATTAAGAATTTAGCTTATTATATTTAGCGGCCGTTAAGTACCTTAATAGTCGTAAAATACCGAAGATTATTATAGTCAGTATAAATTTATACTTTATATATAATACTATTAAAGTATAGCCTCTATTTTTAAAATACTTTAATAATAGCGAAAAGTTCCTTATTATAAATAGGGTAATTACAATAAAGTCCTTTTAACTTCTTTAAAAAGAAAATTATAGGATATAATTTCCTATACTTATTATATTATTCTAATTATTTTCTAATAGTATAATCCAATATATCAGTTTCGATTTTAAAGGGTTTACTTAAATTAGGAAATTTTAGTACGGGATTTATAATAATTGTATTATAAATAGCCCTAAAAGTTTCCTCTTCCGTTTTTCCTTATATAAAAGCGGCTTCTTTCTTAATAAATTTGTATAATAATTTAGCAATCTTCCTATAGTCCTATATAAATATACGGTAAAAGTTAATAAACCCTAAGAATCCGTAGACTTTAGTTACGTTCCTAAGTATCGGCTAGTTCCGTACGGCTTTTACTTTATTTAGTTCTATCCTAACTTTATTTTTTAAAATTAGATATCTAAGAAATATAATTTCCTTTATATAGAATTTACTCTTCTCTATATTAACGGAAAATTTGTATTTATATAGCGTATTTAGTACTTTTTTTATATATTCCTTATATTTTGCGAGGGTTTTAGAATAAATAAGGATATTATTTAGATAGTAGATAGTAAATTTATTAAAGTATAGGCGAATTGTATAATTAATAATAAATTAGAATATTATAGGTATATTAATTAATCCAAAGGGTATAATAAGGTATTTATAATATTTATAGAGTATACGAAATACTATTTTCTATTCGTTTCCTTCTTTAATTCGGATATAAGTATAAGTAATAGATAAATTAAAGTGCGTAAAGTATTATACTCCTTCTAATTAATTTCAAATATATAAAACTAGTAGTAGGGGATAATTATTTCTTATAATCTCTTAATTTAATTGTTTATAATCTATATAAAGGCGTAATTTTCCGTCCTTCTTCGGTACGAAGAGGATAGGGTACTCTATTAGTAATATAAATTCCCGAATATATTTTCGTTTTAAATTTTCATTTAAATACTTCCTAAATTCTATATTTTACTTCTTATTAATATAAGATACTTTAAAAAACTTAAATTTAATTCCTTCCTTAAACTTAATTTTATAATCCTATAGTTCTTATAATAGTAGTCCTTTAAGGTATTTACTAATAAAAAGCTAAATATTTTTAATATTTTATTAAAATTACTATTTTCAGCTTTTCCGCTTATTAATTTTAGTT